TCGGCAGGACTTTCCAATTTAACTGATTGCTTCTCGCCCCTTGGAACAGGCGTGGCCCCTCTTCACCAGCTCTGCCTGAGCTGAGAGTTCAACCGGTCGCTTTGCGGAGGAGCTTGTCTCTTTGGAAAGAGGTGACTCGGTTGCCTCACAACTTGGTCTATTTCATGGATTCAACAAAACCATGATTCTGTTGTTTCCTTCTTATGCTCTCATTGGGAGGGTGGGAGGGACAGGCCTTATGGCTCTTGAGGCCCCCCACATGTGAGCGTATTTCAATTCCACTTTCATCCTACTCCAAATGGAAGTACTTGAGCCTGTCTGGGTGGGGGGCTATTTTTATTCTTGAGCAAGAGTCATGCTGCTTTAATATAAATCATTCCTCCTGGCAGTGTGATAAAGCCTTCAATCTGCTAAAATGTCTTCACCCCTTATTAGGCTTCCCAGGTGACCTTAAAATTACATTGTCTAGTTAAAAAATACTTGTGACAGCTATTAGAATTGAAATGGTAGAAGTACTGAGTTATGCCATCTGAGAAGGTGTATGCCCTGCCATTAATTCAAGTCCTCCGACAAGTCCCTTGGTAAAGTCTTAGCTTTATTTCTGTGGGTCCTGTGCACTTAATGTGAGGTTTTTCCTAGATATTTGACATGTTAGTCTCTATTTTTAATGCCTTCTTAAAGTTGTATTTCCTGATGACTGATGACTTTAAAGAATATGCATTGATTTTTCAGGTTGATTCTGAAGTGCCTTATTGAATTCTCCTAACAATGTTTCGGTTAACTTTCTTGGTTTGCTACATTATATGAATGTAATAATTGGTCTCCTCCTTTCTAAAGATTTTACCCTTAGTTCATTTCTTTGGTTGCTTTGAATAAATCCTCAGAAACGATTAAATGGGTTTGAATAGTGGATATATTTGCTCTGTACCCGATTTCCAGGAAGTTTCACCATTAGGCATGATGGGGTCTGTAATACATACAACAGGTTAGCTTTACCCAACAAACCCCATCTGTCTTGTTCTTAATAAGAGAAAAGAGCAACCCCTGACATTCAGCCACAGAGCTGGCAGCACTGCTAGCTAGGCCACCTTGTATCCTGTCGGATACAACTCTGTCACAGAATACTGCCCTCGGTCAAGGTGGCTTAGAAGATAAGGGAGAGAAAGGGAGTCTATACTATCATTTTCTCTACTCAAAGGTCACTGTGCCACCTGCACAAAACAAAACATACCCCTCTGCATGATAACAATGATTGTGGGCCAGTGCAGTAGCCTAGTGGCTTAAAGTTCTCACTTACATGTGCCAGCATACCATATGGGCACAGGTTCATATCCCAGCAGCTCCACTTCCCATCCAGTTCCCTGCCTGTGGCCTGGGAAAGCAGTCGAGGACGGCCCAAAGCCTTGGGACCCTGCATCCATGTGGAAGACCCAGAAAAAGCTCCTGGTTCCTGAATTCGGATCAACTCAGCTCCAGCCATTGCAGCCACATGGGGAGTAAGCCAGCAGATAAAAGATTTTTCTGTTTCTCCTCCTCTGTGTATCTAATTTTCCAATAAAAAAAAAATAAACCTTTTTTTTAAAAAGATCGTTAATTCTTTACCAGTTATTCCATTTTTCCTCACTCTAGTTTATTTTCTCTATTGACAAAATTTGAGATAGTCAAAGAATTGCCGCCACTTTCTAAATGCATCCAATCTAAAATAAAACCCTGCTTGCTCGGGTCCCCTACAAATCATCTGCCCAAAGCCTGAATATTCCCAACTTCTTATTGAGATTTGCAACGGCTCCCCATCATGGCTTCCCTGCTACAACAGATATGAATGTCAACCAGTTCAATTATACTTATGCCCCTAGTAGTTCCTGGCTGTAGGGCACTGGCACGTTTAGAGATAGAAAACTATGGAGAATACTTCTAGACTCTTACAGCTAAGGATCAGTCGCATGCCCTCTATCAAGACTCAGGTATGGAAGACAACAATGTGAAGAGGTGGTTACAGGTGAGGAGATTCTGAAATCAGCAGGACCTGGCCCTCCTGAGGCAGCAAGGGAGGAATCGTGAGTCCACGTACACAGCTTCCTAGGTGAGCTTCTCACTACAACAGTGCTGTTGTACTGAGGACAAGAGATTTATTTATTTATTTATTTGTTGTTTTCATTTTCTCCTTTCATCCTTTATTGCATTTTTTTCCTGGCTCCATAAAATCTATTTCTTGGAGTGGGAATTATAGCAAATAAACAGATTAAGGCGGCATCTGAGACACAAGCATTCCATACTGAAGTACCTGGGATGAGTCCTGCTTCTGTTTCCAACCCTGCTTCCTGCTAATTTGCCTGGGAAGCAGCAGCAGAGAACCCAAGCACTTGGGCTTCTACCACCCACATGGTAGACCCAGATGGAATTCCTGACTCCTGCTTTAGACTTGGCCCAACTCCAGCTGCTGCTGTACACTGGGAGAGCTCTTTCTTCATCACTTACTCTGCCTTTCAAGAAAACAAATATAATTCTTAAAAAGAGTTTTATTTATTACTTCTATTTTTATTGAAAAGGCAGATCAGATTTATGGAGAGACAGAAGAGATCTTCATTTTGCTGGCTCAGAAGAGCCTGGAGCCTCTTCCAGGTCTCCCACACGGGCGCAGGGTCCCAAGGCTTTGGGCCACAAGCAGGCAGCTGGATGGGAAGTGGGGCAATTGGGACACAAACATTTTTAAAGCTAGTTCTTGGACCCATATTCTCTGAAATATAAAATCATTTAATAATTTCTTGATCTTTAAATTAAATATAGAATTTCTTAAATCCTCACCTTGCAAGTGCCTCACACTCACATGGAAGATGTGGAAGAAGCTCCTGGCTCCTGGCTTCGGATCAGCTCAGCTTTGGCCATTGCAGCCATTTGGGGGAATGAAACAGTAGGATAGAAGATCTTTCTGACTCTTCTCTGAACTGAGTTATGGTATCTTTTTTAAAAAAGCATTTATTGATTGATTGATTGATAGGTATGGTCCCTTTCTTGACCCAGTAGAGGTGACTTGGGCATACTTACCAGTTGAGCTCACATTCTGAGCTCTATGCTCCTTTCTGAATGTGCTACCCTCCAGCAAGTTTCTCCATGAACATTCTTCTGAAAAAGAAGAAAATTACAGGCCTTCAGAGACTGCCATTTAATAACAGTTTGTATATGTGAAACTAAGCTTCAAGTGGGGACCACAATGTCCCTTTATTAAAAGTTCACTCTCAACCATAAATAAAGAAATATCCTCTGCCCCATAGTAACACTGGGAAAGATTATTAATCAAGATAATGTATACAAAGTGGTTAAAAACAGTCACCAGTGCATAATAAAGTACTGCCACGAGAGTTATTACTGCACTTCAAAACACCCCAGAGGCAGTGCCCAATGAAGCCTAACCTTAGATCATAAGCAAATTTTCTCTGTCTGAATATAAGGATTTATTTCCCCTTACCTTTTTCAAATAAATAGAAGGAAGCAGCACTTTCACTTCCACTGCTATGGTCATGGAGCTCACGTCACTACCTGGTTTGTTTCACTCACACCTGCGGAAGTCAAACTCCAAGGCTGAGTGTCTCTTAGAGTGTCTCTGTTGAAAGAGCACGGGGACCCTGCAGTCCACTGACTCTCCATCACGTGCACCAGCTAGCCACTGCTTCCAAGGGAAGGTCAATGGTCTCCTGTTCAGACTCTGATTCACTGTCCTCTACTGCTTTCCCAGGCCACAAGCAGGGAGCTGGTTGGAAAGTGAAGCAGCCGGGGCTTGAACTGGCACATATACGGGATCCTGGTTGTGTGCAAGGCAAGGATTTAGCCACTAAGCTATTGTACTGGGCCTTCAAACACCCAGTTTAATCACAGCACCAGTACTTCCATGCTTTGTGACTCTGTAATAGTTACTTAAATTGTGTGTCTGCTGTTCTGTGCTTTCCTTCATAAACTAGCAAAACAATAGCTGTATTCGCAGCATGCTTTAAAACACCAGTACAGAGATAGACAAAGTCCCAGTAAGCAGTGGCCGTTAGTAATGCCACCTTAAGTCATGGCACTGAAACATTCTTCTTCCTACCAGTGCAGCATTCTGAGTGTAATCCCCTACAACACAATTACCTGAAAGCTCTTGTCTAAAACAATTTCTAGAAATAACCCCTCAAAAGCCCTGCTGAATCAGAATCACTGCGAGGGGACCTAGAAGTCTGCATTAGCAGGAGGGCCCCGGAGTCCCCACAGTCTTTCTCTGCCCCCCAAAACCTGAGAAGCGCTGGACTGGGGATGTGGACAGGGTGCTTCTTTAATGAAACCACGTGTCCCAGTTAGTCAGGCAGCGCTGAGAGCGAACGCCAATAATGTGGTGCTAACCAGAGGTGAGTGAGCGCCACCTACTGCCTCGTTTTAGAATGCAAGGTTGAGGTGGATTCAAGAGCTTTCTCGGTAACTGATTCACTTAAACCCTGAACCGATCCTAAACAGGACATACAAACAACAGAAAACACTGTCAGGAGACATGAACTCAGGCTTCACTTAATAAGGAAAAATATTTCCAAGTTACAAGAGTGTTTTAGAGTTCTAGCTTTATCTAATCAACTGTGCAATTTCAAGGAACTGCTTCCAATAGTGAATGTAACTCCTCAACTGATGGCCTGTGCCAACAGCAAAAGGAAACCCCAAGCCACTGGATGCCCTGACTGCTGCAATAAAGCAACCTGCAGTCATGCTCACTCCCACTGCACCCTCCCCAGGTTCCGAGGGAAAAGCAAGATGGAGAAGGACACACTTTCTGATCCCACACCATCCAGTCAAGTCAGTAACAAAACTGCCCCTGAAGGACACTAAGCTGTAAAGTCAACATGTTCTCTGGAATGTACTGATAACAACATCCGGACTCCCAAAGCCAACTTCCCCTCCAAGCGGCAAATGTATGCAAATAAGGCCAAGAGCCCAAGAGAGATGCATAAAGCTTTATCAATGAAAAGTCAAAGAAACCACACGTTTTGAATTTTTGTTTATTTTTTTTTTTTAAAGAAATGGCGAAATATATACAGTGAGGTCTGAATCCTCATCACAGGCTGTGGATGATGGTCCGGTTGCGAAGCTCTTGAATGTAGTCTTTGGCATGGTCAAGTGCCGTCTTCGGGGTCTCACGTGGAGGTGGCGGTCCTTCCATCAGCTTCACAAAATAATGGCAGTACACCTTCTCCATGATCCCAAAGCGTCCTCTGCCGTGGTAGCGGATGCGTTTCAGGCACTGGCCTCGCCCTGAGGTGGACTCAGCTGTATGGGGAAGAAAAAGAACAATAGGAGACGACTATAGCTACAAAATTACAGCTGACAGCTGACCAACTTTTGTCCTTCCATTCACTGGACTGTAAGATCACATAAGCTCACTAAGATTACACAATATAGGAGCCTGGCATGGTAGCCTAGCAGCTGAAGTCCTTGCCTTGCATGCACTAGAATCCCATATGGGTACTGGCTCATGTCCCAGTGGCCCCGCTTCCCATGCAGCCCCCTGCTTGTGGCCTGGGAAAGCAGTCAAAGACGGCTCAAAACCTTGGGATCCTGTACCCACGTGGGAGAACCAGAAACTCTTGGCTCCCGGCTTTGGATCAGCGCAGCTCCAGTCTTTGTGGCCGCTTGGGGAGTGAATCAACAGACATAAGATCTTCCTCTCTGTCTCTCCTCCTCTCAGTATATCTGACTTTCCAATTAAAAAAAAAAAACTTAAGACGCTGGACTTTATGCTAGGTATATGCTTGCAATGAAGGAATCTCAACTGAACTTGAACTGTGGTTATGCAGCAAGGTGGAGGAATCCACTATGGGAGGAGGGGTATGGGAGGGGTGGGATTCCCCAGTGCCTATAAAACTGTATCACATAATACAATGTTAATAACAATTAAAAAAAAAAAGAACTCAAGGGAAAAAAAACTTTAAAAATAAAAATAATAAAACACAAATAAATCTGAAGAGGAAACAAAAAAGATAACATGAGATACCACTGATCAGGTATCTCAAAACAAGTTATCTCCTGAGCTCGAAGAAACATGCATTATTCCAGTGCTGGAGAAACAGACTCAGGCTGGCAAGGCCCCAACATCCGCACACTTTACATACTGAAAACAAAATCACACATTTCAGCTGGTGGCAACTGCTAGGAAGGAAACAGATCATAGGCATGTGCCAGAAACTGATGGGACACTGGTGCAACTGGGGGTAGAAGGTGTCACAGACATCCCCGGGAAAGATGCACTGACCTAAAGCTAGGACATGCCAGTCCTACAAGCTGCAGGAGTGGGAGAGAGCCAGCAGGTCCCTACGGTGGAAAAATAAAAGAAGGGCAGAGAAGGCACAGCAGACAAAATAAGGACGGGGAGGAGAGGAACAAACCCAAAGAAGACACCAGGGACGAAGGCAAGGAGACAGATTACATGAGAGGACTCTAAAAGTGGAAAACGAAGTAAAAACAAATCAGTTTGTTTGGCTGGAAAAATCTTTTTAAAAAGTTAAAATTTTCCAAATAGCTGTGATACTAACAGTGTACATGCTTTTATTTCATCTCAGATTCACAATTTATGTTTTGTTCCCAAAGGACTCTGTCAAAGAACAAAACTACATATGACAGATGTTTTAAACCAATTTAGAAGATATATACCATCCTCTAACTATGCAGGTAGTATGCACTCAGATGCTTTCTGAGTGAAAGCAAACATCAAAACTTCATAAACAAGAATGACTGTACTCTTTCAACATATATCAGCATGTATTAAAGAAGCCAATATTTCCTATTACTATTATGCAGGTAAATGTACAAATCTTCCCATCTTATTATTACAAGTCCTCTCTTCTCCCTCATTGCATCATTCTTACCTCAAAAAACTGACGTAAACCCAGCCGACCACTTTCCCTAAGACCAATAACTAAGCAGTGAGATTGTCTTGGTCCACGTCTATCTTAAAGCCTCTTCACTATGTCATCAGTCACTCTAAGTTTGAAGAGGAATTGCACTTCCATGCAGCATCAAGTATTAGAATTGGACTGATGGCAGACATATGGCAAATTACCATATGAGAACCTATGCTAATAAGGAAATATTTTCCTTAAAACGCCTACAGGTTTTTCAGGGTACTGTACTATGACATCCTCTGCTGAACCAGCATAATAGCCAACAAGTAACCAATCGTTCAAAATTCAAATAAGTTCCATATATATATAAAGATTTATTTATTTTTATTGGAAAGGCAGATTTACAAAGACAGAAAAGATCTTCATTTCACTGGTTCACTCCCCACTGGCCACAGCGGCCAGAGCAGAGGTGATCTGAAGCCAGGAGCCAGGAGCTTCCTCCGGGTCTCCCATGTGGATGCAGGGTCCTGAGGCTTTGGCCACTCTCTGCTGGCTTCCCAGGCCATAAGCAGGGAGCTGCATAGAAAATGGAGCCAGGACAAGAACTGTGCCCATATCCCAGCTCTTGCAAGGTAAATATTAACGATCACACCGGGCACTCAAATAGATATTTTTTTTCTTAAAGATTTATTTGTTTTTATTGCAAAGTCAGATATACAGAGAAGAGGAGGAGAGACAGAGAGGAAGATCTTCCGTCCAATGATTCACTACCCAGGTGACCACAATGGCTGACGCTGAGCCGATCTGGAGCCAGGAGCCAGGAACTTCCTCCAGGTCTCCCACGCAGGTGCAGGGTCCCAAGGCACTGGGCTGTTCTCAACTGCTTTCCCAGACCACAAGCAGGGAGCTGGATGGGAAGTGGAGCTGCCAGGACATGAACCAGTGCCCTTATGGTATTCTGGCACTTTCAAGGCAAGGACTTAGACCACTAGGCCACCGCGCTGGGCCCTTACATAGATTTCTAAAGAACAAAATGTCTAGGTCTTTTCTAAGAATACATTGAGCTAATTCAGTTTCCAGCATTTGTAAGTATGCCACCAGGGTAATCATGAAGTAAAAGGCTTCCCTGGTCTCAGGAACAGGGATCTGTGGTAAGGTGCAGTTCACACCCCAAGCGGCCGTAATGGGCAGGGCCATGCCATGCCAAAGCCAGGAACCTGGAGCTTCCTCTGCATTTCCCACATGAGTGCAGGTTACAGGGGCACAAACACCTAGGCTATCTTCTGTTGCCCTCCCAGGTGCACCACCAGGGAGCTGGATCTTGAACCAGTGCCCAGTAGGATGCCAGCACTGCAGGCAGGCACTTATTCACTATGCCACAATACCAGCTCACTCCTTGCCCCATGCAATTTTTTTTATCAGAGAAGCTTCATAAATCAGATATCCAATATGTCAGCATAGGCTGTTTCATCTTCCTAAGAGTATCCATCTCCTGAAGATTACTGGAGCCCGTACCGTGGCTTATCAAGTTAAGCCTCCACCGTAGCACTGGCATCCCACACTGGCACCAGTTTGAGTAGTCCCAGTTGTTCTACTTCTGACAGCTTCCTACTAATGGCTTAGGAAAGCTGTGAAAGATGAAGCAAGTCCGTGAACCCTATATCTGCTTGGGAGACACAGAGGGAATCCTGGTTCCTGGGTTCAGGCTAGCCTAGTTCCAGCCATTTAGGCCAATTCGTGAATGAACCAGTAAGATACCTCTTTCACTCACCTTTCTCTCTCTCTCCCATACTCGCGCTCTTTAAGTCTGCCCTTACAAATAAAAATAAATAAGTCATTTTGCGGGGGGTGGGGGGGTGGGGGGGTGAGGGTGGGGGCACGGTAGCCTAGCAACTAAAGTTCTCGCCTTGATTGTACCAGGACCCCATATGGGCGCTGGTCCTAATTCCAGCAGCCCACTTCCCATCCAGCTCCCTGCTTGTGGCCTGGGAAAGCAGTCGAGGATGGCCCAAAGCCGTGGGACTCTGCACCCACATGGGAGACCTGGAAGAGGCTCCTGGCTTCTGGCTTTGGATCAGCGCAGCTTTGGCTGTAGTAGCCACCTGGCCTCTGTTTCTTGTACTCTCTGTATATCTAGATGCCTTTCCAATAAAAATAAAATAAATATTTTAAAAGAGAGAAAAAAAGAGTATATAGGTAAAGCAATGATTTTTTAGCAGAAAAAATACATAAGGAGATCTCTGCAATAATGGCGTCTTGATGTGGGACTGGTTAAGTGAACTTCTGCTTAATGGCAACAGTAAACTGGCCCTCTGACGGGATGGCAGTATTAAGCTTCTCAGACTGCTTTTCCTTATTACGATTACTGAAAAGGATTCAAAAAGCTATTAAGAAAGGATTTGAAGACAACCCCTATTTCAATTTGTATGTGAAATACATTATAAAGTCTGTCAAGTAAGATTCCCATATTCATATAAAATGGAATAAAATTGATTAAACTCATTTGAAATCAGAATCATAAAGCAGGAGAGGTCACTAAGGTTTTAAATGAACAACCCTGCTCCTCTCTCAGTGCATCCCTCTCAGGATTCTGCAGTCCACATCCCCAGCATTATTTTTTTAAAGATTTATTTATTTTATTACAGAGTCAGATATACAGAGAGGAGGAGAGACAGAGAGGAAGATTTTCTGTCTGTTGATTCACTCCCCAAGTGAGCGCAATGGCCGGTGCTGCACCGATCCAAATCCAGGAACCAGGAACGTCATCCGGGTCTCCCACATGGGTGCAGGGTCCCAAGTCTTTGGGCCATCCTCGACTGCTTTCCTAGACCACAAGCAGGGAGCTGGATGGGAAGTGGAGCTGCCGGGATTAGAACTGGAATCCATATGGGATCCCGGCGCATTTGAGGCGAAGACTTCAGCCGCTAGGCCACGCCGCCGGGCCCATCCCCAGCATTTTTATTCAGGCTTTTCCCAGGAGAAAATACATATGACCTACTTCAGGGAACCCATAGATTCTCAGTTGCCATTTTGATTTCCCTCTGAATCTGTGCATGCATCAGGACAGAATTAGTTATAAGGATTCAGCTTTAAAATTAGAAAACTAAATTAAATTTCAGAAGGTGTGGTTGCTGGCAGCAATTCCTCAGGAGCTGGGCTGAAATTTTAACCCGCCCAGAATAAATATTTCCAGGAGGGTAGAGATTAGAGGACGAAGTAGAATTCAGGTGATGCTTCTGTTACTCTAATGCAGGTATGGGGAGCCTTTTATCCACCAAGGGCCATTTGGAGGACTCTAACATCATTTGTGGGACATACAAAACTATCAACTTAAAAAATATACAAATTTATTAAATTTTGAGTCCTACCTATTGTTGCAGGGCCAGGGCCAAACCAAATGATTATGCATGCCTCACATGACCTACAGGTCACATGTTCCCACCCTACTCTAATCGCTGAAACACTGTAAAGCACAACTCCATCTGAAATGTTCCAGCCCCTCTCCTCCTCTGAGGAACAGCAGTTCCCTATATTTTGAATTTAAATTATCTTCAGATAAAACAGTCCTTATTTGCAGGTTTGGTAGAATGAGACAATTTTGTTTCAATATCAACATCTTCGATGATAAAAGTGCAAATTTAGGAATAACGGCTGCTGAAGAAAACAGAAAACAGTAACTCCAGGGCCCAACGCAATAACTCAATTAGCTAATCCTCCCTATTTAAGTGGCACCGATTCATGTCCCGGCTGCTCCACTTCCCATCCAGCTCCCTGCTTGTGGCCTAGGAAAGCAGTCAAGGACGCAACAAAGCTTTGGCTCCCTGCACTCCAATCGGAGACCTCGAAGAAGCTCCTGGTTCCTGGCTTCAGACTGGCTCAGCCATGGCCATGGTAATCACTTAGCGAGAGCCAGCAGATGGAAAATCCTTCTCTCTGTAGATTTGTCTCTCCAATAAAAACAATTTAAAAAAAAGAAAAAAGTAACTCCAATTACTATTACACTTTCTGTGGTGTTAGAAGGGCATCAAAGAGCTCTGCGATAATGATAATAATCTTCTAGGAAAAAGCTGTGTGGCGTACATAGCAAAATACTCCCTTATGTTTGTACAGAGCATCATGCTTCACAAAGTACTGCCAGGCACATTAATGTACCATGGTTTGGAAAGAGCAGATACGAGCAGAGATAATGCTTCAGGAAATAGTGACCAAGGGGGCAAAACATGAGGGTCCCCTGGGCCTTTCAAGACCACCTGACTCTCGCAGTACTACAGGTCTTCCAAGGTTAAGTGACAGCACACTTACAGGGATTCATACCTGGTCTGACACGTCACAAATGAAGACTTTTTTAAGTCTTCTTGTGATACTTCATTCCTTCTAGCTGACAATAAATTTGTCATTTTAAATTTTAAAAAAAAAACTGCTCTTAGTTTTATTATGATAAAGGCGACTATATGTAGCAGTCTTACAATCTATTATTCATTAATTATTGGTAGCAGGTTTCATGACTTGTCTCATTACAGAAGAAGTATTAAAACAGTACAGTTGTTACCAATTTTAACATATTAATAATGACATGCTAAAGGCTGAAGAATAAGCCAGCATCAAAAAATTCCACTGGCAAACCAGTGCTAAGAAGTTATATATTGAAGAATGTTGTTAAATGAGACATGGTATTACTATTGGGAGACAAACCCCAATGCTAAGAATACTATAAATCTTACCTATATATAAATTGGACCTGAATTCCACATTGTGATCTCTCACTGCCATTTCTTGCGCTTCCAAGAGAACCTTAAACAAGGAAAAGAAAGGAATTTATAAGGCTAATTCTGAACTGCAACAGAATTGAATTTCTCATCTTTTGTTATCTCTGTAATATATCTGCTAATCACTTGCCTCCACTTAATAATCAATTTTCAAAAGAGAGTATCTAATGATAAGGATACCAGGGAGAAGGAGCTTGCTTTCCCCAGATGTGAACTGAAAAATGAAAAGCACGCAGTCTATTCTGCCAAGTTGTAACTGGTACATGTAAGCTGTACAGGAGGAGGTGGCGGCACTGGTACACGGTAGTGTATTTGAGTCAAGGACTTAACCAGAAAGGTCAAGAAATTCAAGGTCCCAGCATAGTAGCTTAGTGGCTAAAGTCCTTGCCTTGTATGTGGCATGATCCCATATGGGCACTGGTTCATATCCCAGCTGATCCACTTCCCTGCCAGCTCCCGGTTTACGGCCTGGGAAAGCAGGGGAAGACAGCCCAATGCTTGGGAACCTGCACCCGCATGGGGGACCTGAAAGAAGCTCTTGGCTCCTGGCTTCGGATCACCTCAATTCCGGCCGTTGCAGACACTTGGGGAGTAAACCAGAGGATGGAAGATCTCTCTATATATCCTTCTCTCTGTGTATCTGACTTCCCAAGAAAAAAATAAATTTAAAAAAAAAAAGAAAAAAATTCAAGAACTAAAATTTACCATTTAAAAACTCCAGAAAAAAATTCATTAACAACACCAGACAAAGAAAAAAAGCACATGAGAATTTCCTATAAGAAGTTAATTAACTGTCTTCAGAATACATTTTTATTCAAAGAGGACAGGTGCTGTCACAAATAACAGAAAGCAGATCTTTTATTCCTTTAAGACAAAGAATGTAGTACACGGCTTGGTATACAAAAGATAATAAATTTACTGAGTTAATTAAATGTAATAAAATCACAGCATCATAAGACTCTCATGTCTGAACCCATCAACGTCAATCATTCCATTTACTAAACTAAAAAGTAAGAACTCACTTTGGCTGAGAATTAATTGAAGATTGACCATTATCCCAAGACAGTGAGGACCAACTGTCAACATAGCTTATTGAAACAAGAATATTCATGTGTGTGGAATGAGGCTGTACAACTGCCACTGAACACATTAGTACCTGTGGAATCAGCCACAAGAAAAAGAACGCAGATAGGCTACGTGTCTTGTCCATCGTTACAAGAACAGTATCATGGAAAGGACTAGACTTCAGGGCTATGGAGTTTCAGTCCAATGATCTTTCTATTGAATCAATTTCCACGCAATAAAATTCTAAGAATCATGTGCAGAACTGGTTAAAAAATAGATCAAGCCACAAATTAATAAAGTCTATCACAGACCATAAAATAATTAATATTTGGTACAACTAAAAACATGTGAGAAAAAAACACTCAAAGCTTATATGGTCTCTAGGAAAAAGGAGGGCAATGACTGGATGCCCTACTTCATCACATAAAGTGTGTTTACACCAGGAAAGCTGGGGGTCTTACAAGCTTACCTCTTTGATTATCTGTGCCCCTTTCTTGTCACTGAACTCCAACTGTGCCAAAGCCTGGTCAATGGACATTCCTCTTATCTAGAATCAAAGAGTGAAAGAAGAAAACGGGTTCATTTCCAAAGTTTCCTTTTCAATAAAAAGCAAACATCTTACATAATCCAGGTAACTTCCAGAAACCGTGAACTAATCCAGAGAAAAGAAAAGAAAGCAAATTTGCAAACTGATACCACCCTTTTTAGGTCACAATCAAACACATTGACCAGAAAGCCTAGGTTGTACTAGCTTCACTACTACTGAAAGGCAGAAGACATGACAGGGAAAGACCAGAGTTGGCAACAGCCCAAGGCAGCTCCCTCTCCTGGAGGACAAACTGATACACACAGATCTGCTGCTTTGCTCTCGCCTCATCCACAAATTCATTTTCCAGGACTGGGTAGGACACCTTAAAAAGCAGCAGTTTGAAACAGGTTGAATCTACTTTTACAGGTAAACAATTTTCTTAGTCTCTGCTTTCAACCAGGCCCTAATGACTTATTTTATTGATTTGTCAGAAATTAAAAACTAAACCATACCTTTCTGAACAATTATTTTTGATAAACTACCAGTTGTCTGAACACGTATTTGTTATTTCTAACTTCTTGGAGACTGGGTGAATTTTTTTTTTCCTTTTAATTTCTCAAAACTCTAGGGGGAAAAAAATCATAGTTTCTTTCCTAAGTATTAAATAGTTGCAGTCAGGCTGGCATGCAACACATTAGTGTTAAAACTATTGCTTGTGATATCAAAATCTTATATCAAAACATCTGGGACGAATCCTGCAAGCTCCACTTCCAATCCAGCTTTTTGCTAATGTGCCTGGGAAAGCAGCAGACAGTGGTCTAAGCACTGGGCACTGGGGTCCATGTGGTAGACCAGACGGAGTTCCAGGCTCCTGGCTTTCACTTGGTCTAGTTCTAGATGTTGCAGCTATGGTGCAGACAATCAGTAGAAGGAAGATCTTCTTTTTATCTCTCTTTATTGTTCTGCTTTCCAAGTAAATAAATAAATAAATCTGTACATGGTAGTTGTCGCTGTATCTTTTAACTTTTAATGAGTTTTTAATGTTTTATTTTAAAGGTAGAGCTACAGAGAGAGAAAGGGAGACAGAGATCTTCCATCTGCTAGTACACTCCAAAGCCAGGAGCCAGGAGCTTCATCTGGGTCTCCTGAGTAGTTGCAGGGGTCCAACCACTTGGACCCTCTCCACTGCCTTCCCCGGCCATCAGCAGGGAGTTGCATCAGAACCAGCACCCATATGAGGTGCCAAAGGATTAGCCCACTATGCCATGTGCTGGCCCTGATAGTTGTCATTTTAACTTACCAATTTTGCCAGATACCACATCTTATCTTTGCTGTATTTTATTTGTCTTCGACAGTGGTAGATTTCCTTATAAACAGGAAAAAGAAAACAAGTAAAATTTAGCAAATGTATTAAAATGACAGTAAAACTCACTATGATAAGTTTCACTTTCTATGTCTAATGAAAATTTTAACATTACCAAAAATTTTGGAGCTCCTTTTCACATACAAAGCTGTATCTTTTCAAAGTCTCACAAAGCGTGAAACAAGAGTATAAAACAGGAGGTTTGTGCCAATATTTGCAACATACAGAAGGAATTTCAATGAAAACATCTTAAAAACATTTACCTCACAAAAGGAAAAACAGTAAGTTAAATAAATTCACAATTAGGGAACAGAATTGAAAAATAAACAAAATAAACACTTTTCATAAGAACAGTCAATGTTCAATGTGTTTTGTCAAGAGTATATATTTCAGAATAAGACTATGAATTTGAATTCCAGTTGTACCATCTGCCAGCTATGTAACATTGGACAAACCACTTAACCTCTAAGCCTCTTTCTCTTTAAAAGGAATGAAATAGTACTGACTGCCAAAACAACATAAAGAGGGCCCAGCGCGATGGCGCAGTGGTTAAGGTCCTCGCCTTGCACGCCTGGGATCCCATATGGGCGCCGGTTCTAATCCCGGCAGCCCCGCTTCCCTTCCAGCTCCCTGCCTGTGGCCTAGGAAGGCAGTTGAGGACGGCCCAAAGCTTTGGGACCCTGCACCCACGTGGGAGACCTGGAAGAGGCTCCTGGCTTCAAATCGGCATAGTATCGGCCATTGCGCTCACTTGAGGAGTGAATCATCGGACGGAAGATCTTCCTCTCTGTCTCTCCTCTCTGTATATCCACCTTTCCAATAAAAAAATAATAAAAATAAATCTTTAAAAAAAAACAACAACAACATAAAGGAAACTAAATATTAAAAAAATAAATAAATAAAAAGGGCCTGGTGCAATTGCCTAGTGGCTAAAGTCCTCGCCCTGCATGCCTGGGATCCCACATGGGCACCAGTTCGTATCCTAGCTGCTCCTCTACCCATCCAGCTCCCTGGGAAAGTAGCAGAGGATGGCACACAGCCTTAGGACCTTATACCCATGTGGGAGATGTGGGAGACCAGGAGGAGGCTCCTGGCTCCAGACTGGCTCAGCTCTGGCTGTTGTAACTACTTGGGGAATGAACCATTGGATAGAAGATCTGTCTCTCCTTCTCTCTGTAAGTCTGCCTTTACAATGGAAATAAATTTAAAAAAGAAAAAGAAAAACACTTAATAAACCACTCTGTAATGCACGGTACATGACAAGTTCTCAGGCTAGCTTTTATCACCCGCTATTTAAAGTAGCAGACAATCCATATTTTATTTTTGAATCAATCATCTAGTACACAATTTATAGAGTACAATACATTTTTTCAGTTCATGAATAGAGCTTTAACTAGAACAGGAAACATTTTATAATTCTTTTATAAAGTGAAAATCAAGTTGAGTTGTCCAAAGTTACAAAGCTTGTGAGAAAGCAAGCTGGAAGTCAAACAACAGGGAAGCATGTGAAGTAGCTAACACAAGGTCTAGCAGCTGAACTTTCCAGAATCCTCCTGATTCCGAAACCCAATTACACTACTGTATCATACCGCCACTTTAAAAAATTGAGAGTAAATGAATTAGGGAAAAAAAATAATCACTCATGGGAAAAAAATTAGAAAACAGTAAGACAAACACTAGCAAGAAGATCTCAAAACTTTCCAACACTCTGACTCCTTTCAGAATTTTCATATGCCTTAGAAACAGCAAAGCTTTCCCAAAAGGCCCTCTTTCATTATGTGGCATATTTCATTTCAGGGGCACCAGAAGCTGACAGGCTGAAAACTATAGCAACAGTCTGATGACACTCTCAGCTATAAAGTGTCCTGGGAAGCAAAGGACGAGAAAGAACTGTCACCACTGATAACAGGAATTTACAAAAACTCATCCACTCAATGAAGTCAGCCACAAAGAAAATGCCAACTTATGGACTCCCATTACAGGATATCATTAAACCAAACTGTATGTGATTATCCACAACTTCTGTTTTATATAAAAAATTTGTTTCCTTACACTGTTGTACAGTAATCCTGGCAAGAGCTTAAGAAAAAAAGGAAAAAGATGTTTACAAGCAACGGGAAAGTTTAGTCAACCTCTTTTGAAATTATAAACCTCAACATTTACTTTGGGCAGGTGAAATGGCTAAAGGTAATTTCTAAAGATTAAGCAGACAAATTTTCAGAGAGAGAGAGGGGGGAAAAACTATCCTGGCAAACAGATAAAGTGGGAAAGCCAGAGATCAGAAAGCCAAGTCATTCATCACTGCCACTGACGGCACCACAGTGAACAGTGGGTAAGCGCAGTGGGCACAGAACGCACCAAAGGCTCAAAGGAATAACCTAAATTTAAAATGCCTAAACCAAACAGCTTAAAAATCTCTTACAAGTTTACGTCTTGCTTTCATTCTATGTTGGAAGGCACAGATAGACAGATACAGATTTTCTGTGTAGGATTTCTGCCACAAATATCCAGGGTAGCCAGGGACAGCCCAGTTTAAAGCCAGGAACCCAGAACGCTGTCACAGTCTCTCAAATGGAGTACGGGCACCCTAGTACCTGACCCATCATGTGCTGCCCCCAGGTGTGCACCGGCAGGAAGCAGGAACTGGGAGCAGGGCTGGGCTCAAGCCAGCTCCCCGATAGGGGATGGGATGCAGGTAACTTAACCCATGAGCCAAATGCCTACCCCAAGAAATCAGCTGATCTTCATCCCCACCACCCTTAAGTTTTACTTATTTATTTGAAAGGCAAAGTTACAGAGAGAGAAAGACAAAGAAAGAAAACTTCCATTTGCTAGCTAGCTCCCCAAAAACCTGCAACGACCAGAGCTGGGTCAGTACCAAGCTAGAAGCCAGGAACCTCTTCCAGGTCTCCCACAGGGTACAGAGACCCAAAGAGTTAGGCTATCTTCCACTGGCTTTCACAGGCACATTAGCAGGCAGCAGGATTGGAAGTGAAGCAGATTGGAACTGACAACCACATGAGATGCCAGAGGAACAGGCAGTGGCTTTACCCACTCTCCACAGCGTGGCCATTGGGGTCATTTGGGAAGCCAGCCAGCAGATGCAAGCTCTTTCTCTGCTTCTCCTTCTTTCTGTAAATCTGCCTCAGAAAAAAATACACCTCTTTTTAAAAACTTCATTTATTTTTATGTCAAAGTCAGATATACAGAGAGGAGAGAAACAAATAGGAAGATCTTCTGTCCGAAGATTCACGCCCCAAGTGGCCACAACAGTCAGTGCTGCGCCGTGCCGAAACTGGGAGCCAGGAGCCTCTTCTGGGTCTCCCACGCGGGTGCAGGAACCCAAGGTTTTGGGCCGTCCTTGATCATTTTCTCAGGCCACAAGGAGGGAGCTGGGTGGAAAGTGGGACTGCCGGGATTAGAACTGGTGCTCATATGGGATCCCGGCGCATTCAAGGCGAGAACTCTAGCCACTAGGCCACTGCGCTGGACCCAAAGCTTTTTTTTCTTTAAATCAATAATTAACTAAACAAAAATGAAGAAACAATAAATCATACTGATTCAGAGCAATACTTAGACAGCATTTTTCTTAATAAAATGTATGTTGTCAGGCCAGCACAATAGCCTAGAGGCTAAAAGTTCTTACCTTGCAAACAGGGATCCCATAAGGGTGCAGGCTCTAATCGTGGTTGCCCTACTTCCCATCCAGCTCCCTACTTGTGGCCTGGGAAAGCAGTTGAGAATGGTCCAAATCCTGGGGCCCTGCATCCACATGGGAGACGTGAAAAGGCTCCCGGCTTCGGATTGGTTCAATTCCAGCCGTGTGGTCACTTAGGACAGTGAATCAATGGATGGAAGATCTTCCTCTCTGTCTCTCCTCCTCTCTGTATATCTGACTTTGCAATAAAATAAATCTTTTTTAAAAATGTATGCTGTCAAGTTCATAGAAAAACTAAGCAAATGACATGGTCCTTATTACTTAGGTAAGATTTATCATCCCTTTGAATCCCTTAGGGCCTACAGAAGATGTTTGCTGAGCTGAACGATTTATAATTAATGCAGTGACTCTATTTCCATAGTGCTTATCTCAGTTCATTTTCTCAGGGATTTAAATGTTAACACATTATGTATGCTATTATTTCTTTAAGTTTTTTTTTTTTTAGCAGATGTGTATATACTTCACAGCAAATTTACATTAACCTGGAAGTTAGTTTTATATCGCAGACTAGAAACACCTCTGACAGTCTGGAGGAGATACAGAAGTTCTGAGCAATTAAAGATAAATCTCTCATAGGAATGATTAAATGCAAACCACAGGTTCAAAGATTTATGAATCACAAAAATAAGCAAGTTAAAGTATTCTAAACACACAACACTGAAAATTCACATACTTGATTTACACACTAGCCACTGCCGTAAGTCAATCTCGCTAAGTGCTAACGCTCCGTTATCAAGAATTCATCAGTAAGCTTCTGCACCAACAAAGCAGACTGTTTCAATCTAAGAACTTCGTTTTAGAATAAAGACCCTCCCCTCATTCAAGGAAGTTAACTAAAGGCAGAAGATAAGTAAAGCAACGATATTCTTTCTGAACTACAAAGGGATAATTACATAATCTGTGCCAACAAAATATTCATAATTGTACAATTTTAATTTTTACAAACCACTGCTGGGCAAATAAAAATAAAACAACTCAGCAAAATTAAGAGGTTAATTCAATCACACTCACTGCTGGCCTCCGAGGCTCCCCAGGCAGTTGCGGAGGATAAACGATGCTATTCTTCTTCTCCCATTTTCGAGAAATGTCAAGGGCAGTACTTGTGTGGACACATGATTGGGGTACCATCCTGGGGGATAAAAGAAGGCGGTAAAACAATACTCTCAGAACTTTTCCTGGAGTTTAACCAATCTTCTAAGCACACCAATTCCATCTTGACAAAAACAACCTAATGATTTCAAGTGGAAATATTCTATACGTTTTCTGTAATAGAGACTGCTTTTACATAAAATACTACACAGAGCTACTTTACTGAGGACTAAGATGGGTGACAGTTAATAACTCAAATAAGCTAAACAGTAAAAACATAGTAACCCAGGATCTCTTGATCTGCCTATGAAAAAGTGGTTCTTTATTTTAAGTAAGCCCTGTCCTAAAACAGATTTAAAGACCTAATAGATCCCTAACCTGGATTGTGAACTCAGCCAACTTTGTTGAGTAAGTAAGACAAACACACGACTATAGGCCAACAAGACTGGGGCTGAAGATGCTTTTAAATACCAAATCAAAGAGCTACAACTCGATGATGAAGACCCTGAAAGCATCACTTCCTGTACTCCCATCTCCAGGTATCCATTCTCCCCCTGCCGTATTAGTAAACCAAATCATCGGTAAATAGTGCCCTAAGACTATCTTCACCTTCCAGGTTCCCTTTCTCCTGTAAGAGCCACTCACCAAATTTTACAAGTGGCCCTTGATATATTTCTCAAATGCTTTGCCTCCTCTCCCAGTTGCCACCATGCTAGGGTTGGACCTGTTCTCTTTCAGAATCACAGCAACAGCCTCTAGGCTGACTTCTCCTTCATCAGCCTTCCTAGCTCCAGTCCGCCTTTCTCTGCCAGAGTATCAAATGACTCATCCTCCTGTAGCACAGAATTAGTCACGTCATTCTCCAGTTTAAAACTATTTTTTGAGATAAAGCAAATGAATAATTATACACTTCTATTTTTTTCATGTCATTGACAACTGGGATTGTGGTATGGAAGCAGGAAAAGTGGGTTAAAATCCTGTAAATTCTAAATTTCACCTCTGAAAAGTGGTTTAAAAATAATGACCTAGAAGCAATTAGCTCTCCTTACGTTTAGATGAATTTCTTAAAATAAGCTAACCCATCAGAAAGAATCAAACTTCAAGGAAACACAACTGATTGCAGGTCATGAACAAAGAATGCACAAAGTGGACATGAAACATTACGTATACAGAAACCAAGCAAGTCACATCAAAGACTGCCAGGGTCAATTCACAGGCACTTAAGAGCCAACCAGCAGATGCAAAGGCGGCACAATTAAAGGACTTATAAGGATAATAACCGCAATGAATTAAAACATATCAAAAATGATGGACCCAGCATGGTGGCCTAGTGGCTAAAATCCTCGCCTTGCACAAGCTGGGATCCCATATCGGAGCCAGTTCTAATCCTGGAGGCTCTACTTCCCATCCAGCTCTCTGCTTGTGGCCTGAGAAAGCAGCCGAGGATGGCCCAAAGCCTTGGGACCCTGCACCCACGTGGGAGACCTGCAAGAAGTTCCTGGCTCCTGGCTTCGGCACGTCGCAGCACCAGCCATTGCAGTCACTTGGGGAGTGAATCATCGGATGGAAAGAAGATCTTCCTCTCTGTCTCTTCTCCTCTCTGTATATCTGACTTTGCAATAAAAATAAAATAAATCTTTAAAAAATATATATCAAAAACGAAATCCAGGCTTAAATATTAACACTTAAAGTTGTATATTTGCAGATTCTTACTCATACCTGTGATCTGTATGATGTACTTGGCAAAGTCTTTGATTTTAGTCTTCAAACTACTCAAAATAATCAAACAAACCTACTCTCTTCTTAAGCACATAATTTTCTAGAAAGATGTTTCTCTATTTGAAAAGGAAGGACAGAAAAAGAGAGAATTTCTTTCTGCTGATTCACTCCCCCAAATGTCTACAACAGCCAGGGCTGGGCCAGAAGAAAGAGCCAGAAACTCCATCCTGATCTCCAGATCACCAGGGTGGCAAGGGTCCATGTACCTTCCCAGGCACATCAGCAGGCAGCTGAACCAGAAGCAGAGCAGCCTGAATTCAAAGCAGTACTTGCCTTCACTGCAGTGCAGTTTGACCTGATGTATCACAATACCGGCTCCACTTACTGTATCATTTCTCTTACATGTTACCTCAAGTTCACCACTCACATCTCATTATCAAGATCAATGCCACCATAGATCTTTTCTTTGACATCCGTGTTTAGCTTTCCAATGTTTTAACTGAAATGCATAAAACCAGGACACTTGATGTTAGCAGACAGAGGACTTCCTAATGAAGCTCTAGAGCACAAGATGCAGGGAGACGCTGTGGAGTCAAGCAGATCTAAGTCCAGATCCTTCTAGATGACAAGTTATAGAGAAATCATATAACTTTCTGCAGCTAGTCTTCTCATCAATAAATGGAGTAATAATAATTACCTCATAACCTTAAGAAGCTTACCTGAGACACTACAAATAAAACACCGAATCTGACACTTTCAGGGGCTGAGTTAACTTCTGGTGTAATTACTTATGGGGAGAATTGCACCTACTTCATTCCTTCCTTATGGATTAATATTCCATACCCCATGATGGCTGCCCAGGGCACTGCAGATGAGGGCTGGTCTGCTCCGGACCCAGCATGTCTCCCAGGCTTCAGCCTGGAACAGGAGGGGCCGCAGGAGCCAGTTACGGGATTCCAGTTGACCAATGGCACAGCTGAATGAACATTCCTTGCATAGTTGGGGCACAGACAGCCCCTTTGCCTGTCCACGTGTCTACAGGAGTATAAAACTCCACACATATCTCAAAGGCCCTTTCCGCCTCCCTCTTCCTTCCCCTCAGTGCGAAGGGGGCCCAGGAGCGGATTTTCCAATAAAGCTTCCATTACAACTCTGAACAACTTGCTGATATTACTCCACCAGCGGGCAGGCGGACGGTGGTCATCATCTAACACCCTATGGTTTCTATCATGTAATAAACACTGATGGCTAACATGCGTTTAAATTAGCCTTTGTGAATGGTTCACTTCTCCCCACCCAAACTGAGTCCAGGGAACAGGTTTCTCATATTACACAACTTTAAACTTCCTGCTCAAGCATTTACATTTCTATGCTCACATAATTGCCCCTCTTTAGACCTTGATTTCTTTGTGGAAAGAGGAGCTGGCCGATGTCAATCCTGGGGTCCTGCCTAACCTCAATTCCATCTCTAGCCTTATTACAACATACACACAAACCCCTCAGCCAGCCTGAAAGATTTACTGGGGGGAGGTGCATCCCTTCCTCACCCATTAGCAGTATCTTGTATTCCTCAAAGCCTCAATATATATTGGACAAATTAAATACGAAGCTTAATAAATTAAACATTATGAATTAATGACACACTTTCTAATATCAATAACACTTATAGGACTCAAACAGTTATCAACTAAATTATTAAGCAGATATTCAGCCACTGTAATCAAATAAAATGAAAACAGTATTCCAAATGAGGTAACTGAAGCACTGTATATTAAAATCAAAGTTCCTGTGTGCCCTCTCCTGGTCAGTAGTTGGAACACCAATGAATTAAAGCATAAAAACTAGAAGCAAAAATTGAAAATATAAACTAATACAAAATTGACACTTTTATGAAATTTCATATCTGTGAAGAGTCAGTACAGAAAACACATTAAAGAAAAGGCAGAAGCTAGAGTTAACAAATGATGGCACAGGTCATTCCCAGGATCCACTGTTGTGCACACACATGGAGACCTGGAAGAAGCTCCTGGCTCCTGGCTTCGGATCGGCTCAGCTCCAGCTGGTGTGGCCACTTGGGGAGTGAACCAGTGGATAGAGAATCTCTCTTTCTCTTGTAAATCTGCTTTTCAAATAAGCACAAATAATACATCTTTTAAAAAAAACTATCAAGATAAATCAAAACTTTTTAAAACAACTGAAATGTAGGATCAACATCGACCACTTTCAAGTTTAAATGTTACAGACAAATGCGTTTCATTTACTGAAAACTATCTCTGTTCCCTGGGATGAGGGCAGATGTGGACGAAGTCCCCAGAGTACCTTCTACACAACACACACAGAGGTGCTTAAAGACAAGGCAAGGCTGCCAGAGCCCAATCACAAGGCGAGTGGGTCCCCCCATCCCACAGGACTGACATCTGATTTAGTTTCTCTCAATATTCAAGTGGTTTAAACCTACAAATATTTAAATAAGCTTAACGATCATTTTTAAAACTGTAGTCATCAAGCAATATGTACAAAAAAGTAGCAGATATAAGCCTTTTTTTTCTGGCTTAAGAGTTTACTCAGTTGAAACAGAATTCTGAGAAGAAATCTCAGAATTTTCTAAAGTCACAATCTGAAAACAAACAAAAAAAAATTAGAAAACCTCCTGTTTAGTACTCAAAGGTCATCCTGAAATTGAGTACAATGTATACCCAGGTCTCCAGCAGAATAATAGCCTTAACTCAATCTCTCAATTATACTCAACAAAGATAAAATGTTCTTTGTTTCAAATTTACTTCTGAGAACATTCAGTTCTCACTTGAGACTGAATAAAAGAACATCCTCCCTTCTTGTCTCAATTAAAATCTAAAATAAAGAGGCTGAAGTGAAATGAAATGCATGTTTTCCTAAGTCAATATAATTTCATTTTGTGAAAGTCAAGGACAAACAGAGAAACAAGAGCAAACAAAGAAACGTGGCCCTGTTAAGCATTCTCAGCGTTTCTCATCCTCCCCACTGCTGGCGTGGGGCCACAAACTCCTGCCTTGCAGGGTGCAGGGAGGTGCTGTACCACGCACCCACTGGAGACCAGCAGCCAGCCAATCAGCCTGAGCTGTAAAAACCAAAGGCGCTTCCAGCCATTTCAAATGCTTTGTGGGTAGCAAAACTGTCTTAAAGTCACTCAGCTGCAGTAACGGTTAGCAGAAGTCATGCTCTCATGTACCCAGTTTACTCACTCGGCCCATCATCTGCACCCTTCAGTAGACTGCGTGCTCCAGGAAGGCAGGGGTAACCATCCCTCCTAGCTGCAAGACTCTCAGTACTCGAAACATTTCTCACACAGAGCAGGCGCTGAACACTGTATTTGCAGAATGAAAAAAAAAAAAAGATCGTAGTGACAGCCAGGCAAGGTAAGAAGCTTTTGTGTGTGGGTAAATAACTATGCAAAAATCTCACATGTGGTTGGAAGCTGAGGAAAACTGGAAGTGCATATACATCTAATGACTGGGATGGAACTGAGCTCTGAAACATTCTGCCACATCGACTGAAAACACTGCGCAGCCCAAATAAAATAGATCCACTGGCCTGGTTCACCTCCCAGCTCTTCACTCAGTAACCTCTTAAGGCTAGCCAGTGGAGCCCCAGAGCAACTATTTAAGGGAAGTCCCACCCTTCTCTGCCCACATGTTACCTTCATTTCCCACAATATATAAGGTCATTTAAAAAGTTCATGGGAAAATAGAACTCAAGGGTAAGTAAATTTTGATACAGAAAAAAAAAATTGGAATCCCCACATAGATTTTTCTTTCATAACATGTACTTCTGTGAACTTTTTAAAGATCTCATAAACCAAGGATGCTAGCCCACTGCAAAAGCAAAGAACAGATAGGGCTGGTGTGGTGTTGTAGCCGTCTTATCCTCATCCTGCAGAGCCAGCCTCATACCTAGACACATGTTCTAGTCCCGGTTGCTCCACCTCCCATCCAGCTACCTGCCTGGGGCCTGGGAAAGCCACAGAAGATGGCTCAAGGCCTTGGGATCCCACACCCACGTGGGAGACTCAGAAGCTCCTGACCTGCCACTTCAGATCAGCCCATCTCTGGCCATCGCAGCCACAGAATCAACAGATGGAAGATCAATCTATCTGTGTCTTTCCCTTTCTTTTCTTGTAACTATTTGAAATAAAATAAACATAAATGTTACAGAGCCAACACTGTACGGCAGTGGGTAATGCCACTGCTTATGTTGCGAGCATCCAACCTGGGCACCAGGTTTTGGCTGTTCTACTTCCAATCCACAGACCTGCTTGACGACCTGGGAAAGGCAGCAATAATTGGCCCAAGTGTTTAGACCTGGACACTCACGTGGGAGATACGGATGAAGCTTCTGTTTTGTGGCTTTGGCCTGGCCTAGCACTGGCCTTTGTGGCTATCTGGGGAGTGAACCAGCAGATGGATGATTTCTCTCTCTCTAACTCTGGCTGTCAAAATATAATAATAATAATAATAATAATAATAATAATAATAATAAAGTCAGGGGCACAGTACTATGGCATAGTAGGCAAGGCTTCTGTTAAAAGTGCCAGTAACTCGTGTAAGTCCTGGCTGCTCCACTTCCAACACAGCTTTCTGCTTATGGACTGGGAAAGCAGCAGAGCACGGCCAAGTCCTTGGGACCCTGTACTTATGTGGGAGGTCTGAAAGAAGCTGCTGGGTCCTGGTTTTGAATCAGCTCAGCTCTGGCTGCTGTGGCCATTTGGCAAATGAATCAGCAGATGAACAACCTCTCTTTCTTTCTCTCTGTAATTTTATCTTTAAAACAAATATAAAGGTAATTAAAAAGAAATAAGGAACATTGATTTGCTTGAATGCTTTCACCTAAAGCAGTAAAATAAAACATCATTAAGTTACACCACCGGGCCCAGCGCGGTGGCCTAGCATCTAACCTTGAACGTGCCAGGATCCATATGGGCACTGATTCTAATCCTGGCACCTCCACTTCCCATTCAGCTTGCTGCTTGTGGCCTGGGAAAGCAAAGATGGCCCAAAGCCTTGCGACCCTGCACCTGCATGGGAGACCTGGAAGACGTTCCTGGCTCCTGGCTTCGGATCGGCACAGCACCAGCCGTTGCAACCACTTGGGGTGTTAATCAGACAGAAGATCTTCCTCTTTGTATATCTGACTTTGCAATAAAAATAAATAAATACATCTTAAAAAAAAAAAAAAAAACGTTGCCAGGGTCCTCACCAAATCTCTATTCACCCATCACTTTCTCACTCCCATAGTTTGCTGGAGTACTAAGGCAGATAATTTTTTTGTTTAAACCCTTGCACTGCTACTATTAATTGTGTATTCTTCAGTAAAACACCAAATCTCTCAGAAATGCATCCAGCAGTAAAAGAGAAAACTTAAAATTTGAAGATGGAAACTGGAACCGTCCTAGCAGACAGAGCCTGCAACAAGGTTTTATTCAGTCAGCAGGATTCTTCTTAACACAATTTGAAGTCTTTCGATAAGGAACACATTCAACAGACTGCCAAAGTCCCATCTCTCATTTTACACAGACATCTTTCAACTCCTTTATTTCTATTTTGTGCAATTAAGCTCCTAATCATTACATCTAGGATTTTATGTGTATGCTATAAGCATTATTTACACCTTTTTATTTGATTTTCATATGGCAATTTACTCCATTAGAAAGCTCACAATGGGTGTTCACAAAACTACATAACTTCACAACTACAAAGAGCATTTGAGATGATCTAGCAAAGCCCTTAAAATATAAATTAAAAAGACTAAACTCAAACACTTCTCGTTACTTAGTCCAAGTCCCCAACGCAAAGCAACTGATGCAAACAAACATTATTCAATTATTTACTTGTGTATGGCTCCATACTGGAGTAATGACAACCAACAATTGTTCCAACCTCCTCAAGACACAAACTACTGAGGAGCAGGGACGCACGTACATGAAGCCTTTACATAGTTTCCATGCTCAGAGAAAGGAAAATGTCATTTCTCCCTGTTTTACTGGGATCTGAGAAAACTTACACAAAGGGAAATGGTTGAACAGAGGCTTGATAGGACTACTCTAATAGACCGGAAATGAGAGCACAGTATTAAAAAAAAAAAGCACCAAGAAGCAAATAAATGCACAGCGCATTCTGAAAAGCATCAACAGGACACAGCAGGAGCAAGCAAATTGCAGCCCAGTCCCAAGAGCAGCCGAGTTCTGTTTTCTTCTTTAGTTTACGACAAACTCAAACACCTGAAACAGGGCTAAACGCCGGCAACGCGTTACTCGCCAGAGGCCTGAGCTGGGCCAGTCTGAAACTAGGGAGCTGCTTCTGGGTCTCCCTGAAGAGTCCAGGGGGCTCAAGCCCTTGCGCCATTCCCCACTGCTTTCCCAGGTGCGTTAGCAAAGAAGGATTATGCGATGCCAGGGCCCCAGGTCGTGCGCTCCCGGCTGCAACACAGCACCGGCCTCCGGAATAAAAATATTAACGGTAGCTGTGACTGAGGGTGACATTTTACTATGCACTACACTAACATGTCATAAGCAGCTCATTTGAACCTCCTAAAACATTTACAATATTTACAATTCTAACACTACTCTCAAATCACACAAGCAGTAACTGAAGCTTACAGAGGATAATTTTTCTAAAATCACACGCTTAAAAAAATGGGTTCACAGTCCACTTGTCGCCAAAGCCAACGAACTAAACCAAACTACACCAGAAAACTCAGGATCAGATTATCAATCTCCGCGTTCCAGTGAATGCACTGCCAAGAGGACCTGCTGCCCTCTGTGAAGTTCAGAGAGAGCGCCTCGTGCAACGCCACGCACGAAGGGATCCGCGGGGTCTACTCGGCTTTCAGGGAGAACCCCATGTGCAACCGGGAAAGGTGGGCGCGACCACGTCAAGCTGGAGCAGCCGAACCGTGTGCGGCAACGGCAGCCGAGACTGTGGACAAAGCCCGTTACACACGGAGGTCTGCGCAGTACCACGTCGGGAACAGGGAGGTGTCAAGGCCAACACTAGGGCCGTCCGCGCCGGCTCCACACGGAGCAGCAGCGCTCAGCCACTGACCAGATTATCGGGCCTTACCCCAAACACAGCCTCCCCCGGATCCTCAGGTTCTGCATCCATAAGGCACCTGCAACATCAACGCAAACCGTTAACTCACATCTCGAATCCTTCCTTTCTCTGCCTCTTACTTACTGAGAGAAATCCTTACCCAAATGTTCCAGTACGGTCGCCGCCATCTTCCTCTCGTTCTACGGAAGCCTCGGAGGCCAAAGGGCGCACGGCGATGCGCACGCGCAATACTCCAGCTCGCCTCCTGGCGTTGTCATGGATACCGCGGACGCCCTGCCCAGGTGTCCTCAGGCCAGCCCCTTACGACTTAACAAAGCCCCGAGAAACTGGTGTTTCCAGAAACCCACTAAGATGCAGGAAAAGTGTGGCTTCCCCTCACAAATGATGTAGGAGAGGGGACCAGTCTGTGAATAAGTCACCTCACCCCGACCGGCCGCGGCCCTCAGCTTTCCTCTCAACAAAGGCCAACATCGAGTCACAATTTATGAAAAGCAGTAAATGTGTGAAAATTTCCTTTTCAAAACAGCTTTCATTTCTTTCTTCTTTTTAATTAAAAGCGCGCTGAGACACTGGTTCATTTTCCAAACACCTGCACTAGTCCAGGCTCGGGCCAGGCATCCCCCGCAGGTGGCGTGGAGCCACCGGCTGCTCCAACCCACCGAGGACAGGAGCGGGCAGCTGGGCTGGGAGGGTAGCTCAGACCAACGCCGGGCACTCAACATAGGAATTGCGCGTCCTGCTCCCTATACCAGACTCCTCCCTGAAAGCTTTAGAAGAAAATACCATCTAAATATCAAATAATTCATGATGTGCTCATTGGCACTGGTCTCCGGACTGGCCACATGGGATGACTTACTCATGGACAACCAAATCTCATTTTATTCCTAACAGCAAGTCAACAAAATGTGGATTACCACCTTCCTTCTTCAAATGAGAAATACGTAAGGTAGGTTAAAGTCTACGCTACCGACTGGCACCACCAGTGGCCAATGTAGGGCTGGGTGCCGCTGAAGTTAGCTGAGCTGGACGCCTTCAGTTACATGACACATATTCGATTTTGCCGAATTAGAGAGAGTCATTCCAGGTTAGGGTTTGCTACACATGCAATCACTACAGGAGCGACTCTGTACCTAATCCTATTGGTACGTTCGTTGCTTTTCCTCCACAGCACTCATCAGAGAGGGAGGGAGCCCAATCAAATCAAGAGCAGTTCCATTGTCTTCAAACACCCGGTTGCAGACACTGTCTCTTCCCTTTCGGGTTGCAGATTCGTACCTTCCCACTCTGTTAACTGCCCTGTTTTGTGGGTCCCGCCCCTCGCAGCGGGAGCCGCGGGAACCGAGCGTGCGGTGCGCCGTGGGCCTCGGCGCGCGCCGTAGCTGCGGCCTGCGGAGGCGGGACTGCAGGCCCGGCCACCCCGCCCCGCTCCGGCGGCGAACCGTCTCGGCGGCCGCCTGCTTCCCTGCGCTCCGGCATCGTCCATCATGGGGCAGGAGCCGCGGACCCTGCCGCCCTCCCCCAACTGGTACTGCTCCCGCTGCAGCGACGCGGTGCCCGGGGGCCTCTTCGGCTTTGCCGCACGAACCTCCATCTTCCTGGTCCGTGTGGGCCCCGGCGCGGGCGCGAGCGCTGGGACGCCCCCTTTTCGAGGTAACTTTCCACCTCTGGTCCTCAGCTTCCCTGTCCGTCCTGCTCCCCTGGGCCGGCCACGGGGCGTCCCCAGCTAACCCATTTCCCACCGAGAGTGACACGGAAGCCCCGGCGGGAAAAGCATTTACTCGGGGCCCCTGAGCGGAGTTGCCTCGGGTCTGCGAGCAGGAGCAGCACCATGCTGTGGCCGACGGGTCCCGCCTCCCCGCGCTCGCACGTGGGACGGCCACCTCCCTGCTCCCTGCCTTGCCCCCAGCGCTCGAAAAGCCTGTGGCTTACCAGCCCCCGGGGGCCTTGCCGAGGCAGGTGGGGCGCCGGGGGTGCCCGAGGACCCCGATCCTAAGCTGAAGGCCTGTGGAGTTGTGGCCGCTCTCTGCAGGATGAATGGGCTGAGCCTGCGGCCCTCGGGCTCCAAAGTAAAGCCTTGATAGCACCGGGACAGACTGATTATACTCCACACGACCTCTGGCCCAACCTAAGAGTGGCCTCCACATTCTAAATCTGAGTAGCTCTCCGGCCTGAGAACTAATGGGAGCAACAGATACCCTCTCCAGTTTCAGCTGAACTGTTAGAGAAAGCAGAGGCTGAGGGGTACGGCCTGGTTGGTCGGGGGCCACATGGCAGAGCCAGCAGTGCTAGCCCCGACGGCTTCAGGTTGTTGTATGCGGTTATTTTTTGTTAGAGCCTGGGTTGAGTAACTCCAGGGCATCAACTCACTCATGCTCTGAAACTGTGTGATTCTGCCAGGAATCTGAGAGCGCGCTTCAGTTAACCGAGGGTCTGGTTTTGCTTGAAGTTGTAGGAGAGCTGGTGGGACACACCGAAAGGATCTCTGGCTTCACATTTTCTCATCATCCTGGTCAATACCACCTCTGCGCCAGCAGCTCCGATGATGGCACCGTGAAAATCTGGGATGTGGAGACAAAAGCAGTTGTGACAGAACATGCATTCCATCAGGTACCAGGGCTTTCCGTTTGGTTTCCCAGCCCTTTCTCTTGATCTAAGCTAAGGATAGTTTTGCTAGCTCCTCTGTTCAAAGAAACCTTTATAATTAATTCATTATTTAGAATCTTTACTTACTTACATTCAACTGAAAAGCAAAAAGGGGTGGGGGGAGGCAGAGGCACTGCTCGAGATCATTCATCCATTGGTTCCCTGCATGAATGTTCTCTTGGCCTGTTTGGACTGGATCCGGGCAGCCAGAGGCCTCAGAACCGACCCGGTGTCTTCCACGCGGACAGCAGGGACTGCAGTACTAGAGCTGCCCTCCAGGTGGCGCAGGCACAGGAGGCTGAAAGAAGGGCAGTGCAAATTCCTGTCAGGGAAGCAAGAGCCTTGAGTGGCATCTGAATTGCTGTGTTTTATTATTTAGAGAAGGAACTTTAAGTTGAAAAGGAAACTCAAATATTTTGTGAAACTAGATGCAGGAGTCGGTGAACCATACTGCCTGTTCTTACAAATAGTTTTATTAAAATTCAGCCATGTGGATTTATTAAGGGTTGTCCATGGCTGCTGGAGTCTAAATAGTTACCCTTGGGTTGTTCACATACCAGGCTCGTGCCATAAAGGGTAACTGAGTGGGTGAAACTCATTTCAAAACCAGAGACTGGGACATGTCAATATGGAATATGACTCTAGCATTTCATATCACAGAATCATTCATTCAGAATCCTGACTCCTTTGCTTCTGATCCTCATTAACTTCCTGTTAATGTGCCTGGAAGGCAGTGGGAAATGGCCCAATGCTTGAGGGCTCTTCCGCCTCACTGGATGGAGGTCTTGCTTCCCGGCTTCTGCTGGCCCAGCCTTGTCCTGTCTGTTGTGACAATTTGGGGAGGGAACCAGCAGAGAGCAAATCTCTGTGTCGCTCTGTCTCCGTCTGGCTTTCAAATAAATAAATATTTTTTAAAAAACTGAATACATAAGCCATATGATTAGTTAACCTTTTTAAAAAATAAAGGAAAAAAATGCATTCAGTCTTCCTAAGAATTTTCATTAAACTATTAAGAAAAAAATTTAAAGGATTCTTTAAGTCTGCAGTAGTCTAAATTTTAGTCACTTGGTTAGTATAGTGTTGCTATTCAGAGAGCACTAACAATTATTTTAAGGACCTGTAAGGTACCTAACATTATATGATGGTGGTTTGTGAGGTGTGTTAAACATTAAGTAAAAATTCAGCACTGACTAATGGAAAACACTTTGTTTCGTTTTGTTCTAAAGCATACAATCTCAGCATTGCATTGGTCTCCTCGAGTAAAGGACCTAATAGTGTCTGGGGATGAAAAGGGAGTAGTTTATTGTTACTGGCTCAACAGAAATGACAGCCAGCACCTCTTTATAGAACCCAGAACAATCTTCTGTCTTACTTGTTCGCCTCATCATGATGATTTAGTAGCCATTGGGTAAGTGCTGTGCCATTGATAGTGATTTTTTGTTTCTTTGTGATTGTATTTTGCATTTGCCTTACTCTAGCTCCTGCCTTTACTGCTTGGTGGAATCCTTCCACAGGAGGTTGGGGCTCACTACTCCGTGCTCACGGCTGCCTCGATCACAGTGATCGCCACATCCTTACTGTCTCTCCACTTCCCTCTGGTTTTGTTTCCCGATGTCCATGGTTTTGCACCAAGCACATCCATCACGTCTAAGTCCTCCAATCAGCCTGCAAATGCCCTCTTTCATCTCCTACATCACCCTTGGGTTAACATTACCTCAGTGAGTGTGAGATAATGCTGCCCTGTCTGGCGCTGAGCTTTCCTTCTAGACTGGGAAAGTGGGAAGCCTCCTGGGTCTGTCTCCCCACTGAATACCATAGCTTTGGAAGTGAGCATCCTTCTTCCCCCTCACGTACTTTTCACCCAAAGGTGTCCCTCCAGTTTGAATCCTTTTCATAGGCAATGAGAAAATGTTCCATTCGGTGGCTTCTGATGTTCTCATTGAGGTGTGAGTTGCAGTGACTGGGTCAAGTTTCTCATGAATTGGGGCTAGATTCAGGATGAAGGTGTTAAAACAGTCATCTCAGAGAATATGAGAATAAATTTATGGAAATGAGTTGCAGATACAGTGTTCAATGCTTTATACCAAGCTTAGGATCAAATAACTACTCAAACTGAGAAATGAAATGATTGGATTCACCCAGGTTTGAGGTTTTGCAGGGTAAAATTCCCAGAGGAGGGGAGACAAGGAATATCGTATTTAAGAAGGTGGTTATAATGATGGATCATCAACTCTGTGCAGAAGGAAGGAGGACAGATGTGGGTGAGTGAGTGAGAATATAGGAGTCTTGTGACGTGGGCACATTGTTGCAGCTAAGGGTCTAGAGAGAGTAAACTGAAGGGTAGAAGGGCTGAGAGAAGGCTGAACCAGACCCTGAGAAGAGAGCAAGGAGTCACGAGAAGATGTGCAGGAACTGCAGAGTAGGACCAATCGGATGAAGTCAGGATGAAGCTTTTAGGGGATCTCCAAAAGAATGATTATTCATAGAAAAGTAAGACTTGAAAACAACTTGACTTTGTAACAGTTAGACTGCAAGTACCTTGAAGTTAAGGCTTTCAAAGATTAACATACTGTGGAATGGCTGATAATGTTGACCTCCACAATGACTGCTAAGCTGAAATGCTAATTACAGAGAATATTCTGACTTGGCTTCTTAGTGCTGTCTCTAACTCTTGTTTTTCAGCTACAAGGATGGAATAGTGGTCATAATGGACATCAGTAAGAAGGGAGAAGTGATTCACAGGCTGCGAGGCCATGACGACGAGATCCACTCCATAGCCTGGTGCCCTGTGCCTGGTGAAGACTGCTTATCCCTGGGCCAAGAGGAAAGTTCAGGTAGAGATGATTTAAGGGAGAGTTCAGTACTCTTCACTCTAAAAGAACAAAGTGCATAGAACTGTATCATTTTGGGACTGGCACCCTGGTATAATAGGTTAAGCCTCCGCCTCAGTACCAGGATCCCATATGGGAGCCAGTTTGTGTCCTGGGTGACCCCAGCCATTTGCCGAGTTAACCAGCAAATGAAACATCTCTCTTTCTGTGTCTCTATTGCTTTCTGTAACTCTGCCTTTCAAAGAAGAACTTAAAAATAATAAATCTGATTTAAAAAAATAATTGTATCAGGGCCCAGCACAGTAGCCTAGTGGCTAAAGTCCTCACCTTGCACACACTGGGATCCCATATGGGCGCCAGTTCTAATACCAGCGGCCCTGCTTCCCATCCAACTCTCTTTCCAGGCTTGTGGCCTGGGAAAGCAGTTGAAGACAGTCAAAAGCTTTGGGACTCTGTACCCGCGTGGGACACTCAGAAGGACCTCTAGGCTCCTGGCTTCAGATTGGCTCAGCTCCAGCCATTGCAGCCACTTGGGGAATGATTCAGCAGACATAGGGTCTTTCTCTCTGTCTCACCTCCCTTCTGTATATCTGACTTTCCAATAAAAATAAATAAATCTTGGGCCTGGTGCCATAGCCTAGCAGCTAGGGTCCTCGCCTTGAATGCGCCAGGATCCCATATGGGTGCCCCGGAAACCCTGCTGTGGCCTGGGAAGGCAGTCGAGGGCGGCCCAAAGCCTTGGGACCCTGCACCCATGTGTGAGACCTGGAAGAAGCTCCTGGCTCCTGGCTTTGGATTGGCACAGCTCCGGCCATTGAGGTCACTTGGGAGTGAACCATCAGATGGAAGATCTTCCTCTCTGTCTCTCCTCTCTGTATATCTGCTTTTCCAATAAAAAAAAAAATAATAAAAATAAATCTTTCAAAAAAAAGAACAATGCATCTTAAAAAAAAAGAATTTGTATCATTTGAATTGCATTTAAAGTTTAAGTTTTACAGTTCAAATAATTATTAAAGAGATTACTAATTTTTAGAAGTGCTTCCAAGCTAATTATTCTTTAATAAGTGCATGTTTAATGCATATTGACAAAATTCTCTCTCTGCTAGAGGAGCCTGAAACGCTCAATGGGAAAGTTACAGCACGAACTCCGCAGTCGAAGGGCTGCTACTTGGCCACCGGGAGCAAAGATCACACCATTCGGATCTGGAGCTGCTCAAGGGGCAGAGGTAAGACTGGTTTTTAAGATTTCTTTTTTTAAAAACAGGAAAAAAAAATTTCTTTCCTGATATAATCTAGTTTGAGCCAGAGGAAGCAAAACTTTTTTATGCTGTCCTCTGGTCCCGAGAGCGTGTCCTCCGTTGGAAGGCAGCCCGTACCTGTACTTTTTCCAGAACATTGTTTCTCCCGCTTAGCTTGGGCTGGAACTGTCTGTGCTCTGCGCATCTGGTCGTGGTGTGCAGTATAGTTTCTGAAGACAAAGCTGCTGCTGCTTTATTGAAGCATCATGGTGTGTGTGGAGAGCAAGGTACTTGTTAGGAGAATAGCAAAGCTGGAACATGCACGCCATGGAAAAGATGTCTAGACGGAGCGTTTGCAGTGCACGAATGCGGAAAGAACTCAGAGCCAGCAGAGAAGTGCATGTTGGAACGAGGAAGCTCACTTGACCACATCACGGGGCCCTCAGCATGTACTTCTCCCAAGCTTCTAACAGTTCTCTAACCTTTAGAAATGGAGAGAAACTGCAGGCAAACTGGATGTTACCTTCATAGTAATAGTAGTCTCACCTTTACTGTGGAAAAAGTCACATAAAATATACCAGCCTAATAATTTTAATTGTAGACTTTATTATTATTAAACATATCCATAATTGTATACAGCTATTGGCACTGTTCATTTCTAGAATGCTTGTCATCTTGTGAAACTGAAATTATGCCTGCTAAACAGTAAGCCCTTGTCCCCTCTCCTCATGGCTCTGAAATCATATAGTAAATGTGTGTGTGTGTGTGTGTGTGTGTGTGTGTGTGTGTGTGTGTGTGTGTGTGTTTTAAATGTCTTTTTGTAGCTTATTTCACTTACCACAATATCCTCAATCCCTGTTATAACACATCAGTTTCTCCCTTCTAAGGTTGAATGATACTCTGCCACACATAATGTGGCACGTGCCACTTAGTTTAGTTATTACGCCATCCACAGACTTGAGCTGCTTCCGAGTTTTAGCTGCCGTGAACATGGTATAGTCTCAACTTTATTTCAAGCCATGAGCATTTCATTATCTTGGCCAGATGCATTTATGCACAAAAGATGAGTAGCACAATGCGTGGGATGCAGTTCAGACTTGATAAGTGGTAACAGTTCTGGAAGACAGAACTTTGAGAACTGTGGGCACACTACAGCTAAACCTGATGGGAGTATCAGGCTGAGACCCCCTCTGCACCAGGGGTGTCCAGTACAGTGACTATAATATAAATGTATTATATTACTTTGGAAAAAAAATCTTTTTTAAAGACTTAAACCACAAATGGTACTGTGAACTGCTGATGACTCTGTACATGTAGTTTCACTGTCTTGAGTATCATTAGCCTTTTCTGGATTTATTTATTTATTTGAAAGGCAGAATTACTGAAAGAGAGATCTTGCATCTGCTGGATCACTCCTGAAAGGCCCTCAATGGCCAGAGCTGAGCTAACCCAAAGCCAGGATCCAGGAGCTTCCTCTGGGTCTCCAAGTCAGTAGAGCGGCCCAAGCATTTCGGCCACCCTCCATTGCTTTCCCAGGCACACTAGCAGGGAGCTGGATCAGAAGTGGAGTGGCCAAGATGCAAGCTAGCTCCCAAAAGGATGCCAGTGCTCCAAGCAGCAACTTTACCCTCTATGTCACCACACTTGCCCCATTAGCCTTTTTGATCCACAGGGGTAATGATTTTGAAATTGCCCTTTCTGAAGAGGAGAGGCGGGGGAATAGACCCGACTGTTAAGGAGCGCTTGTGGTTGACCCTCCATTGGCCCAGTAATCAGCCCACGCAGCTGGTATCCAGTTGTTTTGGGTAAGTCTGTCTTGGTATTGCTATGTTTGATGTGTTGTTTTTCTATTTATTGTTGGAGATTCTCAAGGCATCTCTTTGTAGATAATGAAACTAGGATACTAGCCAACAGTATGAACCATTTAAAGTAGGAAAATCATGATGCCAATATCTGTGCTGTCTACTGACAGAGGTGTAAAAGCTTGAACAATAGCCTGGTAGTTACAAGTGTGGACTCTGAAGATGTGCAGAATTTCATGAAAAAGCTACTGCCTACCTGTTTGTGTTCATACACAACACCCTTTTCCCTGCTGAAGTTCAGGCCTGGGAGATAGTAACTGTATTTTCCATCTTGGGGCAGTTTTGGCAGCTGCATTAAAAGGAAAAAAAAATTTAGCACTTGCTTCCAAATGCTGGAATTAATAAGTTAATTTAACAGGTGAGTTCCCTGCCTTTACATGAGGTGATATAATAGAAATTACCTCAAAATGTTAGGGCTTTGTCTGCCCTACCACTGCCCCAAAGAAGAGAGATCATCTTAAACCTTAGGAACTGTGTAAGTACGGCAGGCATTTGATAATTAAAGCTGTTAGAAAATTATGTTAAAAAGTAGTCCCAAGACATGCACATCATCAAAAAGGATGAAAGTACATATTAAAGTGTCCCTCTCATGTCTGCCCTCCCCATTGCTTAGTGCCCCTCTCTATAGTGACAAATTTTGTGTGGATCTCTTCCTGTAGATATTTTGTGCATATTTCAGAAACGTGCAATTCTGTTTTTAAAGGAACAAGGGACAGAAATATTTCTGTAACTGAAGGCCCAAACTCTGGCTCTGCATACATTGTTCTCCAATTACCTGAGAGAATTAACGTGTGTTTTTTCTTCCCAGAGGTGAGCTGCTGCTTTGGGATCTCACCCAGTCTTGGAGACGGAGATACACCCTCTTTAGCATGTCATCAGAAGGGCAAAACCACTCAAGAATCGTGTTCAATTTATGTCCTTTACAAACAGAGGATGACAGACAGCTGCTGCTTTCCACGTCCATGGATAGAGATGTAAGGGCTGCTTATCAGCACTCAGCGCTGCACGGCAGTGATCTACAACCCATCAGTCCCCACGCCCCACCCCTGCTTGCAGCTGCAGAGCTCCTCCTGTTGACTGATGGGCACTGAATTACCCCTAGTCGAGAGGGGGTGAGGCATCAAGAGCCTCCAGCATGCTTGTGTGTTCAGGGAGATGGGATCTGGGGGAGGGAATGTGAACAGGGAAGGGTGTGTGAGGAAATCATGTGTAGTTTTTCCTGTTCCAAAGTTTAGAACACGTAGCAGAATCCCCTGTTCTTAGTGAAGTCTTCCCCCACTGAGTCTTAAAAAGTCAAGTTTTCTTTACTTTAGAGTCTGATCTTGACTGTTTTTCTGGTAGGCTTGTTTGATAAAACAAATGACAGTTAAAACCTTTGCACTGCTCCCATACGTGTGGGAAGTTGTTTTGCTTTTTGAGGTAGTATTTCCATTGCTGAGGCTTTACTTAAAGAGTAGGCTTCCAGAGCTGTCATAGAGTGGGAACATCACTAAATTTCTGGAAAGTAGGAGGCCTGGGTTCTAGTTTACTAATTGTGTGGCCCTGGATTCAGTTGACATTTCTGGGGTTAAATAAATCCTACTGTCCCTTTAAGCTATGTAATTAATTACTAATTCTTTTTCCTACAAGACACTTTTTCTGATTTCTTCCAGAAAAGTTATATTATCCTTCCCCACTCTTTGAGCCAATCGCATCTGAAAACTGTTTTTCCTGTTTCTTTTCTCTTTTTTCTACTTATTTCCTCACTTTTAATCTCTTCAGGTCAAATGTTGGGACATGGCCACTCTGGAGTGTAGCTGGACCCTGCCTTCCCTCGGTGGGTTTGCCTACAGTCTGGCCTTCTCCCCTGTGGACACGGGCTGCCTGGCCATAGGTGTTGGGGACGGCATGATCCGCATATGGAATACGCTCTCCATTAAGAACAACTATGATGTAAAACATTTTTGGCAAGGTGTCAAGTCTAAGGTTACATCGGTAAGGATGCTTTTTTTTTAGTTTGTTTTATACATTTTTTTCAAATGAGTAATTTTTTTTCTTAGAAATTACCTCTTTATTCAAATGAATTCTGCTGGGATTCAAAAGTTATTCACAGCAGTTTTGGTAAAGTTGGAAACTAGAAAGGAAGGAAACCAAATACCATTATCCCATATTCAGAGTTTAAATGTGCTGAATCTTTGTGCAGTTCATTCTGTGATCATGGAAGGTATGTTAAGTTATAATCACTTGTTGCAGTGTTGTCAGATTAGTAAAAATGATAGCACAGATCTCTTTTTGATGTGGAAAGATGTCTAATTCATGAAAAATGAAAACATGGACTACAGATTAGAAAACAGTAAATATATTTTTTTGCTTTGATTTCCTCTAAAATGTTACAATTGTGGCTGTGTTGTCTACAATGAATCTTAGCCAAAAGGCTGAGAAGCGATATGGGTATTTAGCCTAAAGATAATCAATGTTTATTGATGAAAATGGAAATCTAATAGTATGGAAGTATGGTTTCAATGAGAATTAGAAGAAATTTTCACTTTAATTATTGCAAGACAGCGTAAGAGCTCACTCTTCTTGTTTATTCTTATTGGAAACTTTTTTTGTAGCTGTGCTGGCACCCAAACAAGGAAGGCTGCTTAGCTTTTGGAACAGATGATGGAAAAGTGGGATTGTATGACACTTACTCCAACAAGTAAGAAATGCGAGATTCTCTTTAGGCCGTTGAACAAAATGTCAGTGACGGACAGCAAAACTCCATGAATGGCTTTTTGAAAACGGCCTTTCATGTGGTGGGATTTCAGTGTATATGACATTTGGTAACCAGCAAAATAAACCATTTACATTTGTTTTATCCAAGTTTTCAAGCATATATTTTAGCTGTGTAAGACTATTACAAAGAATATCTGGGTAGCTTCTATGTAGATTCACCGATTAACCTTGTCATATTCTTAGTTTTACATTACTTTGTCTAAAACATGTAAAACAAAGTTACAGATAGCATGGTACTTCTTAACAGTTCTCAAAATAAGGACATTCTTCCATGTAACCATTTCCTAACCACACAACATTAACAGTAACTTCATAGTGTGATCTAATGTGTATAATACAAAAATACTTGGAAAAGTTAGTAAAAATGCTTATTTTTTTGAAATACCTTAATTGTATGGCTCATTTTAGGTTTCTTGAAGATAGGTCTAGAGGTCTAATGGCATTCCAGACCCAAACAGTTCAGTTTGGCAGCCAGCAGCATATGCAGCTATTTGTACTTAAAGTAGTTATAATTAAATTTGGAACGCCATTTTGAGTCCCAGATTCTCTACTTCCAGTGCATCTTCTTGCTAATGTCCCTCGTAAGGCAGCAAAGATGGCCTGGGTGCTTGGCCCCCTGGGGTGGAGCTCCTTGGTTTCTGCTTAGTCCAGTCTGACTGTGGCAGACATATGGGTAGTGAGCCAGCACTCTGCCTTTTATAGTAATACATACATACTTTTTTTTTTTTTTTTTTGAGAAAAATCTGCTTTTTCTATTTCTTTAAGCCAAAGAAACAGTTTGTTGTCTGGCTTATTCTATAAATTAATGACCAGCTTAATCATAGTTTTTGAATTCTAAAGTCATACAAAGAATATACTTACATTGAAAGTCATAATAGTGCAGCCCTTTTCTCCCCATCATCCCCATGATGACCTTACAAAATGTTCTTAAAAGAAGCTTTTTTGTTTTTTTAAGATTTACTTTATTTTTATCGCAAAGTCACATATACAGAGAGGAGGAAGTGGGCCTTTCAGAGGAAGAGATGAGAATTATCCTAAATGGCTGGATAGGCGGGAGTAGCATTTTTGTTTTCTGACTGAATGTAAAGTATATTTAAGACACAGTCATCTAGCTATACAGTAGGGACCTTTCAGAAAAAAAGATGATCGGTTTTACATTAAGCAACTTTGTGTTTGCCCCCTGCTCCCACAGACCTCCACAGATTTCTAGCACATATCATAAGAAGACTGTGTACACCCTGGCCTGGGGGCCACCAGTACCCCCCGTGTCACTCGGTAAGGTCTGAATTGTTCTATTAACAAATAGGAGGGTACTTCCTTTCCTGCTGTGTGACCTTGGGATGTTAAAGCTGGCAGGAGTCCTCAGTGTTCTAGTGCAGTGACTGCTTCAAGGATCGGGCGAAGTAGCAGTGGCCAGTGATGAATTGATTTCTTCTTCCCTTTAGTTACATTTGGCCCAGTTCCCTGATTTAACACCTCAGCACTTTTTTCTCTTGTATCAATATAGATAAATAGTTAAGAAAGGTTTGCCAGATACTTTTTGTTTTATACATTAATTTAAAAACGTGGGGACATCTTGGCTTTCCAAAGGAATTGGAGCACTAGGAGAGGATAAACCCTTTAAGTTTTTGAGACTCTTGTTTGTACAACAGACATCTAATAGAAACTAGTTTTGTGTGCCAGCATTAGTGGAAAAAAAAATTGCTCTCAAAGAAATCTCTGCTTTGAGGACAACTCCATGTATTTAGTCTTAGGAATCTTGCAGTTCCATATCTGCTCAAAAGAGTACTACTCATTTCTAGAAGAAAAAAATACTCAAAAGCTTTGATTTGAGAACGTATTATGAAAAACTTTGATTTGAGAACATATTATGTTTGTTCTCTGATTCCAGCTTTAGTACTTCTACCATTTTGAATGCCTAAAGGTGAAAGGAAACATTTTACATCATAGAACTAAACACAGAAATGATACACCTTTTGACTTCCAACCATGTTCAAATGGAAAGAACAGTGACTATACTCCAACACAAACAACTCAGTATGATGTGGTCACTACAGCCATGTATAAGCTGTTACACTAACGTAAACTTTGTTTCTGATCACATACAGGAGGAGAGGGAGACAGACCGTCTCTAACTCTGTACAGCTGTGGAGGGGAAGGGATTGTCCTGCAGCATAACCCCTGGAAGCTTACTGGAGAAGCTTTTGATATCAACAAACTCATCAGGGAGACCAATTCCATCAAAGTGAGTCCTCTCTTGATCCCCCACATCTCATGTTCCTCTGGGCTTCACATATTTCTCATGAAATGCAGATACACATCATGCTAAATCTGATTCCTTAAATAGAAGGCTGTGAGGGAATTTGTGGGAAAAAAGCCTGTATGTTAGGAGTCTTTTTCCTGTAAAGCAAGTATCTTAATTCCTCCTTCCTCACCCTCCCATCCCCAAAATTTGTCTCATTTGCATGGTGATTTATTATAAACCTTCAGAGCCTAAATGTAAGGCTTCCTTTTTATGTGGCATAAATAACGTTAAGACCTGGTGTTAAGTGCAGCTGCAGAGTGCTCTGCTTCAGAAAGAACTGGCCTTTTAATATCATAGTGAAATCATTTCACATTTACACTAAAACTCCCAAAGTACTATAAATAATTCCTTATAGCCTTTGTCCAAAGCACCTCATTAATCACAGTTGCTTTACCATCTGTCAGTAAACTGTAAAATTAAACCATAAGAACAGATTTCCTTACCCTTTCAAATGAGCCATTTTTTAATGCAGATCATCTGAGAGTGACCAGCCTTAAAGTGACAGTTAATCATACATTTAATTATATTTACTGATTATATTCCTTCATTTTCATAGTATCTGAACATTAACATTAAGCAGAGAATGAAGGAGACAAACTTACTCTTCCTAACCGCCTCCTAGGGGAGCGGCAGCTAAGTGAGGGATGAGAGGTTTGGGCAAAGAATCTGGGCTTTTGGGAGTAGAACTTTGGAAACGCTTCCCACAGCAGCTGACAACGCTGTGGCCGTGATGAGTTATGCTACAGAGGGAGCTAAAGAGCAGCAACATGTAAAAGGCAGGGGAAGCCAGATCCTGGGAAAGAAACAGGAGCAATTCGAATGAAACAAGGAGTCCGGGTCCATATGGCTTTCATCAAGGAACATGACCCACCAGTTGTCAAAGCTGATCCGCATGTCTCCTTCCTTATTGTGGAATACAATATTTTGAGTATGTTTTTTAAAAATCTTTAAATGTTATAGAACTTTCGTATCAGCCTCTTCACCTCATGTAAGAAATTAGAATATTTGTTATTAGCAATCCTTGATTCGTGGTGTACAATATTTACAAGAGTGGCTGTTAAACAGAACATTTTTAAGCTAGGAGCTTTTTCTCATGCTGTCATCATTGACTTAAGTTGTGTTGGGAGAACGATTACTGTTTACAGTCAGGATCGTTTGTTTTGCTTTCTAGTACAAATTGCCTGCACACACAGAGATCAGCTGGAAAGCAGATGGCAAAATCCTGGCTCTTGGCAATGAAGATGGGTATGTGTTTGCATCTTCAAAACAGAAAAAAAAAACTGTAACTGCATGTCTATTTGGTCAGAAGCTGGCTGAAGTTAACTATAACGTTAGTTGGGGAAGCCCCGTTGCAGGAACTCTACATCTTGGAAAGCAATGGAACTATGCAGATATTTTGGACCCAGAAAGGGTGTTTGCCCATGCTGTGTTTTGGCTGGTCTGTGACTCCAGGATGCTCAGCTCCTGCATCAAACTGCACCAGTCACACTCTTTAAAGCCTAGGTGGAAATGCTTTTTACTTCTCATAATGTTGTGTCCAGTGTTAGTATAAATTTGTTGGTTCATCAATTCGGTTAGCTTCTTTATCACCATTTATTGTAATTACAAATATCTGAGAAATACAACCTGCTATAGATCATTAAAGTTTTTAAAAGCTGAACATAACTTCTTTTGGAAAACAACCTTCAGTATTTGGTTTTGATGAGAAAATGACCTTTATAGTAACAGATTGATGGACTGGAGGAGATCCTGCGCTGTGTTGTCTGATCCATATTTCTTGCCTTGCTGTGTTTCTCATTCCAGATCAATAGAAATATTTCAGTTTCCCAACCTGAAACTCATCTGCACCATCCAGCAGCATCACAAACTTGTGAATACCATCAGCTGGCATCACGCGCACGGCAGCCAGCCCGAGCTGAGCTACCTGATGGCCTCGGGCTCTAACAACGCAGTCATTTACGTGCACAATCTGAAGACTGTCATAGGTAACTCGGTCCTGTGGCCACTGTCATCTCTTCCCCTGTGTTTATTCTAATCTTTTTATTTTTTTTACTTCATTATTAACATCAAAATAAATACTATTGTTACTGGGACTTTTAACCATGCTTTCCAAAGTGATTTTTTTTTTTTTTACATGACAAAAATGTTAACTTACAAGGTGCCTGGTCCCCCATAATCCAATGCCTTGTTACTAACGAATGTTATTAGTTTGCTACATGTTCTGTCCAGAATTTTCAAGGTATTTATTAGTCTACACATATGTTTTATGTTAACGAATAGGTTTGTGCTTGAAAGGCAGATTTACAGAGAAAGGTATCTTCAGTCCGCTGGTTTATTTCCCAAATGGCCACAAGGGCCAGAGCTGGGTCAGTCCAAAGTCAGGACCGGGAGCTCCCTCTGGGTCTCCTGCATGAGTTCCAGGGCCCAAGGATTTTGACAATCTTTTGCTGCTCTCCCAGGCACATTACAGTAAGCTGTATCAGAAGTGCAGCAGCACGACTTGAACCAGCTCAAGTCTGGGGTGGTAGCAATGCAGGTAGAAACCTAACTTAACTATGCCACAGCATCAGCCCCACTTTTATGTTGTTTCAAGAGAAAAGCTTTCTCTGCCTAGATTAAAAAAAAAATCACTATATAAACAGAAATATCTGTGCCATTTGTAATCTTCCTTACGTATTTTGGGGACCGATATGGTGGCAATCCTTCACCTGCAGTGTCAGCCCCCCATGAGTGCCAGTTCAAGTGCTGGCTGTTCTACTTTTTGATCTGGGTCCCTGCTTCTGGCCTGGGAAAGAGGCAGAGGATGGCTCAAGTCCTTGGGCAGCTTCCACCACACGGGAGTCAAGGCAGAAGCTCCTGTCCCCGGCTTGGGATCAGGCTTCGGCTATGTATCTTGGGAATCTTTTTTGCTGGTATATAAAGATCTATCTTACTCCATTAACAAAAACCTGTTCGATGCCCAGCATGATAGCATAGTGGTTATTAAAGTCCTTGCCTTGAATGCGCCGGGATCCCATATGGGCCAGTTCTAATCCCGGAAGCCCCGCTTCCCATCCAGCTCCCTGCTTGTGATCTGGGAAAGCAGTGGAGGATGGCCCAAAGCCTTTGGACCCTGCACCTGTGTGGGAGACCAGAAGATCTCCTGGCTTCTGGCTTCGGATTGGCTCAGCTCCAGCCATTGTGGAGGCTTGGGGAGTGACCCATCGGATGGAAAATCTTCCCCTCTGTCTCTCCATCTTTCTGTATATCTGCCTTTCCAATAAAAATAAAGAAATATTTAAAACAACAACAACAAATATCTGTTTGGTCCATCATGTATACGTATCCTTCCCACAACTGAGTAATATTTATTTAAATTTGTTTGCAATTTCAATGATACTACAAAAAATAGCCTTTATACATGTAACCACAAAAGTGAATGAATAATTTAGTTGTAGAAAATCTCTAGAAGTGGAATTGGTAAGTGAAGGGTTGCAAACATTTAAAATGTAGGTTTTTTTTAAAATGTAGTTTTTGTAGTAGTTACTGCTTTAAAAATGTTACTAGTTTATATTCCTTCTGACACTACTGGAGCATCATATATGTGCATGTAGGACATGCCCCGTCTCCTTGTTTAATTCCATTTAATCTTACAGTCTTAAGGTTTTGTTATTTTTGTTTAGCCTATGATTAACTTGAGAACTACAAACGTTTTCCAGCTTCTTTAAGCCAGAGAGCTAGCGTGCAGTGGTCTGACTGCACGGCCTGCATGTCTGCTGCCAAGTACTGCTTCCTACACATGGCTAACTTTTACAAATGTATGTAACTGAGTCAAGAAAGAATCTTAAACTAGATAGAAGAGCCCTCCCCCCCCCCTTTTTTTAACATACAGGAAGTGGGAATCTTTTTTTTTTCTGCTTTATATGTTGACATTATGATCCGACACTGAATTGTTTTCAGAGTGCTGCAAAGTACATGTTCTCAGCCACTGTATAAATAGATACTTTTAATTTCCCTGTAACTAATTATCAGCACTTTTCTGAGAATCCTATTAGTGTTTCTCTTGAGCCAGCAATGTATCTAGACACTTTTTTCTGGTAACAAATAGCAGGCAGTGTGTAATGAGCTGTTTAGAAAGCTAGTACTGGCCTGTGATTGCTACTAAGATTCTAAATGAATCATCCACTTTGGCAAATGACATTAACTTCACTGTAATAACAGTGTGGATCTCAGCCAACTACTGTGGCACTACTACCCTGATTTTTTTTTTTAATTAAGTAATCTATTAAGTAGGAAGAAAACTGCTAGAATCAATTTCATTTAGTTTTTTCTCTTATTATTTTACAATAAGATGTAGAAGAAAGTTGTAAGAATAGTAGAAGAAACCCACTCATCTTTCCCAGCTTCAACCATTTTTCACATTTTGTTCCATCTGGTTTATTCCGAAATGGAGAGTATATAATTTCCAAATTAGTTGAGATGGTGTTGTGTATATTATAACCCCCCTCTATACCTATAATGTTTCTGTATTTTATGACAGCGATATTCCCTTACAGAACCATGCCGTCATTAACCTCAGTAAATTTAAAGTATGGTGATTTAATCTCCCATCTGTGTTCTGGTTTGCATGTTGAGCCAGTGGTGTGCTTTTTCACCAACACAAGAACCTGTCCAGGATCACATTTGTTATCTCTCTCTAGTCTCCTTTAATATTAAACAATTTGTCTGCCTTTTTAAAACAATTATACTTGACATTTTTGAAGACTGCAAGCCAGTTCTTATATAGGTGCTTCCTCATTTGAATTTGTTATCTTCTCATATTAAAATTTAGATTATATAGTTTTACCTAGAATAACATGTGTAATGATCTGTCTTTTTTGATATTCTCCTTTTGGCTGCTTTTAGAAAGAATTAACTGTTGCTAACACTTCATAAATTTGGTCTGTGTACACATTACTGTGTGTGTGCCCGATTCTTACCATGAAACGGTATTTGCCTAGCTAAGACAAAATCTTGACTCGCACCATGTTAGTACCTTTACTGTTGTTGTTAGTAATGGCAATGATCTCCTCCCCTTGCCTTTTAGAGAGCAATCCCGAGTCACCAGTAACCATCACAGAACCCTACCGGACTCTCTCAGGGCACACAGCCAAGATCACCAGACTGGCATGGAGCCCGCATCACGATGGAAGGCTGGTATCTGCTTCCTACGATGGTACAGCCCAGGTACTGCTGCGTCCCTGACTGTGGCTTCTGCACTGTTTGCTCTGTCGTCTCCCAGCCCACCAAACGTGGGCATCTTTTCCTTCCCTCACTGCTGTCTTCTACAGAATGAAAGTAGTCGGGTTGAACTGTGATTATCTGGGCCCTGTGCAGGCTTAGGCTGGGTTTCCTTACCTAGATGAAAGTTTACATATTTATAGGAGCTATCATTTTTACAGATTTCATTCTGATAAGAGAAACTAAATTGAAGTAAAAAGTACTCCTCCCTGTTCAAACACAGAAGTTGTTAGTAAATCACAAGAAGAATTTTGAGTTACAGAAGATTCTTAAGTCAGGAACCTCCAAGCTTAAAAAATACAGAAGAAATGGAAAGCCAGAAGTTTTAAAACCAAAATAGATGTTGGGAGCTGGGAAGTAATGTCTGTGGTGGGCATCTGTCTGTGTTGAGTTTTAACTGGGAACCACAAACATCTGCCTTCTGTGACATGGCCACTGGGATAATTCAAGAAACAGCAAGAAAACTGATCATTTTGTCCAGGAACTTGGGAACCAAAATCATTACCCCAATTCTTAAATCAGAAATTGGTTTTATTTTTTTCATGACCAGTACACTAAACCAAAAAAATCACAAAGCACTGATTGGAGACAGAGAAGCCCATTTATAGTCAACTCCACAGCAGAGTGTATATCCCAAAGCACATAAGCCTCTCCAAGCAATAATACTGTCTGAAATTGAGCTCCTTGAGAAACTTTGAGGTCATGGGAGGAACGCTTAAAAAACATATACCCAAAATGATGGAATAACTGGTAGCTGTCTATTTAGCCACGTGCCTTTTGGTTTTAGGTATGGGATGTCCTCCGGGAAGAGCCACTCTGCAACTTCCGAGGACATCGAGGTCGGCTGCTGTGCGTGGCTTGGTGCCCCCTAGATCCCGACTGCATCTACTCAGGGGCAGATGACTTCTGCGTGCACAAATGGCTCACTTCCATGCAAGATCATTCCCGCCCTCCTCAAGGTCAGTCTGCACCTGCAGTGCCTAAAATGTGCACTGAGGTGCCTTTATCACTTCCTCCAATAGCTGAGCTGATGAAGGTGGAACGTTAAAGACATTCAAGTAGGACAGCAAGATCAAAAGGGCAGCTCCTGGAGCCTAGGTGGCAGCCATGAAAACCTAAAGGCAAAAACAGCCAAATTGTGTTGTGCACACCTACCCCCAAATAGCATTCTGCATTTGTAGGGTCTGAGGCTTATCAAAGAAATTGCTGATTCCAGATTGGCATGTGGAAAATACAAGATGAGTTTAGCCAGAAGGGAAAGAAACACTTAAAACTGAAATAGGACCTGGCATGGTAGCCTAGTGACTAAAGTCCTTGCATTCACTGGGATCCCATATGGGCGCTGGTTCATATCTGGTTGCTCCTCTTCCCTTCCAGCTCCCTGCTTGTGTCCTGGGAAAGCAGCGGAGGACAGCCCAAGGCATTGGGGCCCTGCACCCGTGTGGGATACCTAGAAAAAGTTCTTGGCTCCTGGCTCTGGATTTGCTCAGCTCCAGCCATTGTGGCCACTTATGGAGTGAACCACTGAACAGAAGATCTTTCTCTGTCTCTCCTTCTCTCTTTAGATTTGACGTTTCAATAAAGATAAATAAAGCTTTTTTTAAAAAAAAATAATAGATTAAACAGAGAAGCCAGCCTGAATTGGTCCGATCCAACTCTGAGACAGTTTGACCTTTAATATCAGTGACAGGAGAATTCCACTACAAAAAAATCAACTGGTACCAGACTTGCCTATCTGTCATAAACAACTACAAATTTATTGAAAGAAATAAATGTCTTCATGAAGCTTTGCATAAGAATGCCGATAGCAGCTTTACCTGTGATTGCCAAAAAATAGGAACAAAGTAACATGTTCATCAGCAGATAAGTTAACAAAGTGTGATACAGTGTCACAGTGAAATTCTGTTCAGAAATTTTAAAAAATAAATAAATAACTGATACAGCCTCAAAAAACATGCCAGTAAGAGGAGACAACAGAAGTATAAAATTTTGTTTGCAGGAAATTTAGAATAAGCAAAAGAGTGGATGGGTTTTATCTTAACTTATATCTCAATAAAAGCTATCTTAATATAAGCAAAGAGGATGGGTATCGTGGCACAGCTTGTTAAACCTCCACTTGGTAACACTCTCATCCCATTTAGTTGTGCATGAGTCCCAGCTCCCCACACTTCCTGCTGCTGGAAAAGCCACTGCCTCCCGTGTGGGAGATGAGAGTGGAGTTCAGGCTCCTGGCTTCAGGCTGGCCCAGCCTGGCTGTTGCAGCCATTTAGGGAATGAACCATCAGATAGAGTATCTCCGTCTCTCCCTGCCATTCTGCCTTTCGAGTGAATAAATTTCTTTCTCATAATCATAACCAAATGATAAGACATTAAAAGTAAAGAAATAATAGCAATGAGCTGTAAGCCACTATGAGAGTCAATAGTCCATATAGACATAAAGAGTGAAGCCAGCTCTTCCTTACAGTGAATGCAGAGGGAACAGTGGAATAAGAAGGTCACCACCCACTCACAGTAATAAGCTGTAATCAAGAAATGTCAAATGTAGTAGATGCAGATGCTCAGTGACTAAATAGGAAAAAAACTTTCAGATTATAACCTTCAAAATATCCCCTTAATCAACTCATCAAAGTTAGCCAAACCATGATACAAATAAGAATTGTAGCTACTCCTAGGTTGTCCTGAGATAAACACACAGATGAGCATTCTGTGTGTTCCAGCCAAAATGCACAACCTTAATGTAATGAAAAACGTCAGGCTGACCCAAACTGAGAGGAATTCACCAAAATGACTCTCAGAGTGTTTGTAAGCATCAGGTAATGAAAGCCAGAGAAAAAGCAAGCAGGTGTTCCAGAGCACCAAAGGCAGTGTGTCTCTGTAGGAGAGCCCTGGGACAGCTTGCAGACTCGATGGAGTGTGCACGGTCACTGTGGGAGCTCATCAGTGTTCATTTCCCGACTTCACTGTGAGTGAAGCCAGAAAACACACTCACTTGCTAGGAAACATACTCAACTATTCATGTGTATGGTTTAGCAGAATTCCAGAAGGGTTTGGATAACATTGTCATAAATGGAAAAGGAAACAGCAGCTACAAAGGATTAGAAGTGGCCACTTATTAGAGTGCTTTAATTTAACAAAGAATGTTTAGTTTATTTTACTATGGTTCCTACAGGAAAGAAAAGTATTGAATTAGAGAAAAAACGGCTCTCTCAACCTAAGCCAAAGCCTAAAAAGAAGAAAAAGCCCAACTTAAGAGGACCTGTAAAGCAAGAATTGTTGGACGGCACTGAAGAAGAAAGCCTGAAGGAGAACCTGGAGCCTGTGGAGAATGGCGTGTCGGACCAGGAAGGGGAGGAGGAAGCCCAGGAGCCAGACCCGCCCAGGAACCTCGGTTCGGAGGGTATGCATCTTGGCGTTCACAAACTCCCACTTCTCAACTTCTAAACCTTGAAATATTCTTGATGGATTTTTTTAAGGTTTTATTTAGTTTTCTTATTTAAAACACCTTTGAAATGTTAAAAGGAATCTACTAGATGACTGGGTTGGAAGTAGTTACATGCTGTAAAAAAAAATTTAGTGACTTTTCTGGGGCCAAACCAGGGGACAAAGCAAAGCGAGAGTGGTAGGCCCATGGAGACTTGCAGGGGAAAGTGTTGCACTGTGACAATGGCCACATTTGCTGAAAGCACCATCCCTTAGTGCGTCTGACCCAGGAGCCGCCACCTCAGTGAGGCCTCACAGCATCTGCCCTTCTGCCTGGATTTGGATCCTGGGTTTCTGTGTTCTCACACAAAAACACGTACGAGCAGTCAGCTAGGTTCTTCTAGTCAAGCGATGGTGACGAATCTCAGATTTCTCACAAAACAGCACTGTATCATTAATTTCCAGTAATACAGTCTATTTCTAGTGTGAAGAGAAAAGCTGTTACTGGACAGCTTTTTAGCACTTTTATTAATTTGCATGTTTATCTTCAATACCTTGTGCTCTGGTTGTTAAAGTGATTGATTTAAGTAGCAAATAATATAAACAGAAGCGGTTCCTGATATGCTTAAGTTTAAAACAAATGCTTTTAATATGACAGAATTAAAAGGGCCAAAATATATGGTACAGAGGTACCCTGACCTGGTCCATCCTGAGGATGACTGCTGGGTCCATGGTCAGGATAAGGAAAGAGCTAAAAGCTTACCTAATTCAAAACAGGCTCAGTAAGATATCTTCCTACAAGAATGTCCTTTATCACTAGATCAAACAGCTAGGTTTTTAAAAATAAATAATAGTTTGGGTGCACAGGGTTTTAATTCCATATTGTATACACTCAATCTTCTCTATTAGTTGAATGATTCCTAGTTTATATAATCAAATATGTAGTTAGTACTTTGTGATCCAGATATCTAAAAGGTGTTCTGTCACCTGAGCAAAGTTTAGGAACCTATGAGAGGTTCAAAGCTTTGGCTTTTCTTAGCTCGTCAAACAAAGTGCTATAGAAATGGAATAAAGCCAGCTTTTAAGGTGGGGAAGGGAAGACCACCCCCCGTTCCTTGGCAAAGCATGTTTTGCTAACAGATAAAATTGTATTGGTAGGCCTGGTAAACCTTTTAACTTTAAAATTGTTCTTACTCCAAACTCTTTTTTTTGCCTCACACTGTAGTTTCTAGAGAGCCAGCTGTCTGCACCTCTGTGTCTTCAGGCAATGAAAAGTCTAAAGGTGCCATAATCAACAAAATCTCCTTCCTGAAAAAGGAACCACCTAAGGAGAAGCCAGGTTGGTATCTCATAACTGGAGTGTTTTGTTGGGGTGTCCTAAAACATGATGTGCAGCTTTGAACTCGGAAGCATACAGGGTTCGTTTGTTTAGGCTTTACTGCAGGCATCATTTTGATAACGTTTCAGTCTGGGGTTGAGCCTCTGAGTGCTTCTTTGCACGTCATGATGTGTTCTGCCACTGCTGACACTACTTCCTAATGTAAGCCAGGACATCTCTGAGTGTATCGTGAGCACTGTCCCCACTGGTGGATTTGAACACGTCTGTACTGCAGGGGGAGCTTCCTGTGCCCTCCAGGTCACATTCACACAGCAGGCACTCCATCTTGGATTTCTGATCAGTTGTTCTTCAAATGGTTTGTAATTCATTACATTTCAGAAGCCTTGATCAAAAAAAAGAAAGCTCGGTCCATGCTGCCCCTGAGCACAAGCCTGGATCACAGATCCAAAGAGGAGCTCCACCATGACTGTTTGGTTCTAGCGACGGCAAAACATTCCAAAGGTACCAGCTACATTTCTTTGCTCTGTCCAGGGTTTCCTGGAGACTGACGTAGGAAGGGTGCTTACTTATTTCTTGAATGAATGAGCAAACTAAATTTCTTATATATGCTTCAGTTCTTTTCCAGCCTTCCTCCCGACCTGCATTCCCATATTCCACTGGCTGACTCCCCATTCTGACCTGTTGTCAACACTGCCCAGTGCTCGGAGGGGTAGCTCCGTGCTAGCAGCCATCTGCATGCCAGAATCGGGGTGCTGGCTTATTTATCCTGCCACAGCCTGGCCTCTACTCAGCAGTATATTTATGTAGAAAATTGGTTTTTTCTTACCAGCACGGTACAACAAATAAAGCCACCACGTGTGATGCTGGCAGCCCATGTGAGTGCTTGGCCCTGTCCCAGCTGCTCCACTTCTGATCCAGCTGGGAAAGCCATGGAGGATGGCCCAGATGCTTGAGCCCACATTGGAGACCTGGATGAAGTTCAGAGTTTCTAGGCTCCTGGCTTCAGCCTGACCCCCCCAGCCATTGTAGCCATTTAGGAAGTGCACTAATAGATGATCTCTGCCTTTCTCTCTCTCTCTGTCTTTAAACTTTTTAAAAAAAATTTACGGGAATATTTTGTTAGTGAAGTCTTTTTAAATTTCTAAATTTCAGAGCCTTTATTTAATGCCTATTGCTTTGATATTTAAACAAATTTTTTCGAAGATTTATTTATGTTAATTGACAGAGGTGGGGGAGAGGCAGAGAGATCTTCTATCTGCTGGTTTACTCCCCAAATGGCCACAATTGCCAAAACTGAGTCAATCCAAGGCTGGGAACAAGAAGCTTCTTCCAGGTGACCCACATGTGTGCAGAGGTTCAAGATCTTAAGCCATCCTCTATTGCTTTTCCAGGCCACAAACATGCAGCTCGATGGGAACTGGAACAGCCAGGACTCAGCTGGCACCTATATGAATGCCAGTACTGCAGACAGAGGAATAGCTCAGTATGCCACAGTGCCAGCCATACAATTTTAATTTTATATTTTGAGATGGGCTGCACGTGATAAAGAAAAAATGTTTAAAAAAGGACATCACACCCCTGACACTTAGTCTTCCATTTCTCCTCCCTAAAAACATTAGCAGTTTCTTGCGTCTTGCCAGAGATGTGTTTTGATTAGAAAGGCAAATGTACAGAGAGGAGAGGCAAAGAGGAAGTTCTTCTATCTGCTAGTTCACTCCCTGTGTGGCCACAACTGCCAGAGCTACACCAATCCAAAGCCAGGAACCAGGAGCCTCCTCTGGGTCTCCCACACAGGTGCAGGGTCCCAAGGATTTGGGCCATTCTTTACTGCTTTCACAGGCCACAAGCAGGAAGCTAGATGGGAAGCGGGACCACTGGGATTAGAACTTGTGCCCATATGTGATCCTGGTGCATGCAAGGTGAGGACTTTAGCTACTAGGCTACTGTGCCGGGCCCTGAATTTTTTTATAGCCTTTTTTGGAGGCTTTGTGATACCTTTCTGTGATTAACGTAATTATACAGTTTTGCATTGTTTCTCCTACTTGAAACGTTTTTTTTTTAGTTCTTTTATGATAGGTCTCACTGAGTATTAAACATTTCTTATTAACTTAATTATTATTCTTTTTTTAACAGCATTTCAATGCATGTTGGATTTTGGGTTCAATTCTAAAGTTTTCCTTCCCCTTGTCTCTCAAATCTTTCTTTGAGTAGACTACAACTTATGTTGTCCTACTGGATTCTGTCAGGAGTGGAGCTTGATGAACCTCTGTATTCTGTTCTGCTGTCCTATAACCAGCAGGGGTCTCCGTGAGAGTCAGCGGCACGAGCCCGCACACGGAGCCCGCACACGACAGCATCAGGAGTGACTGTTCATACAGATAGTACTCAGGAATCACTGGGTATAAACGGCATCATGATTTGATCTGATTATTTATCTTTTAAAACAGAGCCGAATGAGGATGTATCTGCTGATCTGGAGGAAAGATTTCACTTGGGGCTTTTCACAGACAGGCCTGCCCTGTACAAAATGATTGAAACTGAAGGTGAGCCAACCAAGGCAATAATGCCATCCATCCTTACGTGTCCCCAACCTGTGAGCGCCTACGCCCCTTACAGGGCTACTGTAGCACTGTGTGGCAATTTTACTTGTCAGTTAACCAGGTTCTGAGGTCCTGACTTAAATCTCTCTTTCCCAAACAGGAAAAGGCCACTTGGAAAATGGCCACCCCGAGTTATTTCACCAGCTCATGCTGTGGAAGGGTGATCTAAAGGGAGTCCTCCAGACCGCAGCAGAGAGAGGGGAGCTGACAGACAACCTAGTGGCTCTGGCACCTGTAGGTATGTGCTCATCAGGAGGGCTCCTGCGTGAGCATAAAACCACAGAACCAGGGACATACACCACACGCTACATTTTCAGCAGTAAGATGATGAATATATCAACCCAACCTCTGCAACAGCAGGTCTCTGGCTTCCTTTAATGATTAGTGGAAATGCTTGTAACCTTTGGTTCACCAATTCTAATTACAGAACTTATGCAGCTCTACTGACACAAACAGAATGACGAACAAACCTGAATTTTCACTGCAGCAGTTCTGCTGTTTTTGAGCAGTGAAAGATGGCAAAAATCTCTATATGCATTAGTCATAGACTGATAGATCACTTACAATAGAAACCCCTGCAGACACCAAAAGGATGGGCAGTTCTGTATCTCACACAGATGAAAAGAATCAAGCTATGGACACAAAACAGAAAATTGAATATTCAATTGTATTTACACACTTAGGTGGGTTTAAACTTACTATCTCCAGAGTTTTCAAGAGAAATTGATAATGATGGTTGACAGAAAAACATCTTGTGCCCAGTTTCTCTCTCTTTTTTTTTTTTTTTAGCTTTTTATTCAAGTGTACTACAGATGAGAATACTTTAAAAATGAATGGAAAAGTAGAATTAAGCGATAAATTTATTTCAATACAAACCGTTTTTAAAATTCCATACATAGTTCTACTGCCTAATATGCATTTGCCATAGATTTTTAAGATTGTGTGTGCATGGTGTTAACTATCATCTTTATTTTTTCAGCTGGCTACCACGTGTGGCTGTGGGCTGTGGAAGCTTTTGCCAAACAGCTGTGTTTCCAGGATCAGTACGTCAAGGCTGCCTCTCATCTGCTTTCCATCCACAAGGTGTATGAAGCTGTGGAGCTGCTCAAGTCTAATCACTTTTACAGGTCTGCATGGTCCTCAAGTGGAGGCAGTAACTGGGCATAATGTGAAATATAATTTAAACTGTACTGTTAAACAACCAGTGCAAACACCTTAAAACAAATGAACAGCTTAATGAATTCTTAAAAGAGAAACTGCGCCCACACTCACACATTTTTAGGGAACTCCCATTTTTGTAAGCCTCATCTAGGAAGGGAAATTTGCTGGCCACCTCAGAAGCTCTTCATCTCAAGCCTAATCATTTATTTTAAAGAAATGCACAGGTGCCCTAGCAGGGAGCTGGACTGGAAGTGAAGCAACTTGGACTCGATCCTCCATCCAGCACAGGAAGCCCAGCTCACTGTGTGATAGTGCCAGCCCCCGTGCAGGTTTTTTCTTTTTTTTTTTTTAATGGCATAAGAGCAAACTGGCGCCAGTTACTCCATCGTGGCTGAAAGACAAAGTGCTGTTGCTATAGATCACTTTGATCTAAAGCATTTTTATTCCAACTACAGTTTTATGTTGTCACAATCCAGAGCTGGAATATCATTTGGAAAATATTAGTTCACTAAGTTAAATTTACTTTTTGTAATAGTGCATCAGTCTCATTGAAAAAGTCTAATATTTCATCTTTTCCTTTTCTTCTTTTTTTAATGCCCGAGCCATTGGCTGGCTTCTTACTGAGATACCAGCACCTCTACCCACCACTGCTGTTACTCAGTTGACACAGCTGTCAACACAATTTAACAACAACCAAAAAAATGGCAAACTGTCTCTCAGCATTATTATGAAAATAGCTTTTGATCTCATGAATCCCCCAAGAGGGTATGAGTAGAAGTTCCAATCCAGAAGAAGGACTGGACACAGAGTGTTTTTTTTAACTTGACCTGGTAGGACAGGAGCACTTCCTAAACCAAATTGGAAAAATACAGACAATACAACAAGGTGGTTTGTCTTGTTTGGCATCTGCTCCTGGGGTCTCAGACCAAGGGGCAAATTGAGATGGGCTGAAGGCTTTGTTGTTGCCTTTAGGGAAGCCATTGCCATTGCCAAGGCTCGGCTGCGCCCAGAGGACCCCGTCCTGAAGGACCTGTACCTCAGCTGGGGAACCATCCTAGAAAGAGATGGCCACTACGCTGTGGCAGCCAAATGGTAAGTAGGGGCAACAAGAGTACAGTGTTCCTCAACAGAGCTTGTGTCGGAGAGGACAGGAGAAGAAGCAAAGCAGAAATGCTTCGCAAGGTAGAGTTGAAGTGGCTAGGTGTGGACATTATACCTAACTTCCTAAGCTTCATCAGGATCCACCTCCTCGGCATGGCTGTAAATCATCCTAACTATTTAAGATACCTCAGTCGGAGGCTCAGTAACAACTTTAGTGATGTCTTTGACCGTTCATGAGGGAAACTGAGAGGAAATGACTGCTATGCTTAGGTCCAGTTCAGCACATGTTCCTGTGTCCTCAAACCCTGTGGTGTTATTCACTCTGCTGAGCTGTGCTGATCTCAGCTTGTGTTGGAGCAAGCAGAGGTAGCAATGCCCTGGGAACATGGGGAGGCACATGCAAAAGACTGGACACAGAGAGAAGTGGTTTGACCCTTGGGGGAAGGCCAATAGAGGTTCGTTTATGACACTTTCTTTGGGCTCTCATCCTCATCATAGCTATTTAGGGGCTGCTTCTGCTTATGATGCAGCCAAAGTTTTGGCTAAAAAGGGGGATGCGGCATCACTTCGAACAGCTGCAGAACTGGCTGCGATTGCAGGAGAGGAGGAGTTGTCTGCTTCCCTGGCTCTCAGATGTGCACAAGAGCTGCTCCTGGCCAAGAACTGGGTGGGAGCCCAGGAAGCCCTGCAGCTGCATGAAAGCCTACAGGTCAGTCTCGCTGCATCCCACATGTTCACAGGGAGGGCTGTCTGTTTTCCCCTTCCACATAGCAATGTGGAAGGCTCCTGAATCCTTTAGTCTCTCACTGAAGCAGTTTCACAGTTACCCTTAAAAATGCCAAGCATGTCCTGGTAATGCTCTCACTGAAGGATCAGGGCTCATCAGGTACCATGTTCAGAGTAGGAGCTAATAAGGCATTGCTGGTCAGTTTGTACAAAACTTCAGTAACTACTTACTAACCCACTGGTGTTTCTCCATTCTTTAACTCTCCCCATGTTTCTTGAAACAAAGTTTGTTCGCGACTGGTTACAAGTAACTTTTACTACTGCTTTTTCTGACACATCAGGTTGAAACTCCATTCATACCACTGGCACCCTCTAAGTCTCCTGAAAAGATATGCATTGGTCCCTTTTAGAACTTAGCTTAACTGAAAAGTACGACATATGATGTTAGCAGTCAGGACCTTCTAATGAAACTCAAAACCAAGGGAAGAGAGCAGGGCTGCTGAGTCAAGGAGATCTGAGTCTAAATTGGAACTCCATGGGACAGTACTTCAGCACAGCAGGGAAAGCACTACCTATAATAGCAGTTGGCGTCGTGGCTGCTGCATTTTGTCCAGTTCCCTGCTAATATTCCTTGGAAAGCAGCAAAGGATAGCCAAAGTGCCTGGACCCCTGCATCTACATGGGAGACCCGCAAGCCTCTTGCCTCCTGGCTTTGAAATGACCCAGCTTTGGCTTTTACAACCATTTGGGGAGTGAACCAGCAGATGGAAGTATCTCTGTATGTCTCCCTCTTTGCAACTCTGCCTTTCAAGTAATAAAGAACTTTTCTTGTCAGACACGGATTTTTTTTTTTAAGATTTTGGTTTATTTTAAAGTCATAGATGCTGAGAGAAAAGGAAAAATGGAGATCTTCCATCGGCTGGTTCACTTCCCACCCAGATGGCCACAGTGGCCAGGGACAAGTCAGGCCAAAACCAGGAACTGCTTCTGGGTCTCCAATGTGGAGGGCAGGGGTCCAGCTGCTTGGGTCACTTTACACTGCTTTTAGCAGGCCATTAGCAGGGAGCAAGAATGTGAACTGTCCCCCCAGATGGGATCCTGCATTGCAGGCCATGGCTTTACCAGCAAGGTCCCAACATACTAGTTTTTCTTAAAGAGCAGACTTAACAAAGCAAGAAACCTATATTCTGATACACACTATTCTGTATGGAAAACAGAAAAATATTACACGGGTATGCAAGGAATCTTGACAACTGCAAATCCAGGAAAAATTAAAATTTTCCAGGGCTTTTCTGTGTGCCTCTGTTGGGTATCTAGCCTACTTTAACAGCCCTTAAATGCCTATCACAATACTACCAAGCCTGTCTGCACTAGCACGCCTGGCTCATTGACATTTTACTTGTGTGTTCCTCAGTGTAAAGCACGTGCAGAAATAGCACCTGGCAAGCTTAGCCCATCTGTTGTCAAACTAGGCCACGTGCCTGTGGTAGCTGGCCTGTATATCACTTAAAATGTAGTGGGCGGTGCTGTGGTTGGGATTCCATGTAAGGAAACACGAATGTGGGGCCCTACACGGGACAGATGGAAAGGGGAATACCTCCAAGAGGAAATAAGCTCTCCAGGTAATCCCCATGTGATCACATTGACAATGTCTCTTCTTGGCAACTGGGTTCCAGGCTCAGAGACTGGTATTTTGCCTTCTTGAGCTACTGTCCAAGCATCTGGAGGAAAAGCAGCTTTCAGAGGGCAAAAGCTCCTCTTACCACGACTGGGCCGAAGGCACCAAAGGGCCGTTCACAGAGAGAGTGACAGCAGTATGGAAGACCATCTTCAGCCTTGACACCCCAGAACAGTATCGGACAGCCTTTGAGAAGCTTCAGACCATCAAATACCCATCTGCTACGAGCAACACTCCCTCCAAACAGGTACCCCGCCCACAGCAGCATGTGATGTTAATCATTCAGTAGTAAGACTTCTCTGACCCACGTCTCGTATAGCAGGGCAATGAGCACAGCCACTTTAAAGCCTGCGTTTCAGAAACAGCAACGGCGGGCCAGGCAGCCTGGAGATAGACCCTTTCAGAGTAATTAACTTTGAAGTTAGTCTTACAGCAGTATTCCTTTTAAAAAAAAAAAAATCAGGAATATTTAAACAGCACAGAAAATTACATAATAAGTACCTATCAATTGAAATTAACAGTTTTATCTCTCTCTTTTGCTATATAGGGTTTTTGATTTGGATTTGTTTATTTAGGGATTTTTTTAGTGCTGTAAAATTGAACTCTCTCTCTTTTTCCCTTCCTTAGCCCCATTCTCTTTCCTTAGCTCACCAAGGCAGCTTATTGCTCCAGATGTATTTAGTGGCATGGTTACTTCAGTGACTTCGTAAAGTTACCCATGTTGAAACAGATCAAGTGGTTTTATTTTAGCCGATCTGTCCATCTTAGAATAATCTTACCTTTTCTTTTTTAAAGATTTGTTATTTAAGAGGCAGAGAGAAAGATCTCCCACTGGCTGCACCACTCCCCAAATGAGTGCAATGGTGGGGCTGAACCAGGCCAAAACTAGTACCTGAAACTGCGCTTCCGATATGGGTGATGGGGGCTCAAGTATTTTGGCCATCTTGCTCTGTTCTCCAGGTACATTAGCAGGAAGCTGGCTTAGGAGTTCTATGGTGTAAATACTTCACTAAAATAAACGAAATTAGATGTCCACACACAGTCCACAAAAACTGGAAAAACCTAAATGTCCACCAACTGGTAAATAGATATACTTAAAGAGTAGATTGGTGGTTGCCAGAGGGTTAGGGGAGGGACTCCCTCTGAAGGCACACTTGGGGAGTTTTAGTTAATTACAGTGTTCCATCCTGATTTTGGTGATTTACACACCTAAATTGACCTAATCCTAACATGTTATTTTATATGTAGTCCTCCAAGTTTTGCTCATTACAGCTTTGTTTTAATGAAATGTAAATGTCAAGGCATTTTCTCAGCAGGAATAGTTGCTGCCTAAGTAGGTATCAGAGTTGCTAATGCAACTCTGGGTGGTGGCACTAGCTTCCACGTTTAGTGAATAGAATAGTGCTAGAAGCCCCCCTCATTCCTACCCTAGGAGGATGTCTAACTGAGACTCTGGCTCTCCCCAGGTCTTGCTTCACATTTGCCATGACTTGACTTTGGCAGTGCTGAGCCAGCAAGTGGCCTCTTGGGATGAGGCTGTGCAAGCACTGCTTCAGGCTGTGGTCCGGAGCTACGACTCAGGGAACTTCACCATCATGCAGGAAGTACACTCGGCCTTTCTCCCTGACGGTGAGTAGCCCCCACCTCTGCCTGGAATACGCTGTGGACAGATGTCAGGCAACTGCTGGTGCAGCACTGGGATTACCAAGGTTATAAAAAGACAAAGGTTGGCCAGCTGTGTCACTGTAGTGGAAAGTTTTGTTTCTCTAACTTCCTAAGAGGTAGCCAGAATGACTCCACTGTTTCTACTTGGCCCCTACCTACCCAACCCACTGCCTCCTATCCACATTCCACAGTCAGTATAAGGAGAACTAATGTGGTCATTATTAGTAAAAATGGAAAAAGACAGCACAAAGGTAGCTATTCCTTTAGCTGTATGTCATCAAGCTAAGTCTCTGGAAGTTTTCAGACATAAGTGTGACTTTGATGTGGCCCGAACCTCCAGCAGGACCTGTTAGACTCTTAGTGACTCCTAGCCTGTAGCAGTGAGAACACCTGCCCCACCCAGAAGATGCTTAGCTCCAGGTAAATATGGAGAGAAGGGGTGTGCTCCCTGAGTACACGGCTTTCCTTTTTGTTTAGGTAGCAAACAGAAGATGAGGACAGAGGACAAATTTCTGGCAGATAAAAACATGTAAAATCCCAAATCTTTTTCTTCTAGGCTGTGACTACCTACGAGACAAATTGGGTGATCATTCCCCCATCACACCAGCTTTCAAAAGTTTGGAAGCTTTCTTCATTTATGGGCGTCTCTATGAAATCTGGTGGGCTCTCTGCAGTCCTTGCTCTGACTCCAGTGTCTCGGTGAGGGTCTGTCACAGGAGGACACCTGTTGAGCAAAGCCAAGAGGCAGAGAATGCCAGTGCCGAGGAGGCAGACCCAGAAGCTGCTTCCCAGCCAGAGCCAAGCAAGCCTCCACAGCTGGACTTGAGACTCTCGAAGGAAAGTGAACGCGTGCTGAGTAGCTGCCAGGTGCTCTTTTCAGCACAGCATGCCACCCTGCAGAGCTCCCAGAGAACTGTTGCTCAAGTCCAGGAGACTCTGGCAGAAATGATCCGCCAACACCAGAAGAGTCAGCTCTGTAAATCCACAGCAAATGGCCCTGACCAGGACAGTCCTCAGCAGGAAGGAGAACAGCCCCGCTCCAGTCCTCAGAGTCCAGGGTAAGTACTGGGGCAAGTCGAGGACGAAGAAAACTACCCTGGTGGATTCTCAAATGATAAGATTGACCTCAGTCCACTCACTTGGAAGCAGCCTGATTATTAAGTCACAGGTTTTGGAGTTAGACTTGGGTTCTGATCCTGGCCCTGGTGAGTGGAGTAATCTCAGGCAGGTTTTTAAATGTCTGTGCACTTCGGTTCCCTCATCTGTGAAGAAGGGTACCCATTTGTTAACAATGACAACATGATAAGATCCTCTTTATTGTACACTACGTAGATCCTTCCCCTGAGAAAAATCATACAGAACTGCATTATTGCATCATTCATGAAAAAGGCTCTCAATTACACTGTATTAGCACCCCCCAAAAAAACAAAAAAGATAGTGTGCAAGACTGCATATTAAAGTGAAAAAACACCACATAAGAATGATCAAAATAGGGTTACTTCCTTACTACTTCCACTGAAGTTGGGGCATGGTGGAGAACAGACACCAGTCTCCAATCACCACACAGCTGGACGTGTGTATTGCAGGGCATCATGGGAATGCAAAATAACAGCTGCTCTGGAATAGTCCCTCCAAAAAATCCAGGAGTTCCAGTTCTTAGTGTATACCCAAAAGAATTAAAAGCAAGGTCTTAGAAATTGGTAGTCTGTCACAAACAAATGTAACTGCATGATTCCACTCATACAGGAACAATCAGAGTCTGCGACAGAGAGGACCCTGGTGGTAGCAGGAGCTGGGGGAGTGGAGAATGGAGTTACTGCGGAACAGGCCGAGCATTTCAGTTTCACAAGCTAACAACGGGGCGGAGACATGACTGGTGCCTGTGTCACCCAAAAGCTATGCATGCTCTGTAATGCCAGTCAACTGTGTACTTGAAAGTTGGTTAAAGATAAATTTTATAGGATTTGCATCTTACCACCATAAAAACAGAGGGGGAGGGAATGTTGGGAGTTACCTAAGGTGAAATATGTAACTTGCTCTTTTATTATCAATAGTAAAGAAGAAAAACATGAGCCAGTTTCTCTGCCTGAATTAACAAAAAGGCTTACAGAGGCAAATGAAAAAATGGCTAAGTTTCCTGAGAATATTAAGGTAAGATTAGTAATAGTTTATCTGGTGAATATTATTATTATTTTTTTATTATTATTATTTTTTTATGTTACCATTGAATTATATAGCAAAGGCAATCTATTTCTCTTTCCAGTTCCTGAAATCTATACCTAATTGCATGTGCTTAAAAATGTAGTCCATTTACCTTTAATTTCTAAAATGTTTAATTTGAACAGTAGAAATATTGACCATACAAGCAATTTTATGCCACAGTCACCAGAAAAAATCAAACATAATATAGTTGGGAAGTAAGAAGTAAAATGGTAATTGGTATACCTAGTATTTATTTATTTTTTTAATGGTTTTGAGAAATTTAAATATCATCAAGACACTTGTCTCCACTCTGCCATCCCCCACAGGGCTAGTGGCTTAACCGGCAGCCAGGGTAGCCAAGGGTGCCAGGTGGGGATGGGCCATGGCCAGCCAGCCAGGCCAGTCACAGGACAGGGCCTGGGCCACACGGTGGCATTCTTCAAGCACAGGAGGGAAGGGGATAGCCAGAACTCCCAGTGGGGTCCACCCTGGGCGGAAGAGTATTATTCCCCACCTGCGGGCCACCTCTGGGAGCAGGGCCGACCACTGACAGGTGGGCTGGCTGCTGCCCTGCATTGGCAGGACCAGGACCTGGGAGGTGCAGCCCCTAGCTGGGGTGGGATGGGGAGTGCTGGTGCAGCAGCAACCAGTAGCCAGTAGGTTTGGAGGCCCGGTACCAAGCACTTAGTAGCTTATAGTATACTGGCCTTAGTAGTAACAGAAGCATAAAGGAAACTATCATTTAAGAAAGCATACTATCCCTGTCTGAAGGGTAACTGGAAAGGGCAACAGTTCAGCTGTTCCTGAAAGGATGAGCAGTCTTCAGAATGTTCATAGAAAATGCTTATTACGAAAAAACTATGCAGAAAATTTAAACAGTTTTGCACCAAAAATTATTTTGAATTTCATTTTTACAAGTGCTTCCTTACTCATTCTCATATTCTCTCACAGAAGTGGCCCTTCCCAGATGTGCTGGAGTGCTGCCTTGTCCTGCTTCACATTGGGTCCCAGTGTCCCGGCTATGTGACCCAGGAAATACAGCAACAGGCCCAAGAACTCCTTAAAAAATATGGCAACTCTAAAGCTTACAAAAGATACTGCCAGACCTTCTGTGCATGAACTGTGGAGGACTCTGAAGAAATTGTGTCAATTTTTAAATGACTGACACGTGTCATCACCTCTGCAGTTACACCTTGACAGACTGATCCCTAGGTGTGTGTGCAGCAATCCAGAATACACACGAGAGTGGAGTCTGAACTGTTCTCGTGAACAGTACCATCAGACTTTGGACTCGGGTGTTTTCCTACAGCAAGAAAGATCATGAAAAGCCAGCAGGGATTATCTAACACATACCTGCAGAGTGATGTTGGTCATCTCTAAAGCCTTATGCTGGTTTCACCCAAAGAGGAGAAACTGTTGTGACTGCCCATAGTGTTACATTCTTACACAAGTGATCTTTATAAGCATTTCAAAAATTATAAATATGTCATTCTTGTCTAAGATAGAATTGCTGCGTTGTATGACCACTGATATGTTTTTTTGTTTTGTTTTGTCTTTTCCTTTTTTTTTTTTTTTTTTTGTTGTTGTTAGCTCAGGTTCTTCCTCATGGACCCTTTGAAAGATTGAATGTGAAAAAGGCCTTACCCATCATGTTGATCTTGTACTTTCTGTTTTTGTATAACAGGTTGAAAATTTGTACCAGTTTTATTTAATTGGTTTCTTGGATAAATCACTTATTAAATTGTAGCATATCCCTTCAGCTTTATAATGAAAGATTGATGATGATTAGAAAGCTCAGGAAGAAAACAGTGTAAATTGTTTTTAATCTTTTTGGATTAGCAATTCTTTTCAGAGTTAGATTAAAACCAGATCCTCTTTGAAGAAAAATGCATATTTCTAACTGTGTATCTGACTTCTGGATTACTGGACTCCAGCATTTGCATTTCAGAACCGTAAATACCACTTGATCACAGATGTTTGTTCTCTTCCTTTGGTTATTAAGACAGTTGGAAAATGTTAGGAACTCGGGTTCTATAATGTCCTATTTGCATGTTCAGGATAACCAGAAAGTCTGGCATGGTAGCAAAGGGAGCCCTCCTTCCTGGGATTCACTCTAAAAAATTGTTCTGGTTAGTTTATTTTTCAGTTAATTCCTAATGTTCAGGTTGTTGAGGGCAGCAAGATTTAAATTCACTTAGGAGGAACCCTCTTCAGGAGGAAAAAAAAAATAGGCAAGTCCAAATGTCTGTAAAAATTGCATTGTAATAAGTGTTGGAGTTTAGAAAATGCTAAATAGATGTATCACAAATCAATATTTTCCCTAAAATGGGATAGGATTGTAGAATTTAAATGCTCATGGATGTTTACATTGTTAAAGAACCTGAGAAGGAGGGCAAGCTGGCAGATGAGGAGTTGGAGCCTCCTTGACTGCAAATGTAAACAACAACTGGACACAGTCTGAAAAGGATTGAGGGAAAAATGAGTCCCTTCTGCCTGAGTAAAGGGTGGTGTTCCTAGGCTGGGAATTCTAAACCCTCACCATTTACCAAGAGGTAGATGGGAAGAATCCTGTACACTGCCCCAGTCACTGTCTTGGCGAGAACAAGACTTACTGGTCGAAAATTAAGCAGTAAAAATAAGTTAGCAGAAAATAACAGAAATGACAATTCAGTTTTCTCTTAAAGTTCTCTCCTCTTTCTCCTCTTTGCATTTTTATACTGAAGCTATTATAGCTTGGGGGAAAATAAAGTGCTTTTCATTTATTTCTAATTAAGAGAAACACAAAAACCCAAAGTTCAAGGAGCTGGCTGAAAAGGATGTTTTTTGGTCATTTATCCCCATCTAGAGTAATTTCTAGTATCTTTCCGCTACTCTGGATATCCATGACTGCACTGGCCTAAATCAACTGTTAGTAATTCTCCATGCTCACAGTGATTAAATTGCAAATTACACTTTATCAACTCCATGCTAAAAATTCTTTCACTAGTTTGCCATTAAGAGTTTCAAATGTGGGCGACTAAGTCCTGCCTGACGCCAGCCTTTATCCTGTCAAGACACTCGTGGCCTCCACATGCCAGCAGCCACGTGGGTCTTTGAGCTGCTGTAACTCACTAGGATCTCGTCACTTGAGGGGCTCTGCCCATGTTCTGCTCAGTTCTACTCCATTTTAGGTTCCAGCTTAAATGTCCTTTCTCTTTAACAGACTATTTTTGTACCTCAAGCTCAGTGACAACTATGTTCCAGACTTTATACTTCACAAATTGTGTGTGTGTAAACTGCTTTACTGTCTGGCAACAGACTGTACATTCCAGAGAGGAATGAGGGTAAAGATGACATTTCTACTCTGTCTCATCCCAGCATCTATTTAAGTGTCTAATACTTAGTGTTAATGAAACTCTGAATAAACTAAGAAAGTATTTATTGACAGCTTGAACTTGAAGGGGAGTTTGTTCATGTCACAACTGTCTAGTAATTAGGCATTTAACAGTGGAATTCAAGAACATTATGCAGGGGTCAGTACTGTGACGTAGTATGTTAAGCCTCCATCTGCAGTACTGGCATCTCATTTGGACACCAGTTCAAGTCCTGGCTGCTCTACTTTGAATCAAGCTTACTGCTAACATGCCTGGGAAAGCAGCACAGAATGGCCCAAATGCCTGAACTCCTGTACCCATGTGGCAGACCTGGAAGAAGCACCTGGCTTCAGGCTGGCCTTAGGGGCCATTTAGGGAGTGAACCAGCAGTTAGAAACTCTGTTAACTCACTCTCAAATAAAATCTTAAAAAAAAAAAAAAAAGAAGACCGCCCCCCCATTCTGCAATATACACAGGACTATATTATACCTGGTTACTCCCACCCCTCAGCACCATTCTTTTCCGAGAGTGACCACTCACACAGCTAGCTCTATGACACAGACAAGAAAAAGCAAAGTTCCTGCCAATTCTGATAAACTTTTGCTCTGTATTTAGCACCACTTGAACAAGCTATCTCTTATCAATGCAATAACCAGACACCTACTCACCACTGACTTCTTCAACCATTCATCTCAACATTTCCCGTGGCACAGAAATCTGTCCTCAACTATAAAGAAGATAACTTTCCTATTTTAGTCACACTTGGATTAACTGCAGTGCTTACAGTCACCAGCATGCCAGGACACCTTGGTTGAGAACCACCAACTGTGCTGATTTTTCCCGAATCGCAGGAATGAATTTCTAGATCTGCTCCTCTGGCTTCTCACAGCCCCACCTTCTTGTGCCAATGGAGTGGGCTGAAAACAAAGTCCTGAGCCAAGCCTAAGGCACCTTAGGTGTCATGTCTAAAATAATCTCTCCAATAAGCTAATGCACTGTATACATGGGAGCAGAATCAAAGCAGTTTCCCTGTAAGGCAGCCAGCAGGGATATGAAGTGACAACAGCATTTACACAGATGTTCATGAAACGCTCTACCAAGTGTCCCCCGCCGTGACTGATGACAGAGACACCTACCAGAGGCAGCCGTCCCTGCTATCAAAGACCAAACCTTCATGCAGTGGTTAAAAAGAAATTTTTATTTTACAAAATTAAAAACATAAATAGTATTTACAAGCATTTTAAATACCAGCCTATAATACTTGACAGTTTGGAATCATTTTAAATTGAATTTTCCACAAGGTTTTAAAATGCAAGATTATTCACGTCAGTGAGTTACCGGTTTTTATTCCTACCATCCCAAAGGGGTTTTTGGTTTTCCAAATTTGTTCAGTCTTCTAGTCATTCAAAAAATACAATGTACTTTTTAAAATGACTAGTAAAAAAGAAGTCCTAAGCTTCCTACCCCAAGTAGAGGGCTAACTCTACAAACCAGGCTTATTTACTGTCCTGTATACAACTCCCCACTGTGACTTTTTAAGACTCACATTCGCAGTATTCATATCCACCCACTTCCCTAACTTCTCAGGAGAAGCAGGGAAGACAGAGAGGAGGGAGTGTGCCTGTGACCATCCAAAATCACAGCTGCTGAAAATATAACACTGTCATGATCCAAAATCTGATTTTATTTTCTTCAGGATAAAACCCAGATTAGCTTCCTACCAGAAAAAAATCATTTCAGATGATAAACACGTGACAGCAAGTGTCAGTGGTGTAGACGTCAAGATCCTGAAGTAGTCAATGCAGTACCCGTTCTAGAAGTATCGGGAATCAAGCATGGACAGACTCTGGAACTGTTAGATTGTAAGAAAAGGTTCATAATCTGGTATTCAAATTTCAGCACTGAGCAATTCATTTTCATGTAGCAGCACATAAAGGCTACCAAAGAGTGAGGGAAACCAATGCCTTTGAGAAGAATCAAAAAAAGGAAACAGAGACTATACCTACATCCCACTTCACAAGAACGCCATTTTGTTCCACTTCCCCTGGAAGCCCTCAGCTCAGTTGAGAATCCTAGCAGAAATCTTCATCAGAGATTAGCAACAAATTTAAAAGAAAAAGAAGGACAACAGGTAAGTTATATACATTTTACTAGCTTGTTTCAGACTTGTCCTGGATATCTAAAAGGCGTCAAAAGAGCCCCAGATGCTGGTGGCAGGCGGCATCTGGTGAGAGAGGCTCGGGCGTGAGGAATAGCAATGACCTCTTTACAAATTCAGAGCAAACTCCCCTCTTCTGGATCTAAAATAAAGACATCTTTTGTCTTCAGTAAAACAAAGGTCTTTCTGCTCAATGCAGATGGCAGGTACAGTTTGCTCAGCAGAAGTGTTCTCTCCCGGGTAGAAATCCACAGTCGACTCAGTAAGCACCACTCTGGGCCTAGGCCCGTCATGCGGAGCCTGCAGCCCTCACTGTTGCATGTTGTTGATAATTGCCAGGATGCTCATCTTCTCCTGGGCAGGGTCCACATCCTCGTTCTGCTTCTGGGCCACACCGGTGCCTAGGCCATAGAGCCGTCCACAGTACTTGGCATCATCAATGCTGTCCTCAAAGAACAACTGTGGAACAGGACAAAGAGCTGTGGTGAGAATCATGCCATGGGTCATGCCAAGCTTAAATACAACAGCAGCACTGCCCAGCTCTTAGGGCCCTGACAAACTAGCAAACTGGAAACTAAGCAGAAGGGCTTTGCAAACCTTTCCTTGTCTCTGCTGATTAGGCTTAGTGGAATTGCCCCCTTCTGAAAAGGTAAAACAACAGTTATGAGCAATGGGCTCAGGTCAGGCCTCACTCCCTGTGTAACCTTGGTAAAGTCTCTTCAAGTCTTCTGGATCCACCCATGACTGCTGCTCTGAATCCATGATATGGCTCCTGGGAAAACTGATGTTTGAAGTTCAAGCCTGGAGACTCATGACACTTGAGGGTGAAACTCCGTCCAGTTATGCTGCTGAAGAGTTGGCTCTGCACAGGGTCCTGAGGTCATTGCAAGCAGAACCTCAGAAGACGTGGTTCTAAGAGGGTTCAGTTTGCTTCCTGGTCGGCCTGTAGACATCCATCATTACCATCTTCTAGCCTCCACAGTTGGCCTGGCCAATTTTGGACTGTGAAACTCCAAATCAACCAAAATAAATGCCCTTCTTTCCTACGTAGCTTATTTTAGGTATTTCACTATAGTAAGGAGATGCTTAGTAGAAAATGGATACTGAAGCACAAGGCTGTAAATATTAACAACACCTAAAGATGCAGTACAGCATGGAACTGGTTTCCTGGAAAAGGCTAGGAGTTTAGAAAAGCAGGCTAAAGCTTAGAATGCTGTAAGAGACATATGAGACATTCTAGGAGGCCCGAAGCCTGATATAACAGCCATGTAGATGACATTTCCAAGGGAAATAAAGATTCTATACAGAAACTGGACTTGCTTATTTATTTTAAGATTTATTTGTTTGAAAGGCAGATTTACAGAGAAAAGGAGAGATAAAGATCTTCCACCTGCTGGTTCACTCCCCAAATGGCCACAATAGCCAGAGCTGAGCCAATCTGAAGCCAGGAGGTTCTTCCAGCTCTCTCAAGTATTTGGAGCCATCCTTCACTGCTTTCCCAGGACATAAGCAGAGAGCTGGAGGAGAAATGGAGCCACAATGACTCAAACTGGGACCCATATGGGATACCAGCACCACAGGTGGAGGACTAGCCCTATTACACCACTACAGCCCCTGTTACTGAATTTTACTGTGAGAACCAGGACAAAAAGGAAGCATGGCAGGAAGATTTGGAAACTTCAGGGCATGGTCTGCAGAATATGAACATCCTAGAGAGAAACTTCCCACTTAGGAGATTAATGCAGGTGAAAAGGAGACACTTTGCTAATGTGCAAGATGATGCAGAAAGACCTTCGTGGCGACTTAGGCATCTTCAAGCTAATCCTTCCGGTCCCAGGCCAGCAGGGTCAGAATTAGAAGTGAACGTTTTTCAAACATCCAGGGACTTGGCTTGAGCAAGCTCCAGATTCCAGCTTGTGTTCCGAGGTTAAGGCAGTCAAGGTTCCAGCAGGCCCAGGATGGTATGTGTAGGTAACAGACCTTGGCATCCATGTCCATGTGCTGCTAGTTTTGTAGCCTTGCAGAACCCAAGAGTTACAAAGTCTTGATAGTTTCCATTGAGATTCCAAGGGGAGGCTGGGAGGCCAGAGTTGTACCATATGGCTGGAAGCTTCCTCCATCTTGACAGTCCCTGAAGTCCCTGATGGGATGATGCCTAATCAAACTGGGAGAGAAGCTACAGGAGAGGCCTGAGGCAGGTGGAGATGTCAGCTATGTAAAATACTCATGAGGGAAAACAAAGTAGTGTGAGTAGGTATATCTGTGTGCACCCTCGGAAAGCAACCACGTGAGCAGAAACCAACAGCCACAGAGGCACAGAAGCCTCTCCCTAGATCTTATGAAATGTCTCCAAAACCTGTGAGCCCAACAGAGATCTGTTGCCAGGGCAGAGTCATGGCAGAGAAGCTGCCATTGGGGCAACACTAAGCAGAAACATGTGGTCAAATGTGGAATTGCTATAGACTTCATCAGTGTCATGCCTGGTGGAAGACCAGACTCCAACCTGCAGGAACTAAAGCATGGGTGTGGCATGCTGCAGAGCAGGAACGCCTAAGCTCTTGGGGCCTTGCCCACCACTATGTACCAGATGGCATGGCACATTAGGACTTAAATACCTGCCTTATTGGGTTTCAGTCCTGCTTTGGTTGGATTCCTCCTTTCTACTTCCTCGTCTCCCCAATAATAATATAAGCCCAACAATCCTCTACATCTTTGCCTATCTTGCCATTGTGTCTGGATTTTTACAGACACACTGCTGGAGTTTTCCTTAGGTCTCCAGTGAGACTTTGGGGGATGGGTGATCATATGTCTTAAGTGAGGAAGCCAAAAGTTGTGTGGAGTCAGAGACAGTGGCTGCAGGTGTCCCAGACACTGGTTGAGACTCCAGTTTTATGCTAGAGAGTAGGTGGGCCTAGTAGGAGCTTTTGAGGTCACTGGGCATATGCCTTGGCAAGGCAATTCTTGTGAAGGGTTGATTGTAAAAGTAGGTGGGCATAACACCTCTCTATTTGCTGGCTCACTGAATCCTCCTCTGCACACACTTCCCTCCAACCTTACCAGACAGCTGAACCAAAATTATCCAACCATCAAAACCATGAGCCAATATAAACCTCTTTCCTTCAAAATTGTGTACCTGAGATACTGTAATAAGGAAAAGTAACTAACACAGATACGGTAATGGAGTTATTATGAAATGTGGAGCAATGGACATCAAGCACTCAGAGCACAGCACCTCAGTCCTGGTGCTACTTTGGCAAGGCTAGTCTGCTAGGATGTTTGCCAGCATCCCTGCCCAGCAGCACACCTCCCTTCCACCACAATATAACAAAAATGTCTCCAGACATTGCCAAACACACCCTGGAGAGCAAAACCACTCTCAGTTGAGAACAACAACCATGAGCCTTTCCCAACACAGAGCAATAGTAGTGTGGTTTATGATTAAGAAACCAAGAAAAAGTATCATCTTCTTCATATGCCTCAAGCTAAAAAGACCATATCTAAAAATCAATTAATCTGATTCATCCCTGGAAAGCAATCATTTAATCATTCTAAATTTTCAAAGCAGCTTCCCACTCCTATCTCTTCAAATATATTTTTTAACTCTGGGATAGCGGGGAGACATTGATAGGGTGAGTAAACAAACTAAAAAGGAAGTTCACTAACAATACATTTAATTATAAACAGAACTCTTCATAAGCTGAGTGGTCAAACCAATGTGATCCTATCATAGAAATTCAGAGGAAAAGCAAACCATGGAAAGGATTTGAGCTGCCAGAGTATGTTTCCAGATTTGGGACGTCTCAAGAACACATACATATTCTCCAGCAGCTTCTACCCCCAACACATCTTTTGCCTCTCAAATTACATTTGATATACTACACACAATAATAAACAAAAAAGAACTGCTTTCAAAGGGGCCACCAACTTTCAAAAGAAACTACCCATATTCAGCTAGCCGTGGCCAATCACTCACCTCCTTAGCTGCTAGCCAGTCACTGCAGAGGCCCTCTACTTGACAGAGCTTACCTCCTTCATCCTGAAGAATGCCATTCCTGTCAGCAGCGAGTCTGATCCAGCCTGGTGCTGCCTTCCAATTCTCTGCAAATCCAACTGATCTGCAACTTCCTGAAGACCTCCCTAGATGTTTGGAAAGCAAAGACAATGTTACAGACCCAACACTCCACTACTAAATCAACTAAGTACACTGAGGAGTCTACTTAATTTTGATGGCCAGAAGCAGAAACAGGCCATTTACATAACTGATCTTAATATCCCTTGTGTTCTTAACATCTTCCCTCTAAATATACATCACGTTATATTGTACGTTTATCACTTTTCTTATAAATTTGCCATATCTCTGCCCATTACTATCAAAACTTGATATAAAACAAGGCTAAATAAATAGTCAATGCCAATCCAATTCCACAGAGCAAATCTCTTCTGTTGACAATTATGGTATTAATAAATTAATAAATATTAGGATAATGAGTTTTTCTATTCCTAGAGTTATGAAGTCCTCTGTGGGCAGGTATTGTGGTCTAGCAGATTAAGTCTCCACAAGGGAAGCCCACATCCCTGCGCCACTCCTAGGGTAGGATTCCTGGTTCTGCCACCCAAGCAGCTCTCCAACATCCTTGGTTCTTGCAGACACTTGGAGGAATAAATCAATATATGGAACATTTCTTCTGTCAATCTACCTTTCAAATAAATAAAAATGAATACATATTAAAATTAAAAAAAGCCCTCTGGGAATCGAGTACACTACAGACCTATCCCTTACAACTGCACATCCAGCTAATGTTGCCAACAGACTGTACAGCTGATCAGTGCCCTGGGAAGAACGCCTGCTCCTTCACAGCTCAGCTCACCACACAGAGATGATTACCATACAAATCCCTGTGCCACGTGGCACTGTAGCAAACCCTCTCTAGCAGAAAGCTGGCACCCAGCAGGCACTGAAGAATGCATGCTAGACACAGGGAAACACAATGACAAGCCTTTTTTATTAAGAAAAATATCATGTACCTTGAGGTTTTTACAACTCTTCATCAGGTATTTCACATCATAAATGGATGGGAAGAAAAGGTTCAGAATATGAAAGAATTCATGTTCTTCTTCTGGTAAACGGGAATCTGTCAGCAACTTGACCATGTAGCCAAAGTCATAGCCACTGTAAGGGAAGAATAAGGCAGAGGTAAAAAATCAGAACTCACTGGGCCCCAGGCATCAAAACACTACATTTCTCAAAACTCATAACACTATTTCATGTCAAGAATTTTCAGTTTGTCAAAGGAGTTTACTCGAATGTTGAGTTTTCTATTAAATAACAACATTGAAGACTTACACAGAGCTATTTTTAAAAGAATCCAACAACTTAGAAACACAGAACTGATTCACCAACTGTACAAATATAACATCTCTTATAGACAACCTGTCTTCTAAGTAACTGGGAGATTTCAAGACAACCACTTAAATGATGATGAGGTATTGCAACCCTCCCTACCCGCTTCCCTCTGCCCACTGGAATCACCCACCGATACTCCCCAACAGGCAATACTATGCAACAGTCAGTGTGAGTACTGAAGTGCTTTTTGAAAACCTGAAACAGGGCCCGGCGCGGTGGCGCAAGTGGTTAAGGTCCTCGCTTTGTACGCCTAGGATCCCTGGGCGCCGGTTCTAATCCCAGCAGCCCCGCTTCCCTTCCAGCTCCCTGCCTGTGGCCTGGGAAGGCAGTCGAGGACGGCCCAAAGTTTGGGACCCTGCACCCGCATGGGAGACCCGGAAGAGGCTCCTGGCTTCAAATCGGCATAGCATCGACCGTTGCGCTCACTTGGGGAGTGAATCATCAGATGGAAGATCTTCCTCTCTGTCTCTCTTCTCTGTATATCTGCCTTTCCAATGAAAAAAATAATAAAAATAAATTTAAAAAAAAAAAAGAAAACCTGAAACATAAGCCGAAAGGTACTCTTCAATTCCTTCTTCTTTCTTTCTTTTCTTCTTTTTTTTTTAAGATTTATTTATTCCCATTAGGGAAAGAAAGACTCAGAGAAGAATCTTCCATCTGCTGGTTCACTCCTCAAATGGCCACAACTGCTGCAGCTGAACCATTCCGAAACCAGGAGCCAGAAACTTCTTCTAGCTCTTCCACATGGCTGCAGGGTCCAAAGGACTTGGGCCATCTCCTGCTGGTTTCCCAGGCCACAAGCATGGAGCCAGATGGGAAATGGACCAGCCAGGATACAAACCGGCACGCATATGGGATGTCACTCTTGAAGAGAGGATCAGACACTTGAGCCATTGCACTGGTCTAGCATTTCAGCTTTGACTCACACTGCTGACGAAAATGGAGCCAAACTAAGAATTCAAGTTCCCCGTTCTATTTGTGTAACTGAAAGTAAGAGAGACAGGTGCAGTCTCTGGAACTAACCTGTGAAATGAAAGCCACTTGACGTTGTCACACAGAACGACTCCGGAGGTCATGAGCAGCTCTGCGAAGTGCAGTGTGTCGATCCCCTCCTCTTCGTGCTTCTGAAACTGCAGTCCTGAATTAGCAAGGAGGTCTATGGAATCCTGGGAGTACATGTCCTCTCTGAAAAATACGAAAGGCCGCTCAATGGCTGCTGGGTCAAACAGAAGGAGCAGGCAACACTGTCATCACACTTCACAATCACACCAGTGTGCTTGAAGCGCTTTCTTCATTATGTAAGAATATTGTTTTCAGCAATCTAGCAAGCACGCACACAATCTCATTTATGTGATATACTGAAAAACGGGATTTTCCTAAAACTAGATTTCCTCATTATAAAAGATCTTCATTTGCTCATTGAAAAACTCAACACAAACATATTAAACATATTAAAAATAGCAGAAAATGAAAATCTAGTCTTTACACCACCTCATAGTAATAACAACCCAGTTTATCTTTGTACTTTATTCCTCTCTGTGAACCCATACATACCTATACCTCATTTTTTTTAAAGATTTATTTATTTATTAGAAAGTCAGATACACAGAGAGGAGGAGAGACAGAGAGGAAGATCTTCCGTCCGATGGTTCACTCCCCAAGTGAGCACAACAGCTGGAGCTGAGCCAATTTGAAGCCAGGATCCAGGAGCCTCTTCCGGGTCTCCCACACAGGTGCAGGGTCCCAAGGCTTTGGGCCGTCCTCGACTGCTTCCCCAGGCCTCAAGCAGGGAGCTAGATGGGAAGTGGAGCTGCCGGGATTAGAACTGGCGCCCATATGGGATCCTGGCAAGTTCAAGGCGAAGGTTTTAGCCACTAGGCCACGCCGCGGGGTCCAACCTATACCTCATTTTTTTAAAAAAAAAAAAGATCTACTTATTTTTATTTCAAAGACAGACTTAGAGAGGGAAAGATCTTCTGCAGAGGGAGAGATTGTCTATTGCTGCTTCACTCCCCAGATGAGCCCAACAGCTGGAACTGAATCGATCCAGAGCCAGGAACCAGGAGCTTCTTCCAGATCTTTCACATGGCTGCAGGATCCCAAGGGCTTGGGCCCCCTTCTGCTGGTTTCCAGGCCGCAAGCAAGGAGCCAGATGGGAAGTGATGCAGCCAGGACATAAACAGCCCCCATACAGGATGCTAGTGCTTGAAAGTGGAGGATTAGCCTGTTACACCACGTCTCCAGTCCCCACATCTGTATTTCTACATCTATGCATTAAAACCTTGGGGACTGAACTAGCAGATGATGGACTATTTCTTTGTATATACAACTCTACTTTTCAAATACATATACATAAATCTTTTTTTAATGGAAGAAAAGGTGAGAGATAATCAAGTCCAACTAGGGGGAAAAAAACCACCAAATCCCTCTCAAATAAATCTTTCAAAAAATTATCTCCTGGCCACTAAATGCTAACACTTAGTGCAAATAGTGTTAGAGAGCTAGGATCTAACAAGAAACACACTAACACTACCTCATGCAAAGAGCAAAGTGACAGCCTCCTCCAAATCATTGTTCTTTTTTTATTATTTTGCTTGAAGGCTTCCTTTTCTATTTGAAATCCAAGCTACAGAGAGAAGCAGACAGAGAGGGACAGGGTCTTTCACCCACTAGTCTACTCCTAAAATGGTCCCAGTGACTGAGGTGGGGCTCGGCTGATCGAACAACTCCATCTGGGTCCTCCACATTAGTGACAGCAGCCCACGTACTTGAGTCACCTCCTGTTGCTTTCCCAAGCCTATTGGCAGGGAGTTGGATCAGAAGTGAAGCAGCTAGGACTCAAATAGGTACGAAAAATGATGCTGGCTTACAGACAAAAGCTCAACCTGATGTAATATAATGCTGGCCTCTAAATTTTTTTCTTAAAATACTAATATCAGGGCCCGGTACAGTTGCCTAGTGGCTAAAGCCCTTGCCTTGCTTGTGCTGGGATCCCATATGGATGCCAGTTCTTATTCCCAACTGCTCCACTTCCCATCCAGCTCCCTGCTTGTGGCCTGGGAAAGCAGTAGAGGACAGCTCGAAGCCTTGAGACCCTACCGACATCTGTGTGGGAGACCTGGAAGAAGCTCCTGGCTTCAAATTAGCTTAGATTTGGCCTTTGCGGCCACTAAGGGAGTGCATAGAAAATCTTTCTGTATCTCCTTCTCTTTAAATCTGACTTTCCGATAAAAAAACAAATCTTTAAAAAAACAAGAGAAAACTTTTTTAAAAAAAGTAACATAATCTTCAAAAGACTGAAAACAGAACTACAGTATAATCCTCCAACCCTCTTCTAGGCATACCCTTCGGACATATAACCTCAAGCCAAGATATCAACATGGTATTTGTAGGGCTAGCCTCACGTTGCTAAGGGTAAACCTTATGACAACACCCATCTGCCTGGTTCACTTCATCCCCCAAATCACCACAGGTGAGGCTGGGCCACAGTGAATGCGCCTGGGAAAGCAACGGCAGATGACCAAGTGTTGGGCCCCTGCTACCCACGTGGGAGCTGCAGACGCAGTTCCAGGCTCCTGGCTTCATCCTGGCCCGGGCACAACACTTGCAGCCATTCAGACCGTGAAGCAGCAGACAGAAGATATTGCTAACTCATACTCTTTAATAAATAAATTAGAATAAATTTTTTTAAAAAGTGTGTACCCAAGTTCATAACAGTATGACTCACAAGAGCCAAAAGGTTGAAGCAACAAGTGAGTGTCAACATTTGCACACACACGTGTTGTACACATACAATGGAAGATTCAACCTTCGAAAGGAAGGAAATCCTGCCACACACTCATGGATGAATCTTAAGGAAAATAAACCAGTCAGAAAAGACAAATCTCACACAATTCCATTGCCCTAAGAGACCAAAAGCAGTCAAAAATCAAAGAAAAGAAGGTAGAATGGCAGTGACCAAAAGCTCAGAAGACAGGGAAAAAAAAGGAGTTGTTGCTTAAGGGGCACAAAATTTCAGTTCTACAAGATGGAAAAGTTCTAGAAATATGCTTTACAAGTTTGTAAACTAACTTAACACTGTTCAGCTACATACACTGACGGACAGGAAAGTTGGTAAACTTTATACTAAATCACCAAAAACCTGTTTAATTATATCACAATGTGGCCACTATCAGGCTTCAGATTCAACTAATCTTTTTTGTTTCTTAAAGATTTACTCATTTTTATTTGAGAGGCAGATTTTACAAAGAAGGAGAGCAAGCGATAGAAGGTCTTCCACGCATTGGCTCACTCCACAAATGGCTGCAACAACCAGTGCTGAGCTGATCCCAAGCTGGGAGCCAGGAACTCCAGGTCTTCCACGCTAGTGCTGGGTCCCAAGCATCTGGGCCAACCTCCGCTGCTTTCCCAGTCCATCTGGATTGGAAGTGGAGCAGCCAGGACACAAACTGGAAGCCATATTGAATGCCATCAGGGTGGGGGATCAACCAAAGCACCACTGCACCAGCCCTAAAACTCAACTAACCTTTTTTTCTTTTCTTTTTTTTTTTTAAGATTTATTTTGATTGGAAAGTCTGATATACAGAGAGAAGCAGAGACAAAGAAGAAGCTCTTCCATCCGATGATTCACTCTCCAAGCATCTGCAATGGCTGGAGCTGCACCAATCCGAAGCCAACAGCCCATAGCCCACAGACTGCGTGGAACACCATGTGCGAGTGCAGGGTCCCAAGGCTTTGGCCCGTCCTCGACTGCTTTCCCAGGCCACAAACAGGGGGCTGGATGGGAAGAGGGGCTGGCGGGATTAGAACCAGTGCTCATATGCAAGGTGAGGACTTCAGCTGCTAGGCTATCGCACTGGGCCCTCAACTAATCTTGATTAGCACTCACTGTCCATCTTCTTTTTGTTACGGCACATACTGAAGAGCTTGTTTCACAGATAAAGAAACTGAGTTACAGACTGTGAAAACACTGACCCAAAAACACATCGCAACTCCTCAGACAATTTTCCTTTATTTGAACAGCTTTATTAAAATATATGGATAATTCTTCCATTTATAAAAAGTATAATCCAGTGGTTTTTAGTATATTCAGAACTGTGCAACTGTCACTACAGGTAATGTCAGAACATTTTTATTACTTCAAATAGAAACCCCATGCGCATCAAGCAGTCTCTTCCCCTCACCCCCTGCGCCCCCCGCCAGACAAGCAGCAATCTATTCTGTCTCTGGAGAGCTGCCTACCCGGACAGCTCCTGTAAGCGGCGCACACTCCACCGTGCTGAATCTGTGCCTGGCCTCTTGGCCTCAGCCGTGGCTTCACGGCTCAGGCACGTGCAGCCAGCATCAGGGCTTCCTTCTTTCCCACCGCCCAGTGAGTGGAGAGACCACACTTCACGTTCCAACTCTGCTCGCAGACATCCTGGGCAGTTTCGACCACGGTACTATCACGCGACTGCTGCTACAAAACTTTGTGGTCACGTTTTTCCACAGACATATTTAATTTCATTTCTGCCAGGCAGTGGAGTTTTTGGTCATAAGAGAACTCTGGTTAACCTCTTCAGGAATTATCAAACTTTACAAAAACTCCCAAAGAATGCTACACTCCAACATCAGCACGCAGGGTTTCCGCTTCCACTCCATGTGGAGACTCCACCTTTCAGACAGCAGTCACTCCAGGGGATATGAAGCATCGTCTCCAGGTGGCTTCACCTTGGATTTCCTTAAGACGAACGATGCTGAGCGTATTCTCATATGTTCATGATTATCTGTGCATGATTTCTGGAGCTACATACCCAAACTCTGTGCCAACTTTCAACTGGGTTGGCCTTTTATTGCCGAGTTGTGAGCAGTTGCTTCAGGAGGCCTTTGCTGCTGAGATTTACTGCTCCATTGGGCTCAACAGAAACTTCCCTGCTGAAATCAATCACACACCACAGTCCAGAGGCTGACACTGTGGTGCAGAAGCGTAGCTGCCACTTCTAGCGCCAACATGCACATCTCAGCCCTGATTTGAGTCCCAGCTACTCTATTTTGACTCAGATCCTTGTAAATATGCCTTGATAGGTACAGAACGAGACCGCGATGGAGTTTCTGGCTCCTGGCTTGGCAGGTCCAGCCCTTGCTGTTGTGGTCAATTGGAAAGTGAACCAGAGGATGGAAACAACTGTCTCTCCTTCAAAATATACACTTCAAACAAGAAAAAGGGGGGAAAGACGGCCAACACCAACGCAGCATATTCAGGAAAAAGTGAGAAGTTATGCAGACACTTACGTAAGGTTGAATTTGAAGTTAAACTGCCAGGTGTTGATTCCAGAAGGATATTCTCCCTTCTCGTTTGTGAATGTCAGGCCGAGCTGGATAATTTTTAAAAGGTCAACATTGCACCGCAGAAGCTGATACTGGTAATCTATGGAACTACGAAATTCTCCAATTGGTCGAACGACAACACCTGGAAACTCTGTGTCCTGGAAAAAGAAAAAATTTCTCACCACAAAACTTCACAAAACAATAGATGTTAAATTTGCAATTCAGAAATAAAATATCTCAATTTATAAAAGTTAAGTGAAAAAGTCCCAAGCTTGGGTACAAAAATCTCTTAAAATACTAATCTTTCAGATTTCTACTGAAGAAACACTACTACAAACACAAAGTTTTACACAATTCAAAGTTCCTATGCAAGATATGATTAAAATAGCTGAGTAACTATAAATAAACATGAAGCCAACTAAGAACATTCTAGGTTAAGAACAATACTGGAGGGCCCAGCATGGTAGCCTAGTGGTTAAACTCCTTGCTTTGAATACAACAGGATCCCATATGGGCCCCGCTTCCCATCCAGCTCCCTGCTTATGGCCTAGGAAAACAGTTGAGTATGGCCCAAAGCCTTGGGATCCTGCACCTGCACGGGAGACCTGGAAGAGGCTCTTGGCTTCAGATTGGTGCAGCTCTGGCTGTTGTGGCTGCCTGAAGAGTGAATCATCGGACGGAAGATTTTCCTCTCTGTCTATCCTCTTCTCTGTATATCTGAATTTCCAATAAAAATGAATAAATCTTAAAAAAAATAATAGTAACAATATAGGAGGGCCCAGTATGATGGTTCCATTGGCTAACCTTGCAACTCCAAGCACCAGGGATCCCATAAGGTGCCAGTTCACATCCCAACTGCTCCTGTTCCCATCCAGCTCCCTGCTTGTGGCCTGGGAAAGCAGTGGAGGACAGCCCAAAGCGTTGGGACCCTGCACCCGTGTGGGAGACCCAGAAGAAGCTCCTGGCTCCATATCAGCTCAGCTCTACCTGTTCAAGCCACTTGGGGATTGAACCACTGGAAGCGAGATATGTCTCTCCTGCAAATCTGCCTTTCCATAAAAATAAATATTTAAAAATATACATACAAATAAAATACAAAAGAGGGTGAAATGAAGAGTCATATGAGAAAGATAACAGCACAATTATCTTGAGTAAAAATAAACAGAATGAGATCATAAGAATTCTGAATACCAGGATAAAGACTTAACTTCATAATCCCTAAGCAGCTAGCAGGAAGGAGGCAAATGAGCCAGGCGTGAGAATGGTAATAGAGGCAGGAATAAACAGTGAACACACGTCTCCTCACAGGAGGCCCCCACCCTGACCAGCCTTCACTTCCCTCTCCAGCCATGCAATAGCAGGCAAAAATGCACACCATAAATGACCACATCATCTCTGTTTTTCCAGAAATGCCACAGATCTTGAATTTAAAAGGGAAGTCATGATTTTAAAATACTGGCAAAAAAAAAAGGTTTAAAGATTTTTTTTTTTTTGGAAATGCAGATATACAGAGAGAAAGAAAACACTGAAGTCCAATTCGTTATTTCTAATTCATAATACCCGACGGCCTGACCCAACTTCTAACACAAACTGTAAGCTACCAGAGGTTAATCCTTCTCAAAGCCACTGGCCAGCTTGATACCGCATAAAACCCATATGATCTTCCATCAGGTTTAATAACCAGCAGTGTTAGTGGAATGACACTGCCTTTCAAAATGCCACAGTAAATACTCCCTGAGCTCAGGGAAGGAGGTGGGTCAAACGCAGGAGCACTCCTCACCATGGCAATGTAACTGTAAGTGAGCACGATTTCTCGGATCTTCCTCATCTCCTCTTCTAGATTGCTGGCCCAGACTTCACAGATCACCTGGCTGTTCTCCACAAGTGCTGCTGGCATCCTGGAAAGTCACGTTCAGCCAACTTCGTCAGAGGGCAAGCCAGACAACGTTTGATCAGATCTGCATTCAAGAACATCGTGAAATCATCGAAGTTAAAATACTGACATAAGATGTCACCAAAATGAAAATGAAACAACACTTTACTGTCACTTCATTTGCTTATGCTGAAATACTAAGCATTGTATTCACATGACAGGAAAAGCTTCTCTTCAAGTCATATATACACAAATCTACACACACCCAGAGTTTTCTACACTGAAGAGATGAAAAGTTCACTGAACATCCGCCCAAGCTGCCTTTCAGCAAAGACATGAAACCATCCCCCTACAAGACATTTTCAGCCCTCTGTACAAAACATCTGACAAAAAAAAAAAAAAATCCTTGACTTTCACATCACTCTGGAAAGAAAGCAAGTCCTGATAACATTTCCAGTGCAATTATTTTAGCCACTGTAAATAAACCCGGGCTCTCTGAAAGCCTGAAAGAAAGCAGACCTAAACACACCCCAGTCTTCCCTCGAGCAGAGAGGAGCAAGACGCCTTCCTCCAGCCCCCAAAGGGAAACTCCTCCCCGCAATCCACAAACCAAATCAGATGAACTCAGTATAATGTAGTGCTGCTTCTGATCTGTGTAAATCAATCATGAAAGGTTTTCATGGCAACAAACTAGTCCCAGTTTGACAATACAACAAGCTTAACAATAAAAATCAAAATCTGAGTTATTAATGTACATTTGAACCAAGAAAGAACAAACCAGGTATAATTATTTTAACCAAAACAGTGACTTATGTTCTATTTTCTGGAAGTAAATTAGGAAGGAGAAAGTATTATGCAGAATAAAATTGAATAACTTTCAGTCTCAATGTTGTCGGCACAGTAAGATCAACAACAAGAGCCAAAAAGGAGCCTATCATAAGACGATCTACTTCTAAGAGTTATAACTCCATTATATGGATCCTCGAAGCAATGTAAAGGCAGAGATACATACACAGATACAATAAAACGTGATTGTTTCCAAAGGACATTGTGCAAATAGTTTTGGCTTTCTATTTTTGAAGACTGGCAGATACATCAATAAGAATCCAGAATAAAGCAAAAGTAAGATTTTCAGGTGTCACCATTTCTCTGAAAAGCTGGTCTGTTGGAGACCCTTGAGGACTCCTTTATTCAGGGTAGGCTATGCTTTTACAGACGTTACCCTAAAATGAGCTGTTCCTCCTACGTGGACCAGGTACAAGTCCCCCCCAAAAGGCAAAAGGCAAAACTGCTTCAAGGCAGAATCTTTTTCTTTTCTGGTCACTATTTCATTACAGGTTTTTTCAAGTGAATAAATCAAGAATGGGGATAAAAATCACAGTTCAGGCTTAACATGGGGTAAATCCCACTTTTTGGACATAATTAAAGAAAATGCCAGGCAGGTGAACATTTCAGCCTAGCAGTTAAGAAGCCTATGTCCCAAATTGGCATACCTGGGTTTGATTCCCCAGGCCAGCTCCTAACCCCAGCTTCCCGAAATGCAGATTCCAGGAGGCAATGAGCATGGCTCAATCAACTGATCTCCTGCCACTCACACGGGAGCCTTCATGGCTTTGGCCCTACTCCAACCCCAACCCAGCCCCAGCTGTAAAGGGCAGTTAGAGGAGTGAATCCACAGAGAGCAGCTGGAAGCTTACCCTCTGTCTCTCTCTCAAGCAAAGAAAAACAAATGTTGAGTCTCAGATTTTTAGATTCCCAATCAAAGCTTAAAACTTTCCCCTGCAGGGGGTCGGCGCCATGGCATGATAGGTTAAGCCTCCACTTGCCAAAATCCTGCATGGGGTGTCCTGGCTGCTCCACTTCACATCCAGCTACTTGTTAATGTGCCTGGGAAAGCAGTGGAAGATGACCAAGTACTTGGGGCCCTTCACCCCTGTGGGAAACCCAGAAGAAACTTCACCTCCCAGCTTCAGACTGGCCTGGCTCCAATCACTGAGGCCATTTCGGGAATGAGCTGGGGGATAGAAAATGTCTCTCTGTGTGTCTTTCTCTCTCTCTGTAAATCTGCCTTTCAAAGAAAAATAAAGCTTAAAAATTCCCTGCAAATGGTACTAAAACCATGATCCATACCCATTTAATTTTCAACTGGCATCACCTCCTTATTTCCCCAAACTGAAACAACACACTTCCTTTTCCATGTCATTCCACACACAACCACAAGTAGTTTAGGAGAACTGGGTGTCACTTCTGAACTTTTGAGGATGTTTCCATAAGCAAAAGCAACAACAGAGACACAGAAAATGCCTTTGGCCTCCAACTGGTTTCAAAAAGCTACCCATTGTCTATGTAAATATATTGTCATATATATCATGCAAATGTTGACAACAGGCTTCCAGTCCCTCAATGCAGCGCCACGCAAAAACTGGAGTCACACTGCACCCATTTATGTAGCAGGTCAAATTAACCGGCCCCAAAAGAAAACAAAGCAGTAACTTAGACACCAGCATGCCACTTCCTCATTCTGTAGGCCTACTCCTCAGAAAGCCCAAAACGGGAATCACAGACCCGGATTGGTTCCTCTGCTTTCCCTCCTGCCTTTAAACCTCCCCAAGCTCATGCATGACTCCCACCCAAGTCCTTAAAAACTCTTTATACCTCACAGCTCCTGAAAGGTAGCCTCATGGCTGGCTGCAGCTGAGTTTGAAGGAGAGACACAGCAAGTGTCAAAACAGGGGTGGGCTCTCTCAAAATTGAACAGCAATCTCAAATGTTGCATTTCCCTAAGGCATTTAAGGGTAATTCCAGCTGCAAACAATGCCTGCCTCAGAGGCAGACACGATTTGTGACAAACTTCAAGCACTCACCCCCATCAAAGTACTGAGCAGTCCTCCCCACCTACAGGGCAAACTGCTCCACAACAGCGTTCCCGCTTGACCCGGGAAAGTGCCGAGGAGCACTTCAGAAGACCAAGCCAAGCTTTCCCTGCAAGACAGTACCCGCCCGGCGTGAACATGTATTTGTTTCTTTTTTTTCTGGCTTCGTTTAAAGCCTGGATGCACAAGGGAACAATAAACATCGCTTCCCTATTTGAGTGGACTGCATAAAAGGCTCTTGCCCTGCTCAACGTCAGACGGAAAAGGAAGTCGCAACAAGTTAGCCCAAGTGGCAGCGGTAGGGCCAAAGAGGGGCGTCCCGGGTCTCCGCGGCCCTACTCCCCAGTCCCTACACACACAGGGTCCCAGGCGCTGCTCCAGGGGGATGCGTGCCCTTCCTGAAGACACGCAGCACCAAGGCAAGGCCACGCCGGGGGGTGGAGGGCGAGGAGAGGGAGCTTTACATCTGGGGTCCTCCCCAGCAGTCATCCTCCTCTGTCGTTCAGCATCCCTCTCCCACTTCAAACTACACTCAGCACTCGGCCCGCCTAACACCCCAATTTTTCCCCGACACCCCGCAACCCTTGGCAAAACAAAGAGACTAAAATTACAGGCCCTGTGGGCTGGACAGAGGTAGATTCGAAGCCATGCCCTTTCTTGCCTCACTTTTCCCACCCTGTGCAATGGGTATGCACCTGGGAGAATAGCAGCAGCGGTGGCTACAGAGAAGAAAGCCTAAAAGGTGCTTTTGCAAACTCCTCCGGCGCACATACGCCCGTGAGGCTACCGTGCGCCACAGCTCATTATCACTATTATTCGGCGGGCGTCCTCCCCGTCTCACTCGGCGCCGCTCGCGCACTCCCCAGGAGCCGACCTCCCACTCCTCCCTCTCACGCCCCTCTTCCCAGAGAGGGGAGCCGCGCTTACCCGACCAGCGAGGCCCGCCAGGCGCGGGGCGGCGGGCGGCCGGGCGGACTCGGCAGCAGCCGCGGCCTCTGACCCGAAGCTCTCCTCCCTCTGCCCCGGATCGGCTACTAGAACCGAGCGGGCCAGCGAGAGGGGAAGCCTCGTGCCCAGAGCGAACTTACACAACCCAGCTTGTGCCGCTCTATCCGTCAGAGCCTCCCGACTCGCCTGCTCCCCGGCGTCATTTGAGACGTGCGCGCGCGCGCGACTGGTGCTGTCCGCTCCGCCCTCTTGCGCGCCCCCGACACCTCGGAGCGTGCTCCGTCAACCTTTCACCTCACAGTGCGCATGCGCAGAACCCGAACGCGGGGTGGGGAAAAACACCGCGAAAATGGTGGGGCGGAGCGGCCCCCGGAGACGCCTGCGGAAGACGGTCCGCCCGAGGGCTCGGCGCGATTGGCTTCTCTGACTCAGTTCAGTCGCGATCTCTTGCCTCCATTTTCGGCTTCCCTTCCTGGCGCTCAAGGAAAAGGCGTGGTCCTTGTAGTCCCTGCTGGCCGTGGCCTAGGGAGCCCCGGGGCCAAGGCCAGGGCGTGTCCCTTTTCTGACTGGCTCGTCCTCGGTTCCTGCGCCTCTTGTTCACTGCTCTGAGGAGAGGATCTAGGGAGTGTGCTGCTGTGCACTGTCCACACGGCCTTCTGAATGCATGTGGCCCCTAGGTTCCCTCACTTAGAAACCGTCTACCTCGGGCCCGGCGCGGTGGCGCAGTGGTTAAGGTCCTCGCCTTGCACGCCCAGGATTCCATTTGGGCGCCGGTTCTAGTCCCGGCCTCTCCACTTCCCATCCAGCTCCCTGCCTGGGTCTTTAACTAACTTCTGATTGAGGTCCCAGTGTGGTGGTGTGGTGGCCTAGCGGCTAAATTCCTCGCCTTGACGCACGGGATCACATATGGGTGCCAGTTCTAATCCCAGCAGCTCCACTTCCCATCCAGCTCCCTGCTTGTGGCCCGGGAAAGCAGTCGAGGACGACCCAAAGCTTTGGGACCCTGCACCCACGTGGGAGATCTAAAGGAAGGGGCTCCTGGCTTCGGATCGACCGTTGCGCTCACTTGGGGAGTGAATCATCGGACGGAAGATCTTCCCCTCTGTCTCTCCTCTCTGTATATCCGCCTTTCCAATAAAAGAAACCGTCTACCTCATGGATTCCTTTCTGGCAAAGAATGAGTTGGGTCGGACCCGCCGCGGTGCTGTCTGCCAGTGCCCGCCCGCTTCCCTGCCTGTCGCTATAGCAACTGGCTAGCCCAGGTCAGCCCGGGCGATCCACAAAGAGGACAACGCCTTCCCACAGAGAGGCGCCCTGCGAGCGCGCAGAAAGCAGGCGGGCTTTGCAGAAGCTCTGCGCCACTGTCTCAAAGAACGCTGAGCAGTCTGGCCAGATTACGGTTCGACAGTTAGGGATCCAGGCAGGCACTAGTCACATGGCCTAGCAGTCTCCAGCATCCTTTCTTGAAATTTTGATTTTTTTCCATGGCATGGTGTGCACTGAAACAAACAGGAAACACACCGGCTCCAGCCCTCACCCAGAATAGGGTGGGTGTTCCTCTGGGATTTTTTGAAGATAAATTTAAAGCAAACACAGATGGATTGTATTTCAGGAGTCACTGGAGTGTTTGTTTAAAATGATTGATTTTATGCCACATTCGTGCTATTGCAGTCAGAATAATTGCGGCAATCCCTTGATTCTCGGTGGGAAATAGAGCCCAAATGCTTTAGAGATGTTGAAAAGGAATATGTTCAGTATCAGAATTTCATATTTGATTGGAAAAAACTATTACTTCTCAACTTCAAATCGTAAAGTTTGGACACATCTCAGTTGGGATAGTATGGATCTTTAAAAATCGAAAAGCACATTATTAAAATAGGTCACCTGAAGAACCAGACAGCTATACTTTTGATGAGACCAACCATTTTGTTATTTTCAATTTTAAATAAATCTAACGATCTGAATTACTTGGAAAGATCCTTTTTATTTTTAACTGATATCTAAAAACTGTACATATTTATGAGGTGGGATATGATGTGTAGAAAAGACAGACCTAAAATAGAAACCATCTACTTCCTAGATTTGAGTTTGAAATATTTTCACAGTAAAAAAATAAATGCTTCTAGGTCAGGGCCACAATATGTCACATTGTGTGTACACACCCCAAAAACCTGACCCACCAGATGCCTTTGGATTGATCTAGTCTGTATCTCCCCCTAAGACACATCCAAGGTCTGTACCTCCTGTAAAGGTAACCTTTATCCAGACGATACACTATAGGCAACTACTGAATATACTTGCATGATTGTATTTATTCGTGTTGTAACTGGTTTTAACCTCCTGCTTTTTTCTCCAAGATTTATTTATTAAAAAAAAAAAGATTTATTTATTTTACTTGAGTTACGCCTGTTCACTCTCATGAGCCTATCCGCAGCCAGGAGTTTTTTGTTTTTTTTTTTTTTTACTTTTTTAAGATTTATTTTATTTTTTGTTAACAAACAAACAAAAAAAGATTTAAAGAGAGAAGGAGAGACAGAAAGATCTTGTATTCACTGGTTTGCTCTCCCAAGTGGCTGCAATGGCCAGAGCTAAACTGACCTTAAGCCATAAGCCAGGAGCTCTTCCAGGTCTCCCACGAAGGTGCAGGGTCCCAAGGCTTTGGACCGTCCTCAACTGCTTTCCCAGGCCACAAGCAGGGAGCTGGATGGGAAGCGGGGTTGCCTGGATTAGAACTGGCGGCCAAATAGGATCCTGGTGCGTGTAAGGCAAAGATTTAGTCACTAGGCTACCACCCTGAGTCCTTGAGTATTATTTTGATTACTACCAAAATACTTTTTTTTATCTCTAATGATTTCAGGTTTCTGAAAAGCTTTCAGAGCTCATTCTGTTTTTCAACTTGGAAATGGATATCTAATCTGTTATTCATGTCTCATTTTCCTTTGTCCTTATAGTCTTCTGAAGTAAGAACATTTCAGAATCCACTGAAGTAAATCATAGATCTGGAAATATCCAAAGCCGATAGGGCATACAAACATGTTCTAACCAATGCATTCTCTAATGTCATAGAAAGGAATTAAGTAACTGGTGGATGGTCACCAGTTCCCAGAGCTAGGATGGAAATCTGAGCCTTGTGGTTCTCACCATAGTATGATGAATCATCAGTAGGTTTTTTGGGGGAAATCTCTTTGCTATGACTGCAGCCCTGTAAAAATAACAAGGTCCTGGCCCTATGGAAATGAATAACTGATGGCAGAGACTAATACACACACAAACACACACACACACACAAACTCAAGTAAGAAACTGAAAGATACTGAGAAATTGTGAGAACTCCCTTGAAGGAGACAAGGGGCATAAATGGGCTGCAGGGGGAGAGGCGAGCTCGCTGATGAAAGCCTCTCACAAGAGCTCGTTTTCAGCTAGACATGAGAAGGACTAGGAAGATCCAACCAGAAAGGAGGCTGGGGTGTTGCGGACAGCACATGGCGGGCAGAGGATAAGTGAGCAGAGCCAGGGGAGGCAAGGCGGGGAGGTTCAAGACTGGGGATTGTGCTGATGAGTGACCTGATCCCAGTTTGTGTTCTTCAACGATGATCTCAACTTATATGGGCACAGAATAGAAGTAAGGCAGCTATCTCTCCCAACTGAGTTCTACTAAATTTGGCAGGGAAAGACAGCTAACTTCTCTCTGCTGTGGCAGATGCTGTTTGTGGGGACAAGCATTTGGGACAGTAGTTAAGCCACTACGTGGTACACCTGTGTCCTTATCAGATGCTTGGGTGTGAGTCCCTGCTGGGATTTTACTTCTGATACCAGGAAACTACACATGGGATATAATTAGCTGGAATCTTAAGAAAACAACAACAACAAAAATATAACAGCACCTATGAAAGGAGAGATGAACAGGTAGAGGATTAGCATGTTAAGCCACCATGCCAGTCCCAAAAACATTTTGCATATTGAATTAACCGTAAGCAACACATGTCTGTGCATGACATAGATATTCGGAGCATTAAAAAGTAGGAATGCAAGGCAGATGATGCTAAGACAGGAGCTAGGCTAAGGAGGGCCTTGTAAGCCAGGTACCCAAGTTTCATCAGTGCACAAAATATACGTGGCAATGTGTAATAGCAGACTAAGCCTCCTCCATCTGCAGTTCCAATATCTCATATGAGTGCCAGCTTGAGTCCCAGCTGCTCTACTTTATCCAGCTACCTGCTTTTGGCCTAGGAAAGCAATGAAAGATGACCCAGGTCCTTGGGCCTCTGAACTCATATGGGAGACCAGGAGAAGCTCCTAGTTTGCTTTGGATAGGCCCAGGCCCAGCTCCAGCCATTGTGGACATTTGGGAAATGAACGCTCCTTCTCTCTATGTAAATCTGCCTTTCAAGTAAAAATAAGCAAATCCTTTAAAATGAGATACAAGTAGTCTGCCAGGGGAATATACAAAGGATATAAATAGCTGGGGTTAATTTATTTGTTTCTGTAATGTGCTGGTACCTGCGAAAGGACAGATGAGGAAAAACAGGACCAAGTTGTAGAGGATGTCAGCTGTGGACAAGCACTGTGAGTCCCTGCTTTGTAAGAGGAATCGGGCAGGGGAGCAGAGACTATAATGTAGCTCTCTATTTGCCAAAGGCAAGTGGGACCAGAGCTTCATGAGGGACGCCGTGTACCGTGCAGCATTACAAAGGACAGGGCGGCCATTCGAGGTGGGGGCAGGATCATCTTTGGATCTGAGTGGGAAGAGCCAGGAGCAGAACAGACACGGAGCTCTAGCTTAAGGGGGTGCGGGAGGGACGAGGGGCAAGAAAGTGTATTTCCCTTTTTGTAGATGAGCTCTGAACCCCAGGATGGCAGACAACTTGACCATCCCTTTGCCTCTTAGGAGGAAAGGCAGAGAACTGATGAAGAGTTGAAAAACTTCAGGCATGCACTGCCTATTTTAAAAATTTATTTTAATTTGGAAGGCAGAATTACAAAGAGAGGGACAAAGAGAGAGATATCTCTTATCTGTTAGTTTATTCCCCATAAGGCCACAACAGCCAGAGCTGAGCTGATCCGAAACCAGAGCAGGAAACTTCTTCCAGGTCTCCTATGTGAATGTAGGGGCCCAAGGACTTGGGCCATCCTCCACTGCTTTCTCAGAGCATAAGCAGGGAGCTGGATGGGAAGTGGAGCAGCCAAGATAAGCAGGGGTGCCGAGACTCCAAGACAGAGGATTAGCCTTTTGAGCCACAACACCAACTCCTCTACTGCCTTTTTTTTTTTTTTTTTTTACGATTTATTTATTTTTAATGGAAAGGCAGATCTACAGAGAGGAAGATTTTCTGTCCAATGATTTACTCCCCAAGTGGCTGCAATGGCTGGAGAGGAGCTGATCTGAAACCAGGAGCCTGAAGTTTCTTTTGAGTCTCCCACATGGGTGCAGGGTCCCAAGGCTTTGGGCTGTCCTCAACTGCTTTCCCAGGCCATAAGCAGGGAGCCGGATGGGAAGTGGGGCTGCCGGGATTAGAACTCATATCCATACAGGATTCCGGTGTGCGCAAGGTGAGGACTTTAGCTACTAGGCCATTGTGTCAGGCTCCTGTACTGCCTATTTTTAATTTTTAAAAATTGCAAAGTAACTCAGTGTTTTGTTTTGTTTCTTTCTTTCCCAAAGTGCTCCCATTTCATGGCACAGGCCCTGTGTTCTAACTACCTCTGTTCTATCCCAAGCATGCACTTACTTTCCTACTTCTGGACTCAAGATCACTGCGAATGGACTTTGCCTCCCTACCCTGCCTTGCCCTGGAGAGAAGCCATGAGGAAGCTGTGTATCAGTCCGGGTTGCTTGCCAGTACCCACGGCCACAGCTTTGATTGAACCTGCCTCTTCCAGGGCAGTGACATTTTCTTTCTTTTTTTCTTTATTAAAATTTATTTTATTTTTTATTGGAAAGGCAGAGATACAGAGGAAAGACAGAAAGTTATTCTGTCTGCTGGTTAACTCTCTCTTTTTTTTTTGTTAAAGATTTATTTATTTTTATAGGAAGTGAGACATACATAGAGGAGGAGAGACAGAGAGGAAGACCCTCGACTGCTTTCCCAGGCCACAAGCAGGGAGCTGGATGGGAAGAGGAGCTGCCAGGATTAGAACCGGCGCCCATATGGGATCTCGGTGTGCTCAGGACAAGGACTTCAGCCACTAAGCCATGCTGCTGGGTCCTGCTGGTTTACTGTCTAAATGACCACAACAGTCCAAACTGTTCTGATCCAAAGCCGGGAGCTGGATGGGAAGTACAACAGCCAGGATATGAACTGGCGCCCATATGGGATTCCAGCATGTGCAAGGAAGGCGAGGATTTAGCCACTAGGCAATTGCGCTGGGTCCAGTGATATTTTCTTAAGTTCAAAGAAGAAAAAGAAAAAATTTTTTTTCTGTTCCTTGTACTTTTTTCAAGCTCCTGCTTGAATAACGCGTTTCCTCTGGGCTTTGAGAACAGGGCCTTCCTTCATAGAGCAGGATGTTGTGTTTCCAGCCTGCACAAACTCAAACTTTTCCTCTCATCACGTGCCTGTCTTGAGCCAGTGCGCAGCTGTGTAATGCGATCGCCCTGGCCAGCCTCCAGCCCCAACCAGCTGACAATAGTGGTTAGCTAGTTAGCTTGCATGCAGAGCGCAGCAGCCACCCACAAGGGACCAAGCAGGAAGAAAAGGCAGTTTTACCTGTGGCCAGGACCTCAAAGGAGTCTGCAAAGAAACAGCCCACTGCAGAGGTGAGCGGGGTACTGGTGGGCTGTGGAGCGGGAGGGAGGAATCTGGCAAGGTCCAGGCATGTCCAAGTCACTTGAAAAACACTTCAGCCATCTCCCTGTCCCCCTCAGGCGAGATCTGCTCTGAACATCATCCGCCTGTGTCTGTAGCGTCTTCTTCCTCCTTGGACTTGTTTTCCAGCAAGTGATAGGCAATCCTACTGGGCTAGATTTGGCTTCAGAACCGTATGAAAGAGGAAAATTCACAAGTCAGAACTCTTGAAGAGGCAAGTCCCACGGGGAACAGGAAGGGACAGTGCAGGAAGCAGCTGTAACCTCCTGCACGTAGATGGAACCAGGACAGAGGTCTCTGGCAAAGGCATATGGGCTGGAAGATGCTCAAGCTGGGTGAAGCTGTTTTCACACAACACACTGAGATTTAGGAAATAAGTAAACTTTTACTTTTGAAATAAGTAAACACGGCCTGCAGGTTGAGAAATACTGTTGTCTTGATGTTCTTTCTAAGAAGGACTCCCACCAAGTGCCCTAGATTAGGAACTTACAGTCATTTTGTGTCTGGAGGTGGACAGCAGCCAGGGTTTTTCAGGGACCCCCTGCAAGTCCTTGGATGCGGAAGGCTAGATGGGAGGCTGCCTTGAGAGCTGCTTCGGCTGCCTGTGCACTTCTGTCTCGGTTTCTCTGGCTAGAAGGAAGTGCTTGCTGCAACAGCAATGAACTGAGCGTCAAACCCCTGGTTTCAGGCAGGACATGAGGGAAAACAAAGACATCGGTAGCAAATGCTGTCAGATTCTGAGGCCAAAAACCCATCAACTGTATTTTTTTATGTCTTCTGTAATTTATTCAGCAAATACTTCCGGTCTACATGTCAGGTTTATTCTTGGCAGGGTGGATCTCAGAGTCAAAAGGACAGGCAGTCCCCTTCCTCCCCTACCCTCCACCAGCCACAAGGGCAGGCAGTCAAGTGGGGCAGTAAACATTCAGAGGGCGAGGTTTCATGCAGGGAAGGGAGTGTTACCAACACTGTCCAAAGGGATCCATTGTTTTTTCAAAATTTAACCTTTTCCTTCATGCATCTTATCTTCCTGTGGCAGTGTCAGCCCCTCTTCTGTGTCGGCCTCAGGTGCACAGATCTCATGTACAAACTCTTCTTGGCTCTGCAACACTCTCCACCTGTACCTCGGGAGGTTCCCCTGGCCCTGGAGCCCGACCACGCAGCTTTTTCCTGGAATGAGAACAGAGGCTGAAGTCAAGGGGCTTCTTATGAAAATTTGTGCTATTGTTAAAACACACAGAGCACCAGGCAGAGTGTTAGGAGACTTGAATTTTGTCACTGACTGGAATTTAGAGCAGGCCACTTCTGCTATCCAGGCCTAAGGGCAGATGACCATTCAAGGCTAGTTAGTCTCTTTCTCTTTCCTCCTGCTCCTCTAAGAGTACATGCTGAAATAATTCACAAAATATTTACAAATAAACAATGTACATGTTAATAAATGTACTGTATATTTATAAAATAAGGACATTCCTCATTGATGTAAAACACCCAGGATCCCAGAACCTGAAAAATCTGAAAGAATTGTGTGGTAGACAAAACTCAAAATTAAGATTGCATTACTCCTCCACCCACGTCCTAGTCCCTGACCTGTCCTGGCATTGCTGAGGTCATGAGTAGCAGCTGGGCCTCACTGCGTCATTTATCAAGACTGAAGAGTCTTCAGTAAGAAGTTGCAAGGAAAACCTTATTAGCCAGTATCACATGTGGGTGATTCACAAGAGCATCACATTCCCTCTAGTGGAGAGCTCATCCCTTGTTTGTAAATATTAGAACCTTTACTTTCAATGTGTTTCACTTTGTTCCTATAATTCACCCCCTTCTTAAATGTTTACTTTTCTTCTGCTGTTTTTCATTTAGAAAATCAAATTTCTATAATATTATACTATAAAATAGAACAAGAAACATGTATTATACACCTTTATATCCTGTGTGTAGCATTATGTCTGGCATGGAGGTGTTTCTTGAAAGGATGATTAATATTTCAGAGAAAACATTAAAAAAAATAGTTATTTACTTTTATTGGAAAGGCAGATTTTACAGAGAGAAGGAGAGAAAAGGATTTTCCACCTGCGACTTCACTCCCTAAATGGCCACAATGGCTAGAGCTGAGCCAAGGTCAGTAGCCAGGAGCTTCTTTCAGGTCTCCCACATGGGTGCAGGGTCCCAAGGTCGTGCGCCATCATCTGCTTTCCCAGCTTACAAGCAGGGAGCTGAATGGGAAGTGGAGCAGCCGGGACACAAATTAATACCCATATGGAATGTTGGTGCTTACAGTGGAAGGATCAGCCAGGAGGCTAAAGTGTAGGCTACAAATTTTGCATATTTTTATACCTCCATTTCCTCAGATGAAAAAATACAGTCCTTGGAAGAGATGAACTCTTAATATTAGTTAAAATTAAATGCTAAAGAAGTTAACGATCAAATCAGAAAAGGAAGCCCAACAACAAAGTAGGGATTATAATACTTTCTTACAATGCTGATAAATGTCATCTTTACCTGCCAATCTATCTAACTTGCACAAGTTGCTGGCAAACAATGCTAAGGAGTTTCTTTGCATGAATAGCCATCTTCACCCCCACATGTGAGGTCTATCCTAGAACCGTTCTGACTACATTCACATAAAACTGAAAACATATTTACTGGCAGGTAGAGAGGGGCAGAGAGCAAGCTGCCTTTGCATTAAATATTCAGCAGAGTGATATAGTTCTGTGGCTTAGAGAACTCAGCTGCCTAGATCAACATCACATTGCCATAGCTAAAGAAAAACAGCATGTTAGGAAATGCATCGTGGGGTCTAACAAAGCCAGATTTCGCTGGAGAAATGCTGTTCCTCTAGAGCCTAAGGGCCTTCCCATCACCAAAAAGCAAGCATTCACTTTCCCTTTGGCCAGAAGGTGTACAGGGAGCAAGCAAATGTAAAGCCAAACCTGTGTATCAGCCCCCAATCACTTGGTCTCAGCACTACGTAGTGTTCATAACACGCAGCTCAGTGTCCTCCCTGCCTTGAGACATGAACTAGAGCTGCCTCGTTACAAGGACAAGGTCTCACTGTACTGACAGTCATCCTTGCCTCTCTTGGGTTTTATGTATAATTTTAGTAACTGCTTCCACTTACTTTTTTCTTAACATGTAGCCTACTCTCTAAAACAGTTTTTAGTAGTTTCCAATGGAAGTTTATACCACAGAACAGTGGGAAACAGGTAAACTCTGATCAAAACCCATCAGACAGACCCGGTGAGATGGCTCAATGGTTAAATCCTCAGCTTCCAAGCACTGGAATCCTGTATGGGTGCCTGTTCATGTCCCTGCTGCTCCACGTTCCACCCAGCTCCCCGCTTATGGTCTGGGAAAGCAGTAGAGGACAGCTCAAAATTTTGGGATCCTGCACCCCTGTGGGGAACCAAGTAATACCTGCTTCCTGCCTCTGGACTGGCTCTGCTCTGGCCATTGTGGCCATCTGGGGAGTGAATCAGCAGATGGAAGATCTTTCTCTCTGTAAATCTGCCTTTCCAATAAAAATAAATAACTCTTATGAAAAAAAACAACAACAGAACACTAGACATTAAACACCTTTGATACCCCACTTTGAGAGACTATAATCTGTGGAGAAAGCAAGCAGGTGTCTTCCCTGCTATTGCTTTGATACTAGGCCATGTGAAATTCTAACAAGAAGAGAAGAATGAGGAGCAGCAAGAAGAAACCTTAACCTTCTTAACTTTAAAACTCTAATGAAAGCTGTGAATCCTTCTATCCTGAAAAATGAGCACGGAAAAACTGGCTCACAATTTCAGGGAAGATGAAGAATTCTCAGAGGCCTTCCAGAACTGAGGAAATATCTGAATTCCAGTAAAGGGGAGGCAAATTAAAGGAAATCCAGGTGCTTTAGGAATCTTTACTGTGTTTCTTAGCAATGGACATTGCATTACAAATCAGTCCATTTTTTCATTATAACAAAATATCGACGCTGTGTACTTACAAAGAAAAAAGGCTTTTTTTGACTCCTAGTTCTGGACCAAGGGCAAGAAGCAGCATCTAGTGATGGCCTAACTGACACAGTCCCAGTGCAGCTCAGGACATCACCTGACAAAGAACTGAGAATGCATATGTGTATGCCATTGTCTCTTCTGGTTTTTCTCCCTCTTAATATGAAGCCATTAGTATTTTTTGTTCAAGACTTATATATCTTACTTGAATAGCAGACTTACAGAGAAAAAGAAGGAGAGATAGAGAGAGAGATGGGGGTCTTTCATCCTCTGGTTCATGCTCCGAAAGACCACAACAGCCATATTGAGCCAGTCTGAGGGGCTTCCTCCAGATCTCCCACGTGGGTGCAGGGGTCCGAGGACTTGGGCCGTCCTCTGCTGCTTTCCCAGGACATCAGCAGGGCACAGAATTAGAAGTGGAGCAGCTAGGAGTCCAGCCAGTATCCATACAGAAGGTCAATGCTGCAGGTGGAGGATTAGCCTGATATATCACTGTGCCTACCCTCTTCATTTATTTTTTTAAGAAATATGATTTACCTAATACCTCAAATTCTTTGGACAGCAGCCAGGACATGAATCAACACCCATATGCGATCCTAGCACTTCCAGGGGGAGGATTAACTAATTAAGCCATTGTGCTGGGCCCAATAAATCTTTAAAATAATAATAAATACATAAATAAAATGAATCAAATGTTGAATAGTGAACATATTCCTATGGTCCACTATTTCAACCATCTAAGAACAGGAAACACCTGATGCCACTTGATCTCTGACACAGGTTACAAAGGACAATTCAATGGGGAAAGAACATTTGTTAATAAATGGATATTTATTGGATATTTACAGGCAAAAAACAATAAAACTGGACTCCTTCCTCATACCACATACAAAAGTTAACACCGGATACATTATAGACCTAAATAATAGCTAAAATTATAAAATCTCAAGGTTGGCATTGTGGTTGTATGGGCTTAGCTGCCAACTGCAGTGCCAGCTTTACTTCTTTTGTTGTTGTTGTTGTTTTTAAAGATTTATTTAGCTTTTATTGGAAAGGCAGATACACAGAGAAAGAAGGAAAGACAAAGATCTTCCATCTGCTGGTTCATTCCCCAAGTGGCCACAACAGCCACAGCTAAATTGATCTGAAGCCAGGAGCCAGGAGCTTCCCTTGGGTCCCTCACATGAGTACAGGATCCCAAGGCTTTGGACAGTCCTCTACTGCTTTCCCAGGCTACAAGCAAGGAGGTGAATGGGATGTGAAGCAGCTGGGACACAAATTGGCACCTATATGGGATCCCAGCATGTGCAAGGACTAGCCACTAGGCTACTGCAACTGGGACACTGCTTCACCTTTGATCCAGCTCCGTGATAATGTGTCTGGGAAAGCAGCGGAAGATGGCACATGGGATATCCAGAAGAAGTTTCTGGTTCCTAGTTTCAGATCAGCTCAGCTCTGGCCATTTTCGCCATTTGGGGAGTGAACCAACAGATGGAAGATCTCTCTCTCTGTCACTCCCCTTGTCTTTCTGTAACTCTGTCTTTCAAAATAAGTACAATAAATCATGAAAAAATAGTCTTGTGGCATAGCGAGGTTTGCCTGCATGTGTGGTGCTGGCATCCCATACTTCTGATTCAGCTCCCTGTGCCTGGGAAAGCAATAGAGCATGGCTCAAGTCCTTGGGACCCTGAACCATGTGGAAGACACAAAAGAAGCTCCTGGCTCCTAGCTTTGTATTAGTCCAGCTCTGGCTTGTTGGGGCCATTTGCATAGTGGAAGATCTCTTTGTCTCTCTCCCTCTCTCCTCCTCCCCTCTTCCCTCCCTTCCTCATTCTTTCTTTCCATCTTCCTCTCTTTCTAAATTGTGTCTTTCAAATAAATACGCAATCAAATGTTAAAGTGAGCAAATTATTTGGATATTATTAAAGAAGATATGTAAATGGCCAATAAATACATAAAAAGGGGCCACTTTGTCATTAGGAAAACACAAAACCACAGTGAGGAACCCCTTCACACCTAATAGGATCACAGTAAGTATTATGTGTGACAAGTACTAGTGATATAAGGAAAAACTGGAGCTCTCACACTAAGAAACATAAAATAATGAATTCACTGTGGAAAAGTTGGGCAGTTCCTCAAAAGTTTAAATAGATTTACCATATGACTCAGCAGTTCTATTCCCAAACATGTGTCCAAGAGAAATGAAACCATGTCTACACAAAATCCCAAACTTTTTTAATAGCCAAAAGTGGAAACAATCCAAACTTCATCATTTGGTGAACAGCTACATAGAATATGAATACACCCAGCACGGTGGCTCATTGGCTGGATCCTCACCTGGCAAATGCTAGGATCCCACATGAGCACCAGTTCATGTCCCAGCTGCTCTACTTCCCATCCAGTTCCCTGCTTACAGCCTAGGAAAGTAGTAGTGAACTGTCCAAATCCTTGGGACTCTGCTCCCATGTGGGGGATCTTAAAGAGGCTCCTGTTTCCTGGCTTTGGATTGGTTCAGCTCCAACCGCTGTGGCCATTTGAGGAGTGAACCAGATCTTTATGTCTCTCCTTTCTGTAAATCTCATCTGTCTTTCCAATCAAAACAAATCTTAAAAAATATGAACACACATCCAGTATAGTATACAGTAAAATTAAGGAACTGGCATTGTGACACAGCGGATTAGCTACAGTTTATGACATCAGCAGCTCATGCTGGAGAGCTGGTTTGAATCCCACTTGACTGTTTCTGATCCAGCTCCCTACTAACCAGCCTAGAAAGGCAGCAGATGATGGCCCAAGTACTTGGGCCCACACCACCTACACTAGAGACCAGAAGAGTTCCTACCTTCTGCTGCTTCAGCCTAACTCAGGACTGACTGCTGTGGCCACTCGAGAAATCAATCAGTAGATGAAAGATATCTGTCTCTTTGTCCCTCTGAATTTCAAATATTTTTTAAAGAGAGTTATGGGAGTTGGTGCTGTGATATAGTAGTGTAAGTCTCTGCATGCAGTGCCAGCATCCCTAGTGGGCACCAGTTCATGGACTAGCTCCTCCACTTCCAATCCAGCTCTCTGCTTATGGCCTAGGAAAGCAGTGTAGGATGGCCCAAGTGCTTGGGGCCCAGCACCCATGTGGACACCCAGGAAGAAGCTCCTGGCTCTGCATCAGCCTGGCTCTGGCCATTGAGGCATTTGGGGAATGGGCCAGAGAATGAAGACCTCTGTCTCTCTTTCTCTATAACTCTTTCAAATTAAAAACAAAACAAAAAAATTTTAAACAGGTTGTGGTGGTGGTATGACATACACACATGTGCTACAACATGAATGAATCCTGAAACATGCCAAGGGGAAAAAAAGGCTATATGAATTAGTTTATATGAAAATTCAAAAACAGGCAAATCTATAGCAATAAAATATATCTTAATAGTTTCCCAAGGCTGGAATAGGGATCAAAGAGGGAGATTGATGGAGACATTATCTATCGATAACTAAAGGGTACAGGGTTTTGTTTGGGAAAGACAATGTTCTAACACTGATTGTGATTATAGAGGAGTAATTGTGTGACAATTCTAAAAGTCACTGAAATGTACACTTAAATAAAAAAAGATTTACTTTTATTGGAAAGGTTGAGAAGATCTACGGAGAGAAGGAGAGACAGAAAGATCTGGTTCACTCCCCAAATGGTTGCAATGGCTGGAGCTAAGCCAATCTGGAGCCAGGAGTTTCTCTCAGGTCTTCCATGCAGATGCAGGGTCCCAAGGCCATGGGCAATCCTCTAAAAGCAGGGAGCTGGATGGGAAGTGGAATAGCTGGGACAAGAACCAGCACTCATATGGGATCCCAGTGCTTTGCAAGGGGAGGATTAACCAATTGAGCCATTGTACTGGGCCCTTTATAAAGAGATTTTTACAAAGAGAAAACAAACACAATTTGAATTCCCCTGTTTCTCATTTAGGAGATTATAATTTTTTGCTCTTTATCATTCTGAAACAGGAGAAACAGTGTGTTGTCTTATGCTTAATTCATGTCTCTTTTAATGATAGAGGCTGAGCATCTGTTCAGTTTCAGAGCTAACATCGATCCTTTCTTACCATACTCTGTTTACTTCCTTGCTGCCTTGTGAAAACCACACCCACACTCACCTGTGTTCTGCCATTTCAGATGAAGGGAGAGGTTGGAAGCCCGCCACACAATGAGAAGCTAAAGCAGGTAAATGCCAGCACCTCAGCCACTGCAGGGCGCAACAGCCACCACTGGCCGGCCCCACCTCCAGCTGCACTTACTGTGTATCTGGTGTCTCCCCCAAGGCTTAGTGGGGACTGACACATATCCTCATTCCTGTGGATGTGCAGGGAACATGTGACTCTGGCTGCCTGCAGGAGGCAGTATCAGCAGTAGGTGAGGGAAAAGCCCATTAGTTCCCACCATAGTCTCTGCATCCCTATGCTTAAAGCCCTGGGCATGCCCTGAGCTTAGGGTCTCATAAGCTTTCCTTTCCATAAGCTGCTCCTGGGACACCAGAGACTCCCAAAAGCATCTGGGATTGGGGCTGAGATTGGGCCCTTGACCCCAGCTAAGTGCCCATCATGTGCCCCAGTGTGTCATAGGACAAGTTGGTCCTACTTCCCCTGTTCCCTTAATCGGAGCTGCTGGAGAGACTGGAAAACCCTGAGTCCCTGGAAATACACCTAATCTTGTGTGTAAGAATGAGTTTTGTTTTGTTTTGTTTGAGAATGAGATTTTAATTTGACTTGATTTGGCTTGATTAAACTGAGCAGATGAAAAATTTCCATTGAGTCTAGAAACATTCCTGAAGAGTCTTCAGAATAATTTTAAAGAGTATTGAGAAAAATGCAACACATAGCATGTTCAGGTGGTCTTTGAATAAACTATATAAAATGCCAAACAACAAGAGCCTTTGACTGGGCTGGTCAGAAAAAAGGGAGAGGGAGATAGGGATGTGTGTCCAGTTGGAAGGCTTAGGGCCCTGAATTCCAGCCATACACAAATTTCACTGACCGTGAAAAAGACTTCCTCGTCTTTTGGTCCAAAGTGGCATGGGGTAATGCTGAGAAATGATTCAGTGTGAACTGAGATTGCTCTGAACTGGTCAACCACAAGTTGGCTCCCTCAGACATTGACTTAAGGTGTATCTTACTAGGTCAGTTCCCAGCCCAATGTCCTGCTAGATATGGTACATCTGCATCCACAGTACACATACCACAGAAACCCCCACAGAACTTCTGGTTCTGTCCCGGGATGTGAGCACAGGCTGTGTGCATTTGCCCACCACACAGCAGACGCTGGATGCTGCTGATATGCCAGCAACTGACATTTTGCCTCTCTGAGTGTGGGCCCTCATGGTCTGCAATGAGCTACCACTTGATAGAGAACACAGCGGGACCTCCTAGTGACTGCCAGCGACCTCCTCCTTATCTTGGGAATATGTAATTGTCCTGTGCAGCTGGCAGCCTTGGGCTCATCCTGCTGAAGGCACAAGAATTACATGAAGTGAGGACACTGTGTGCAATTCTTTAGGGCAAGAATGAAGTATGGATGGAGAAAGATGAATCTATACATAAAGTCCCAGTATCCAGAAGGTGATTTTCTCACTATAGTGCTTGCAAGTTCTTTGGGTGTGATGATCTCAACCTGGCCTACCCACTAAAATCTCACAAAACCTCACCTCCAGAGACTTGTGTAATTGGGCTTGAGAGCTCGCTGGGTGTCAGGAGCTGTCTTCAGCTCACAGGTGATCCCAATGTGCAGGTGGGTGTCTCCAGTTGTTTGCCAAGAGGACTGATGACAAATGCCGCAGGTCTTGCCAGTCCTTCTATGGCATCAGGTTAATTGCCTTTCCTCTTCTTACTTGGAGTCTAATTTGCATGAACACACCCACATTCAGCCCAAGGGTTCTTGATAAGAAAAAGTCTCCAGGAGAGTTGAGGGAAGGATCAGGAACCTTGCCTGCCAGCCTTGGTAGTAGCAGTGAGCCGCGTGGGAAGCCCAGGACTCGCCAGGGTTTGACACTCTCTTGTCCTCTAGGAGGGACACATCTGGGGCTCCATGAAGAGGACGGCTTTCATCCTGGGCTCTGGCCTACTCTTGTTTGTAGCCCTCTGGAACTCAGTCACATGGTAAGTCTTGCCTGGCCTAGTTTGTACCCAGCACCTGAGGTGGTGTGGTGGAGGTGTGTATGCCAATAAGAGCTTTGGGTCCTGAATGTTTTTTTCTTCCCAGGCATCTTCAGAGGTTTTGGGGTGCTTCTGGCCACTTCTGGCAAGCACAGTGGGAGAGGCTTCTGTTGACGTTTGAAGGGAAGGAATGGTTCCTCTTCACCCTGGGTGAGGTTCCCTCTCAGGGCTCCGGGTTTGGGTACCTGACTACCCTGGAATCCTTTTTCCTAATGTTTTGTTCTCTGCTTTGGGCTTTTGCGTTTATGATCCACAAGGACAAGAACCTGGAGTTCAAAAAGGGTGGCAACTCCAGAGAGCATTAAACTTTGGAAGTCTGGAAACAGAATGTCTAAAAAGCCAAGATACTGGAGCCCCTCCACCCCAATATAGAAGAAGAAGTAAACAGGCGCGTGCTAAAATGAATAATCTTGCTTCTATACAAAACTGCCCCCACACAGGGAGCTATTTTGTCTCCGACTGCATCCTTCCCATCCCCCATCCTTTCCCATCCCCCTCTTTATTCTACCTTTTGGGGAGCTACAGCCAAGTAGTTATAGTAGTTATATTTCCTGACAGCAGGAGTAGCTCTAGACATGCCTAAGAAAATAAAGCAGAAAGAAACATACACTTATGACAGCTTTACGTATAATGTAAATGTCCTCAATTGCATGTTCACTGATTCATTCAATTTTATTACTGTTACTATATGTCAAATCAGTACAGAGGACACAGAAACATTTACAGCAGAGTGTCTGTCCCATAGGGAACAAAAGCACAGATTAGGCAGATAAGTGTCAGTTGTCATAAAAAAAAAAAAAACTGCCCACAATGATTATTTTCAGCTAAAACCAGAAATCTGAAAATTGGTTAGACACTAAGGTACAATGGAACTTTAAGCACCATGGCAAGAACAATGTAGATTTCAAAAGTATATTTGGAAAGTGATGAGAAAACAGTTTGTGTATTTCTATTATAATGATGTAAACACTGTTTTACCTTGGAGACAGGAATGAAACAGAAAATGTAATTGTCAGAGCATGGACTTTACATGTTAAGTGGCATGATCTATTGCATGAAAATAGTCTGGTCTGTTCAGTCATTTTTCTTCTAATGGACATTTAGGCTGACTGAGATGTCTTGCTGTGACGCTTGTAAGGCTGGGAGGCACATTCATGGACCCCAGCGTCCTCACCCGTCTGTCCTTCCTGACCTGTCTCAGTCTCATTTTCCTCTCCTTCAGACACTGCCAAATCATGTTCCTGAATGCTTGTCCCCGATGTATTCTCCCCAGTTCCGGCCAAGTCTGTTCCAAGTCCCACTTACACTGCAAGCTACAGGTCAATGGAGCAGCAGGGGTGCAGGAAAAGTAGGGAGGCGTGCAATGAAAACACAACCCTGTCCTTCCCCTCCAGAGACATAACATGCAGAAATAAAGTCAATTAGTACGAGAGTTAGGCAACATTATGTCATCTGCATCATTGCCAAGCAGAAGGGAAAAAGTGCTGTTTGTTCTCAGTGAGAAATCAGAACTACGAGGGGTGACTTGACAGAAAAGTGGGACGTGGAACACAAAGCCAGACACGAATCTTCAGTCTCACTCAATCTTTTCCACAATACTGAGCAGCATGTCAATGTTGGCAGGTGGCCGCAGAAGTTATCATCCATATGGGCCCCTTTAGTATGAGGGTGCATGGGGTGGGAGTGGTAGTGCCAAGATGACTGACGGACACTGAAGCCATCCTAGGCCAGCTCGGAGGCTGGACTGCCTGATTCTGAGGAGCTGTGGGTTATGACAGGCCAGGCCGGTGCCAGCAATGCCTGACCACGTTCTCAGCACAGGAGTTTCCAGAGGTGCAAGCGCACTTCATGTGAACCGGCCTCTTCCTAAGTGCACGGTGTGCAGACTCTGGGGGACAAACAGCCTGTTGCAGGCCCAATCTTCCCCTTTAGGAAATGCTGACTGAACAACTCCTGGGTGCCCAGTGCTTCCTTAATAGGGAACAGGGCTGAGGTTTCTCCCCTGACTCTGAGCACAGTGCTTCTCATCAACTGTATCACCACCAAACACCTCCTTGACTTCTTCCTGAGCGATTCAGAAAGAGTTCAACAGCTGCAGATCTCACATGTCAGCCTAAGTTCTTTTTTATTCTGCAGTGCATTGCACTTCTTAACACATGTCCACACACCACTGTGTGCTGCCTAGGGAGGGGGATATGTTTTGTCAGGTGAATCTGTCACTATGAGGTATGGTTTTTTTTTCTCTTAAAGATTTATTTTATTTTTATTGTAAAGTCAGATATACAGAGAGGAGGAGAGACAGAGAGGAAGATCTGTCCGATGATTCACTCCCTAAGTGACCACAACAGCCAGTGCTACGCCGATCTGAAGCCAGGAGCCAGGAACCAGGAACCTCTTCCGGGTCTCCCACGTGGGTGTGGGGTCCCAAGGCTTTGGGCCATCCTCGACTGCTTTCCCAGGCCACAAGCAGGGAGCTGGATGGGAAGTGGAGCTGCCGAGATTAGAACCGGCGCCCATATGGGATTCCGGTGCGTTCAAGGAGAGGACTTTTGCCAATAGGCCACAGCACCTGGTCCTGTGAAGTATGTTTTAAGGATCTGCTGCTGACCAAAATACCACTACTCGGCACATGAGGGAATATACGTTTGTCTCTGACCACCTGAAGGCTGCTGTCCCCATTTTACAGCTAAGAAAATAGAGACATTCCTTAAGCAATTGCTCAAGTTCCCACAGCTATTGCGTCAGCTAAGGCTATGGGGAGGCCCCAGGTTCTGAGCACCAAGACCTGTTGTGCCAGGGAACACAGCTGGGATGTGTTGTAGGGTTGCAGCAGGAACGTCACACTGCTCTAATTGCTCTCCCCCACTTCCTACCCACAGGTGCCACCACAGTGCCTGCTCTGTTTTTCTGGGTCTTCAGTGGACTCCTCCTGATAGTTGACACCACCGGCAAACCCAGCTGCATCACCCGTTACCGAATCCAGCTTGGCAAGAACGAGCCTGTGAGTGCTGCTGCAGCCATTCCTGCCCAAAGCAAGAAGAAAAAGTTGCTCTGGGGATGCCCATACAGGGTGCAGTTCAGCCCTTATTGTTGGGAGCCCACTTAATCAATTCAGCCTTCCCCAATTCTCAGAGCCATGTGGCCGGTGGCTGGTTACAATGAAGGTTCTAGGCCTCTGGGTCCCAATCCAGGCTCTGTGCCTGCAGGTGTTGCCTCACCTTGCAGAGGTCAGCCTGTGGCCCACAGAGAGGAGCAGCCAGCCAGGTGCTGGGCTAAGCCTAAGGCAGCAGACAGGCATCCCTCCATCTATGGGAGGAAAGGTTGGACCCTGAAACTATGGACATCAGTGGTCATGGGGAGAGAGGAAGACAGCTGCTAGCCTACTGTAATACGTGCCAAGCAGGAGCAGGGGTCACAGCCATCTATTTAAGCAGATCCTCCTTCCTCTTTTTTGTTCAAGCAGTAGTGCCAGGCACCAGGGCAAATCCATGACAAAGCAGGCCTAGACCCTATTTCCAAGCAACTCAGTGGCACACAGCCCTGCAGAATGAAGCCTCCTCACCGGCTTGGTGCTCTGCCCACCTCTACACATCTTTTCTTACACAACAGCGAAGAGACAACTCTTTCCCATGCTCCACCCAATGTCCTGGCTTCTTTTCTAGAGGAAACAATCATCTTGTTGGGTTCCTGGGTGAATCATGCTGGCTCCCAGGGAATCCGCCCCAGCCCAGCACTCTAGACAGCCTAGGACACAGGGGACAGAAACTGAGGGTCAGTCAGGACAAACAACTAGCTCAAGGTCAAAAAAGAACCAGGACTGGTTCTACCTGACTTGTAAGCTAGTGCTCCTGCTCTGTGCACCTGCAGGAGTGTATGTGAGTAGGAGGGAACCTCCCCAGATCATTCTTCAGGAAGAACTCACCCTGAACCAAGACATCAAGGTCAGGGTCCCAGGTGAAGACCAAAATCTTCACAGCACTCATGGTCCACGTTCCTGGTCTGTTTTCTCTCCCACTCTCCAGAAAGGCTAGGACACACCCTCCCTCTCTCCTTAAATCCTCAGTAACCTGGTCCCCAGCGTCTCTTGCAGAGGTTGACAGTGCTTGCTAGCTCTCTAATTAAGACAGCAGCTTGGTAGGCTCATACTGCACCAGCCTGCCAGCAGCATGTGCCCCCTTCATGCTCTGCCTGTCCTCCTAACTCATGGGTGAACCTTAATTTATTTGAAAGGCAAAGAGAAATCATGCATTTGTTGTGTACAGGGGCCATCCTTTGTTTTCCCAGGTGTACTGGCAGGAAGCAGGACTGGAAACTCCAACTGGTGCTTCTATGTAGACACTGGCATTGCAGGTGGCTACTCAACCTGCTGTACCACAATCTCAGCGCCGGTTCCATGACTTTAAATATCACCAGGGAGCTGAGAGCTCACACATTTGTATCTCTAGCCCAGAACCCCTTTTTTAATTGCAGACTCGAATATCCAGTGGCCTCCTTGACATGTGCCCACCAATGCTAACAGACATCTGTTTCCCATGTCCAAAGGGCATTTCTGGTCCTCCTACCCTCATCAACCTTACCGCTCAGCTTCTGCAATCCGAGTTGTGGGCAATTCTGCCCTTCCAATTGTTCTGCTTAAAACCTCAGTCATTCTTATCTGCTTCTTTTTCTCATACTCCACATTCAATCTATTAAAATGTGTTTCCAAATAATCCAGAGTCTAGTCACGCCTTGACATCTCACTGTTACCACCCTGAGCAGATGACAGCAATTGGTCTTCTGGATTCTACTGTTGCTCTCCCAGGGTATCCTCAGCATAGCCGTCAGAGTCCTGCTGTATGATCTTATCACTTCCCAGCTCCCCTTGCAGTAAAAGCTGCAGTCTTTATAAGGCCAGCTGTTCCCTACGGGACCTGGCCTTTTCTACATCTTTGATCCTAACACCTGCTTCTCGTCAGTCACCCACTGCCTTCTGCTCCACAGGCCAGAACTGTTCCCTGGTTGTGAAGGCTCTTGATCAATCTCATTAACCCAATAAAGCTTAACCTGTTCATTCTATCTGAGATTTGTGGTGACTCACACCCTCCTTGCTCCTCCCAAAGCCTCTTCCCCTCCTGCTCCTTTCTAACAAAGCACTTGTCATTTTCTATTACATTATATGTACATTTTTATTGGGGTGTAAGTTCCATGAGGACAGATATCTTTGTTTTCCTTACTGCTTTACTTTGAGCACTGATGGCACTGAGAGCTAAACAAGGAGTGAATAGCCAGATGTGACACCCACCTGTAGGTCAAGGTTTCTGGGAGAGGCAAAAAGTTCCATCTGACCTGGCTCACAACTTCTGAAGTCAGTCAGCACATGTAGTGGTAGGAAAAGCTGAAGGAAGAGGAAGAGGGCTCAAGCGTGGGGACAATTCTATCACTCAGCCCTACCTTGAGGACAGAAACGCTCCCATTTTTCAAGGGGAACTCAGGAAGAAAGTCTTCCTCATTGAGCTCAAATGAGTTCCTCAGGACCCAAGAAGTACACCCCAGTACTCTGATAAAGTGGAGGGCCATGGAGTTCCTGGTTCTCAGGGCTGATGCTGTCTGCAGTGATGAGGTCAAATATGAAGCACGTAGGTGGACACTGGAGAAAAAGCTTGGGCAGATATCCTGCCAGCTTACCCTCCCATTCACCCATCCCCTCAACCCTGCAATCTTGACAGCTTCACTGGGAAGACCAGGAAGGCAGTCAAAAGGCTAGAAAATCTGCTCCCTGGCTCACCTGTGCTCTGGACCAAGGACAGTGTGGCTAGGCCACATGAGGCAGCAGATGGCCATATGTCGGCAACTGATCATAGACAAGGTTCTCTGTTTGATGAGACCTAAGAGAGAGGAAGTGGGATGTCAATCTGAGAGCTGGCTGCTTTATCCAGGCACCATGGAGGCTCCCCAAGTGACCTGCTGAGAATACACAGGGAGAACAGTAGTGAGATGTGTGCAGCTAGCAAGCTCATGCAGACCTTGAGGCTGGGAGTGGCCAAAGCCAGCAGCATTCCTGACAGCCAGAGCTGGCCTGCTGTTACATTTCCAAGTCAAGGGCTGCGGGGAGGGGGGAATGAGGAGCTGCTATGCCCAGACGTCACTACCAGGATCCAACTCTGAGCATGGGACTCCTGGAAGTCATGTTTCTAGAAGAGATAAACCTATTTCCCAAGCTCTTATCCATCTTTTGTGCTCTTTCTCTTGCTCAGGTGGATCCTGTGAAACTGCGCCAGGCTATCCCCACGGTTCTTGCCAACCAGTTCATGATCTCTTTCCCCATGGTGGTCTTCTTCTATCCCTGCCTCAAGTGGTGGGGAGAGCCCTGCCGCCGAGAGTTGCCAACCTTCCACTGGTTTCTTCTGGAGCTGGCAGTCTTCACCCTACTGGAGGAAGTCTTGTTCTACTATTCTCACCGGTGAGCAGGGCTCCTTCCTGTTATTCCCTCACCTACCTGGAACTCACTTAACAATGAGGAAACTGAGGCCTCCAACGACCTGGAGACAGCTCTTGGCCCCCGACTACTTGGGACAACTGAACAATCTATGTGTTGTTGAGAGGGAGGGCGGTAAGGATGTGGGAATTTCCCATACATTTCCTTATCAAACCCTTATTTTAGAGCAGACATAATGGTCAAGAAATCCAGCCCTTCCAGTGCTGTGGTAGATCACAGAGGCAGCCGTTTGACTTGCAGGGCAGCTGCAACCCCTAGTTCCTACTTCAGTTTCTCTTCTTGCTTTGGCTGGGGAGGGAGATTGAAGAACCACAAACTAGTGACTCTTAATCCTCTTCCTAGGCTCCTACACCACCCCAAACTCTATAAGAAAATCCACAAGAAACACCATGAGTGGACAGCCCCCATTGGTGTGATCGCTCTCTACTGCCACCCAGTAGAGCACGTGGTAGGTAGAGGCAAAGGGCAGATTAGCCCCAACCAATTCGCTTAGTTTCCTGAAAACTAGACTTCCTTGCCCACCCTTCCCTCAACCCTTTTAAAAAAGATTTACTTGAAATGTGACAGAGAGAGAGAGAATGGTAGATAGACTGTTTCACCCATAGACTTACTGCCTAAATGGACAGAACAGCTTTGGATGGGCCAGAAATTCCCATGAGTGGCAGGGCTCACTCAAGCACCTGGGCCCTCTTTTCCGGCTTTCGCAGGCACATTAGCAGGGAGCTAAACTGGAAGTAGACTTGCCAGGACACTTGCTTGTGTGGGATGGCAACACTATAAGCAATGGCTTCACTTGCTAAGTCACAATGCTGGGACCGCCTGGCGCTCCCTCCCATCTCATCAAATAGCTTCAAGTTATTGCTGACCAGGCTACACCAGGTGCCTAAATTGTTTTGTTGAATCCCCCCAACAATCTTTTAAATCCTGCTTTTGCTGGTGAGGAGGCCTTTCCCTGGTATCACCTGGGGTGAGATGGAAATTCACCTGGACCACCTCCATCCCATGGGTTCTGCTTTCCATTATTCCTTCTCTTGCAGGTCTCCAACATGCTGCCGTTGATGGTGGGTCCCTTCATAATGGGGTCCCACTTGTCCTCCATCATCGTGTGGTTATCCCTGGCTCTCTTCATTACCACCTTATCCCACTGTGGCTACCACCTGCCCTTCTTGCCTTCACCTGAATTCCACGACTACCACCATCTCAAGTAAGGTTGCTCCTCATCGTGCCTTCCCCTGCCCTCACTCCGGATGGTGGACCCATCCAGTTTCAATGTGGTTGCTGGATGCGATAGGGTCTGGAGGTGGGAAAGTGATGACCACAGAACCACCTTGCTCTTTTCCTTTAGACAAGAGGTCTTACTAGTGCTTTCCTTTAGCCTTTCTTTGAATCCTGGCCCCTCTGAGTACATGATCTAACTTATGACATGCTCCTCAAGAGTCACCTGAGATACTTTGAGAACATGCAGGCTTGTGGGTGCCACTGCACACAAATCACTAAAAACCTGGGAGAGCATAGCTAGAAACTTGTATTGACAAGTCTGCTGTGGTCCCAGGAAGCTGCCCATATCAGAACCTCCCAAGTTATTGTGCTGTAGATGGGCAGGAGGGTTGAGCAATGAGAGGTTGTCATGGGGCCTCTGGAACCAGCTCTGTAATTCTCTTCTTCAGGTTCAACCAGTGCTATGGAGTACTGGGTGTGCTGGACCACCTCCACAGAACTGATGCTATGTTCAAGCGGTCCAAGGCCTATGAGAGACATGTGTTCTTGCTGAACCTCACTCCACTTACCGAGAGCATCCCTGACTCCCCAAAGAATACGGAATGAACTAGAGGGCATCAGCCAACATCCTGGCTGATCCCTAAGCAGCCAGCAGGATGCCTAGGAGGCCTGAGGCCTTAAGACCACACTTGACATCTTGGACTCTGCAACCTCAACGTCCAATGACATCCCTAGGGTACAGGGAGGTCAGCTTCCCTGGATGGCACTAGGGCTCCCCCTAATCTGTCACCTGGTGACCCTCATGGGAGCTGCAGACAGCTCACAGAAAACAGCACCACTGTTTTTGGATACTAGAGGGGTAATATCTTTGATGGCTATCAGTGAATCCTGGGGTCCTACTGTGGGAGGGGGAAGGGGATTCAACTCCAGATGATTCCAGTGTGGCCAAGGAGAGACACAGAGAAAGACAAAAGGGGTGCCGAGAGCTACCTGGCTCCAGGAACTTTCATTCTGATGCCAGGGTTGGGAGGGGGGCAGATATGTGGCAGTTTGCTGTCTCAAAAGGCCAACGCCCTCCTGGCAAATGGCTTAGGGGTCTCAATTGTTATAACAACATCCAGCTCCACTAACACACCAACTCCAGGTCAATGATCAAGACCCACTCCCATTCTGCTCATCACCACCCATTCAAGAGGAAAGTACCTAAGAGATACTTACTGTACTCTAGCACCAAATGCCTAACACAAGACACCACTCAACTGGGAGGAGCCCTTCCACCCACCCAGAGGGAAAGATCAAGGTTGCTACCTTCAGGACACTCAACTGAAACCTCCTGCTTAGCCTGTGTGAATCAGGATGAGGTTTGTATCCTACATCTCTACTAGCACAGACCAGAAAAACATGGCTGAACGAATGATTAGCCAGTCATATCAATACCCTTTATTAAGGATGACTTTAGTGATACCTTCTTTTTCCCTGAACTTATTCTTTTATTCCACTTCACTTATTACTAGTATTTGAGAGACAGAAACAGAGGAAATGAGCTACCATCTGCTGGTTCATGACCCAAATGCCGGGAATGGAATCCAGGCCTCATGACTGAGTGGCAGGCCCCGATTACTTGAACCATCAATGCCGCTTACCAGGGTTTGCATCAGCACGAGACTGAAATCAAAGCCAGAGCTGAGTGTTGGTGTCTTCTAGGATAAACACTTACCCACGGTAGCTTTATCAAATGAAGTCTTAAACACGAGTGGACCAAACCACAGAGGAACTGGTAGAGGAGCCCCCACCCTGGCCTCTTCCCAGCAGCCAGGCTTGTGGTTCCCAAGAACAACTGAGGACCACTCCTTCACTGGAAAGTTATCACTGCTGTTTACAACATGCTCGTATATACTTGAGCCTACTTCTTTCAGCTCTCTTCTGTTAAAATCACCCACTATGTGTGCATAAAATACTTTAATATGATGGGACTGTCTCCAGACAGCACTGTTACAACTTCTTCCTCCAGATCCCAGGACCTCGGGGCCAGCCGAGCACTTGGCAGCAGGATCCTCTCTGGCCTTGCTGAGGTCGGTCTACCCACCTTCACTTGATGGACAGCTTCTGGTGCATCAGAGCACTAACTTTTCAGAGCTGCAGGCCTGAGCATGCATTACCTGTTCCCACAAGGAAATAAAATAGGTAAAAGTCAATTTTGAGCACATATCTCAAGGATAAATGAGTGGATGAAGAGGAATGCGAATGCAGTGGCCCTTCCTCCCCCCTAATTTTTAAAGAACTTTTCACTTACTGACCAGTGAACAACCACACCACCATTCTCTCCTTCCTTTTCACAAGCAGGTAGGTGGCCCTTGGCAGAAGGCTCAGCCCTATCCTTTTCAATATCAAACAGAATAGCCACAAAGTTGGCTGAACAAATAAGTCTCCTAAAAAAAGACTGAGATTTCCAGATCATGGACAGGAAATAAAAGAACTTTGCAAAAATAAAGCGGTCTTCATTTAATTCCTATAGATACTTCAGTTTGTTCTGTCTGTCTAAGACTTACTTGTTAACACTCCTGACCATCCTTCTGGGGCTAAGGCATTGCCATCAGAAAATCAGGGGCATTTCTAACAGGAATAGATAGAATTCAAGTTGAGTTAATAGGCCTGCCTGTTCCCGATATACCTTAGTCCACAAATGTTGTGACCACTGTCTTCTCAACTCTCCTGTGGTTTACAGAGGCCACTGCTGCTATTGTAGTACCTGCCCACTGGATGGACAGTGACAAGGAACTCTCCGGAAAACCATTTCTAAAAGAAGTGTCAGGTATGGGAAATAAGGTTATCAAGTAAGTCAAGTCCACACTCGTAGATTTTTAAACTATACATGGAGCCCCACCTACCACACTAGGAGGCCCAGTGGAGGTCTGGCCGCCTCCAGGCCAGTGTGTTTAGTATTAACCCTTCACAGCCCTGTGGGAAAGTCTGTGCAGACATAGCTCAGGCCAACACTCCAGGAGTAACTGCAGCTTTCCTTTTCTTGGATGTTTCTGCATACCGTGGCACTGGCTGTGGCCCCCATGTGCGACTGGAGAGCAAGGGGGTGGTCCCTGGAGGCAGCTCTGCAAGCAGCTCCTGCTCCGGTTGGATGTCCTTCCCTGTGAGCGTGACAGCAAAACCCCACTGATGGTTCACGGGCAGGCACATAAGTGCTGGACTCCATTTCTCACCCCCAACAGGAATACCCAGATGGGAGACCAGCCAGCGTTTTGCCTTTTTAAATTTTTATTTTTATACATTTTTTTTGTATTAAAAAGAAAAGCATAATTACCACAAATTACAAAGGACTAAAGCAGGACTAGAATAATGAATGAATCACTTCAGCCTGGAAAGCAGATACTCTCAATAATATTAATGTTATAATACAAGCTCATTCAAGTATTTTACATTTTTTTTGTCCTTTTAAATGTGATATCCTAGCACATGGTAAAGAGAATGTTCTATGAGCGTAAGGTGGAACCTTCTCCACAAAGCCAGATGATAAGTTTTCCTCTCCAGTGAGAAATGGGCTGTAAGTTCTTCTCTTCTCTGTCTCTGCCATCAGTGTGGCTGGAGGAGGAGAGGACAGGGGCTGGGGAGAACCCAGGGACACTTACTTTGGGGTCCCATTCTTCAGAGGGCCTGGTGAGCTGGATCCGCCTTACTCAGGCTTGTGGCACCTCCACCCTCCCGCAGTCATCTTTTTGTCCCTCCTCCTCACTCTAGGGCCTTCTGAGCAGCTTACTTTCTTTCGGAAATCAATCAGGAAAGGGTTAAAAAAAAAAGCTACAATGGAACAAAACAAAAGCACTGGAACTTTTGACACAGGGCTCAGCAGCTCTGAGCCCCAGGGGTCCAGGCTGGGGCAGGAGCCAGTGGCCCTGCTCTGCTCTGGGATTTGTGGGGAGGGTACGGCAGGCCAACGGGAACCTGCTCCTGTAAGGGTGGAGGCACACAGACCTTCTGATGTTTGGGGCCGGAAGGTCGTGTCTGCATGGACCAGACTTAGGGGTTGTGGGATGGACAGAGGGGTGTGGGCAGGATGCCAGTTTGTGCCTCAGGTCCTGGGCCCCCATAGGGCGAAGGGTGTAAAGCAGCCAGGCCTGCCAGCCCCTGCCACTCCTGGCATGCTAGTCACAGATACATCGGTCCTAAATTCAAGTGTCTTCAGAAAGTGAAGATGTAAACTACTCTTTGCAACATTAACTCCTAACATGTTACAAAAAAAAAAAAAAAAGAAAAGAAAAGAAAAAAAGAAAAAAAAAAAGGAAAGAAAAAAAAGCCCCTCCCCTTCCTCAGCCTATGTTGAGATGAAGTCCTCACCTCACACCCCAAGGGGCTTCCTCTTCCAAGGGTGTCTGTGGAGGACCGGGGAGAGGATGGCAGCCCCTGCCCTGGGAGTCAACTCTGCGTGAGAACAGCCTTTCCACAGAGGCCAGCAGAGGCCAAACACTGAGGTTTCTGTGGTGGTGGATACAGTACAGGCTGAGGACTGGAAGCTTCAAGAGAAAAGTGGGGGAGGGGAGGGGGAGATTTATCAAGGGAAGCAAAGGGTCCAAGAAGAGTCCAGCGTCAGGTACCACGTCGGGGAGGCACCAGACCATAGGGAAAGCCTCGAGTCCCACCACTGGAGCCAAGACCAGACACCAATCAATCAAATGACTGGGTCACGGGGACCGAGACAGGCTTTCCTATACTAACCACTGGGAGGGCAGAGGTGGGGAAAGGTGCAGGCTAAAGCAACACTATACCCTGCAAGACAGAGGGCAAGCCCTTGTCAGCCTGGGATACTGTTTCCTTCTCCCAACTTGTGGGCCCAACAGAGAACCAGTTGAAGAGCAGGATCAACAGTTTCACAGTTGAGCAGTGAGACCACCAACTTCTCATTGCCCAGTTCCCACTGGGGGTGAACACAGTCACGCCCATACCCAACACACGTGCCAGTCTTTGTGGGTCAGTCCTTTCCCACCCTCCCTAGTTTCTGACAACGGCAGACTCCAGCCATTTCATTGTCATTCAAAGGCCCAACCCAAGCAGTCAGTGGCTGGAGAAGAGAAGTCAGGTATACTCTATGTCCACATATACCTTCCTGCCACAAGGCTTCACCAACTGGCAGGGTTCCCCCCAGCCCCCAACTCCTCCTCATCCCTCGCTCCCGGGCCAGGTCACTTGGAGGGTGGGCAGAGATGGCTTGCAGAGGGGAATGTGAGACTGGGAGATCCCCAGACCCAAGAGGAGAGTGGCATCTTCTTTAGGCCAACTTGAGAAGCCCTTCTGAGCTTCGGCTGTCGGGGTTTGCCTTTCCCCTGTGGGGCAGGTGAGACGAGTCCTTGCTGAGGACAGACGTGTTCCAGAGCCAGGCCAACTGTGCTGACAGTTTGAAGCAAACTTGGCCTTGGGGGTTCCGAGGGTAGGATGAAGTGTTTCGCGGCAGGCCGGGGGCCTGGCGTGAGGAAACAGCAAGCAGAGCGAGGACACAACAGTGGCAGCAGTGTACAGACACAGGACGTCAGCTTCAAACGATGCAACAGCAGGGGTATTGTGGGCACGGCTCAGGTGAGAGCCGCTGCCAACTCTCTCGCCTCCAGCAGGAGGCACTGTACATGCAACTCAGTCCAGAGGAAGATTCTAGCCAGTCCAAGCCCAGGCACATCCAGAGAAGGTGGGAGCTCTTCAGGTGGACTCCACCGAGGAAAACAGGCATTTGGGTATTATTTCAGATTCCCGCTCCACAATAAGGCAACTTTTAAAAAAATATTATTTCCAAGAACAAAACAAACAAAAAATCCTAAGGAGAGGGCAGACATCACTTTGTGTGGATTAGGTGGGAGTTTCTGATTTTGTTTTCTTCTCTCTCTTTTTTTTTTGGTCTTTTATGGTCGATTTTGTCTTTTTTTTTTCCTTTTTCTTTTTTTTTTCATTTTCCCAAGGATGTAAAGGTCAGAGAAAAATAAAATAAATCATCTTTCAATAGTCTTTTCTGGTATGAGCAGCGTCTCTCTGGGCTGGGGAGTAAGGGCATGTTGGGGGGTGGGATGGGAGATGCTGAACGCTCTCCCACTCCCCACTTGTAGATCCTTTGGTTTCCTTCTCCCAGAAGATGGCAGAAGGGCATGGTAGGGAGAGAACATGGTGATGGTAATCCCCAAATGATCCAGGGGCTGGCGGCTCCTGGGCCCGGGGGGCACTGCCAGAGCTTTCTGTGGGACAGTGCCAGGCAATGGGGCCCACGGGGCCTTCTTGTGGGCTGCATAGTTGGCTTGAGGGGGACAGCAGGAGCTGGGGGTGGGTAGGACCAGGACTGTGGCCTACCAGCCACAGGCAGGGCTGCAAAGTGATTTTGGTAATCCAGACAAACTATCAATAATTTAAAACTTGATATATATATATATAATATATATATATAAAAAAAATCTCCCCCCTTTCCCTCCCCCCTTAGAAGAAGCTAGGATGTGAAGAGTCATGGAGAGAGGAAGGAAGGGGGTGCGTGGAGGCTCCTGCCCAGGGGGACCTCAAATAGCCCAAATGGTGTAGATACTACTACTTAGCATCAAGGCCATCCTCACATCTCCAGGCCTGCCCCTTCTGTGTCCCCTCTCCTGGGACCGGGCACCCGCATGGACTCTTGCCCACCCCACCCCTTCCCCCACCCCAACCCCAGGCCTAAAGGGCTTTTCACTTTCCCAAAGTCTGTGTATCCGAGTGCAGGCTTGTCCATTTGGCATCGTCCCGGGTAGGCTGGCCGGTGGGTGGAGTAGGGGGCTGGCTGATCACGGTGGTAGGTCTGCTGGAAGACTGTGAAGGGCACCGCTTCCTGCCCTCTCCACTACTGCCTCCTGCTGTCACTGGGTATCGCTTGTGGTTGCCTTCCTCACCCATGGGGGGCTGCAACACATGGAAGAGTCACAGATGATAAGGGGGGCAAAATGCCTCCCTCTTTCCTTGCCAGGGCTGTCAAGAGATCTATTTTCTACCTCTGAAACCAGATAACAAGCAGTTTAACCTTAGAAAAAAATTACTAGTCCTAAGCATTTCTTCACACCCAGAAGTGTGCTGTTTTACACATGTTCTCTCACAGGGGCTTCATCACCTTCTCATGTGTACGTGATTACCCAATTTTACAGTTACAGAAAGTAAAGCACAGAAGTATCTCACAGTTGGTAATTAGCCAAGACGAAATTTAGGTCCATTCATTCTCAAAGGCCAGGTGTTTATCCAGGTAAGTTTCTGTTCCCAGCCTGACAGGGGACATCCGACTTAGGAGGTGACGTTTGGCTAAGGCCTGCAGGGCGCGGAGCTATCACAGCCCAAAAGGCCCAGATGCTCCTTTGAGCCCTGAACAGGACATTGAACGCAGCATCACATTATGACCCACCCTGCCTACCCTGTTGCCAATAGTTCCGTAACAATGAGCAACAACACTGGTGCTGGGAACTTCTTCCACACCAACAAATCCA